AAACTACAACGGATACACAGGGTATGAGTAAGTTTTATTGATTTTACGAGAAAAATCTTCATATTTCGAAATATTTATCGTTGTAAATCGACCATGTTTCGTTCCCTATACTATTCCTTATAACGTGTTCAAATTTTCAACGGTTCCTAGCATAACTTACTCTGAGTCACACAACGCGTGACGCGTTCGTGAATTAATCGTTGGCTCTTTCTCGAGACGTGACCTTGGGTCGCCTGTGACAAGACAATTGCGTAAACAATACTTAACATAATAACATTATACACAAAAAACACGGGATTGTGGATCATGTATTTATTAAAAAAGAATATCCATACAACTACAATAAAAAAAAAAACATAAGATTCACCTTTCTGATCGTGAAATTAATACCATTCGCACTGTTATCGTAGCTACGTTCCCTGGCATCAAGTGAATCCAACATGGCGTCTTTCTTCACAAGCAGTTTGCATCCATTTGAATTTTGTTCTTCAGTCTCACGGTAGTAGTGTTGTTCAATAGATTGCATAGAGTATATGCAGTTTGGTTTCAGATTTCAGATTTTGCTTTTTACAACGAGTTAACGTTTTCAGCTAAGACATTGGCATACTTAGCATACAAGACATACAAAGCATTCAATGCTTTCATGGTTTTCAAGCGTTCGCGATTCAGTCCGTTCCAAAATTACCGCTCAATAACACCTTTTTGTGTGGATTGGCCGCGAACAATACTACTTGTGTATGCGTCTATAAGTATTTTGAGCGTTTGCACCATAATGCTCCAGATGATCGTAATCCAAACACATTGAAATACAAATCGACTGACAAAAGAGTTTTATGGGCAAAAATCTCGTGTTCGTCATGTGACCCGGCCCTGTCCGTGCACGACAACGTCAATCATCATCAAGATAGCACGCGTGATCAGCATGTGAACACCTCATTGGATCACAGTTAGTTGTCATGGTGTTGAGGGCCCAATGACCTCTGGGTACCATTGCGCAATTTTTCCATTTGTGGCGGAGGAAAAAAAAAAAAAAAAAGACGAAAAAAAAACAAAGGCCCTTTATGACTGGGCTAGGGTATCCCAGTAACTGGGATACCCTGGAGCAGGGTAACTGGGATCCTGGATGGTACTGGATCCTTGGAATCAAGTGTAGTGATACTACGGGTGTCGGACTAGTATACTGAAATAGTGCGCTCAAGTCTGGCCAAGGGCATACACCTATTTCAAAACATAGGCATGCTATGCATGCAAGAGTTACTTTTTTGTAGGGTGGGTGGATTACTTGAAACATTGTGAGTGATGTCTACTTTCTTACAAAAGGAGAGAAGAATATTAATGTAGTAAAGAACGAAAATGTCGAATTACCTCACTCACAGGTATTTTATGGTAGATTATGTGTGTTTTGCGAATAAATTATAACCAAAAATAAACTGTATTGATGCCACGGATACCTGTTACTACAAAATGCAGACTAAGAATCTGAAGAGTTTTTACGTCTGGTATATAATAACATCTCATCTTACAGCTTGCTGAGCGTCACGCAGTCGCTTTTCTGCGATCCGCCTTCACGATTATTTGCAGTATTGAGGAATATTCCTGGCCCATTTCTTGATGAAAATCGATCGCAATATTATTTCAAGCCTTCAATATAGTCTTATTACTTTGCGCGCGAGTTGGTTGGTGTGATGTCTGTACAGATTTTATCAACGTAATAAAAGTAGATGATGTGAACAACAGTGATGGTAAAGCAAGCTTAAAACGGCAGAAATCGCCAGAAAATACAACGGATACACAGGGTATGAGTAAGTTTTATTGACTTTACGAGAAAAATGTTCATATTTCGAAATATGTATCGTTGTAAATCGACCATACTTCGTTCCCTGTACTATTCCTTATAACGTGCAGTTCCTCTCGTGACTTAACAGCGAGTCACACAACGCGTGACGCGTTCATAAATTAATCGTTGGCTTTTTCTCGAGACGTGAGCTTGGGCCGCTTGTGACAAGACAATTGCGTAAACAATATTTAACATAACAACATTATACACAAAAAAACACAGGGTTTTGGATCACGTATTTATTAAAAAAGAATATCCATACAACTACAATGAAAACAAACGTAAGATTCACCTTTCTGATCGTGAAATTAATACCATTCGTACTGTTATCGTAGCTACGTTCCTTGCCATCAAGTGAATCCAACATGTCGTCTTTCTTCACAAGCAGTTGGCATCCCTTATAGCTATGTTCTACAGTCTCACGGTAGTAGCGTTGTTCAATAGATTGCATAGAGTATATGCAGTTTGGTTTCAGATTTCAGATTTTGCTTTTTACAACAAGTGAACGTTTTTCAACTAAGACATTGGCATACTTAGCATACAAGGCATTCAAGGCTTTCATGGCTTTCAAGCGTTCGCGACTCAATCCGTTCCAAAATTACCGCTCAATAACATCTTTCAGCGTGGATTAGCCGCGATTAATACGACTTGTATATGCGTCTGTAAGTATTTTGCGCGTTTCCTTTATAATGCTCCAGGAGATCGCAATCCAAATACGTTGAAATACAAAACAACTGACCTAAGAGTTTTATAAGCAAAATCTCGTGTTTGTCATGTGACCCGGCCCTGTCTGTGCATGACAACGTCAATCATCATCAAGATAACACGCATGATCAGCATGTGAACACCTCATTGGATCACAGTTAGTTGTCATGGAGTTGAGGGATAACACGCGTGATCAGTATGTGAACACCTCATTGGATCACAGTTAGTTGTCATGGTATTGAGGGCCCAATGACCTCTGGGTAATATTGCGCAATTTTTCTATTTTGTGGCGGAGGAAAAAAAAAAAAAAAAACAAAAAAAAACAAAGGCATTTTATGACTGGGCTACCACAGGTATCCCAGTAGAAAAAAAAAAAAGACGACAAAAAAACAAAGGCATTTTATGACTGGGCTACCACAGGTATCCCAGTAAAAAAAAAAAAAGACAAAAAAACAAAGGCATTTTATGACTGGGCTACCACAGGTATCCCAGTAAAAAGACGACAAAAAAACAAAGGCATTTTATGACTGGGCTACCACAGGTATCCCAGTAAAAACTAGACCCTGTGAGCAGGGTAACTGGGATACCTGGATGGTACTGGATCCTTGGAATCAAGTGTAGTGATACTACGGGTGTCGGACTAGTATACTGAAATAGTGCGCTCAAGTCTGACCAAGGGCATACACCTATTTCAAAACATGGGCATGCTATGCATGCAAGAGTTCCTTTTTTGTAGGGTGGGTGGATTACTTAAAACATTGTGAGTGATGTCTACATTCTTACAAAAGGAGAGAAGAATATTAATGTGGGAAAGAACGAAAATGTCGAATTACCTCACTCACAGGTATTTTGTGGTAGATTATGTGTGTTTTGCGAATAAATGTAACCAAAAATAAACTGTATTGGTGCCACGGATATCTGTTAGTACAAAATGTAGACAGCAGACTGCAGACCGGATACAAAATATAGACTGTAGACTGCAGAGTGGGTACAAAATGCAGACTAAGAATCTGAAGAGTTTTTACGTCTGGTATATAATAACATGTCATCTTACAGCTTACCGAGCGTCACGCAATCGCTTTTCTGCGATCCGCCTTCACGATTATTTGCACTATTGTGGAATATTCCTGGCCCATTTCTTGATGAAAATCGATCGCAATATTATTTCAAGCCTTCAATATAGTCTTCTTACTTTGCGCGCGAGTTGGTTGGTGTGATGTCCGTACAGATTTTACCAATGTAATAAAAGTAGATGACGTGAATAACAGTGATGGTAAAGCAAGCTTAAAACGGCAGAAATCGCCAGAAAATACAACGGATACACAGGGTATGAGTAAGTTTTATTGATTTTACGAGAAAAATGTTCATATTTCGAAATATTCATCGTTGTAAATCGACCATACTTCGTTCCCTGTACTATTCCTTATAACGTGCAGTTCCTCTCGTGACTTAACACCGAGTCACACAACGCGTGACGCGTTCATGAAGTAATCGTTGGCTTTTTCTCGAGACGTGAGCTTGGGCCGCCTGTGACAAGACAACTGCGTAAACAATATTTAACATAATAACATTTAACACAAAAAAACACAGGGTTTTGGATCACGTATTTATTAAAAAAGAATATCCATACAACTACAATGAAAACAAACATAAGGTTCACCTTTCTGATCGTGAAATTAATACCATTCGTACTGTTATCGTAGCTACGTTCCTTGCCATCAAGTGAATCCAACATGTCGTCTTTCTTCACAAGTAGTTTGCATCCATTATAGTTATGTTCTTCAGTCTCACGGTAGTAGCGTTGTTCAATAGATTGCATAGAGTATATGCAGTTTTGTTTCAGATTTCAGATTTTGCTTTTTACAACAAGTGAACGTTTTTCAACTAAGACATTGGCATACTTAGCATACAAGGCATTCAAGGCTTTCATGTCCTTCAAGCGTTTGCGACTCAATCCGTTCCAAAATTACCGCTCAATAACATCGTTCAGTGTGGATTAGCCGCGATTAATACGACTTGTATATGCGTCTGTAAGTATCTTGCGCGTTTGCGCCATAATGCTCCAGGAGATCGCAATCCAAATACGTTGAAATACAAAACAACTGACCAAAGAGTTTTATAAGCAAAATCTCGTGATTCGTCATGTGACCCGGCCCTATCTGTGCATGACAACGTCAATCATCATCAAGATAACACGCGTGATCAGCATGTAAACACCTCATTGGATCACAGTTAGTTGTCATGCTGTTGAAGGCCCAATGACCTCTGGGTACTATTGCGCAATTTTTCCATTTAGTGGCGGAGAATAATAATGACGCAAAATCCGCCTTGCAACTATTCAAATTCCAACATCGAAAGACCTGATTCAAGAGTAACACACCAGGATGTTAACCATGAAATTGACTGCAACAAAACCATTGTTAGGGTATAATCTAACCAACAGAAGAATACTACAGTCCCACAAACTTAACCACTTTATTAAACAACGAGCAGTGTTCTTAACAAGGAGCGACTCCTTAAAGCAGTACAACAATTATCGTTAATAAACTTAATTAAGTCCACCAGTCTATCTCCCACCTCACCACTGACACAATCTCACTACTGTCTCCAAAGTTCCTTGAAATGAGAATCTTCCGCAGTAACTCTCTCAGTATGGCCTTCAAAACAGTTGTCGCTCCGACAACAACAACTATCACTACTACTACTACATAAGTAAGTCTTAACATATTTTCACAAAATGTTCTAGAACATTCCAGAAGCTTACATAAGAGCTATTTTAGTAGTATTACGTAATAAGAGCGTGACTTGATGAAATGTTCTGGAAAGTTCTATGGTATGTAAGTTAGCATTTTCACAGCATGAGTAATACGTTTACTCTTGATAATCTGATGTCTTTTATCTGTCCAGCAATATCGCATAATTCCTAAAAAGCGCGGTAAAATACGCGTTAAAAACACAGAAAAGCCTTGTATTTCTCAATCTAAATGGTGATCGCTCTCTCCGAATTGCGCGTTAATTCGTTGAAATTTGAAGACTCTGATTAGTGCGAGTTGTCAAAATACGATAATCTGATTGGTGCGAAAGACATACCCTAATACCGCTATCTGATTGGTGCGAGCAACATACCACTCTATGCGCTAACATAGAGTTCTTTTTTTTTTTAAATGACTCAAAAAATATTAACATATCCTTTGAAAGATGCGTCGCTTACATTTATCATAAAATAATAAAACATCTATAGAAAAATGAGTAGCTTCCATTGATCATAAAAATACTATGGCATTGTAGGATGATTGACACATATACTTTGTGCCATGTGCTATGTTATCGTTTAATGGAAGTGCAGACATGATTTCATCCGAGTGAATCCTACTGAAAGCCTACATAAATCCTTACTTAACCTTAGACGTTTACTGAAAATGCGAAGTTTCAATTTATCATCTTAAAATACTAAAACATCTATAAAAATGCGTGGCTTCCATTTATCATTAAAATACTAAAACATCTATTGAAAACTACGAAGCTTTCATTTATCAAAAAAGGCTAAAACATCAATTGAAAAATGCACAACTTCGATTTGATACAAAGCGACGCAATCTCTATCATAAAATACGTACGAAACGTATAATTTCGCACACATCAAAAGTGTCCTCGATACTAGATAAAGTTCAGCCTTCCAATCCGGGTTTTATTTGTCGACGTCACTGCCCATCGTCCTTCCTGAAAGCCCATGATGGACCGTTTTTAGGTTTTGAACGTGAAGAAACGTCTTCAGGACGCCTATCTCTTTGAAATTCGCGACGTCGAGCGCGAGAAGTCTGACGGCTGGCGTACTCTTTATCAAGTTTGCTTTTTAATGTTTTGAGTTCTTCGCTCTCCCACGGAACTGTTTTGATATACAACTTCTTTTCTTTAGAGCACCCTTCATCACCCGATAGCGACTCCTCTCCTGATTCCGACACTTCTGATGACATGTATTCCTCAGTGAGCACCTCAGCTACCTTTCCTTTTTCACGTCTACCCCAATCAATCTTATCCATTGCTTCTGTTCTTCTCTTCAATTTCTGTAACGAAGTAACAAAATTATATAACAAAAGTAATGAAACAAGGCCCAAAAATTCTAAGGTCATATAATTTCAGTACTCAAGCTTTCCTGACACCTCCACCAGTTATCATGGCAACCTAATCATTTACATGAGAGGATTACCTCTGGAGGTTAGTATTACTGCAAATGTTTGGCAAATTTATTTATAATCGAATAAGGTTTTCTTAATTCCCCATGTTACCGACCCCCTCCTCCCACACACACGCACACGCACCCACGCACACACAACCCACGCACATGCACACATACCCACCCACACGCGCACAAACCTGTTTTTTCCTGTTCTGGCGTCGACTATTTGTCTTGTGTTCGTTGTACTTATTGTCAGATTTTTTCTTGTCTGTTTCGTACAAAGACAAGAAATATCTTCGACTAACAACTGTAAGTGAAAAAATACTAGGTTGGTTTCACATTTTCGGCAAGCCTAAGAACTGAAGAAGCACCTATGGGCTGATGGGGTAAGGGTGCAAATGTGAGTTCATAAGTTTTTGCATGATATTTTTTATGATATGAGTTTTCGCGAAGAAGTAAGGCGGCAACAGTGACACGCGACAAAATCAAGAACGTTAAGAGGAAAATCGGTTGACGATGTGGGTGCTCATAACATTACGATATACGTGTACACGAAATCAGCCATAAACAGATCCACAACTTAGAAAAAACTTAAGTCAATAAGAAGATGAAAAAGGCAAAACGATAGGTAAAGAGAAAGAATTACGACCAACTTACCCTTTATCTGTTCATCTGTCCACTTACGGGAGCCACTGTTACCAGACATTTTTTCTTTCACTTTCTTGAAAACCTCCTCGTTTTCAGCCGAGTCAACGCTTCCATTGGAAAGTAAAAAAACACCACTGCATTATTTTCTTGGTCTTAACCTGATTTGCAACAAATTAAGTCATTCTAGACTTTAACCTCGATTCAGACATCTGCAGCTGCTTTAGAGTTTATAGTTATTATGCAGATACATCAAATGAATAAATACTTATGTCTTTTCCCGTAAACCTTCATAGACAGATTCTCCAAAATGATAAGTAAATTTACCTTCTTTTGAAGTTAAATCCTTGAAAGTTACCTTTCTTTTTAAGAATTTTGTACATCTTTCGAAAAGTATCCTGAATTGAAAATAAAAGCACATCTCTGTGTTAGATAAGTGAAAACTTCTGGTCTAGAAAATTGTTTCTCTTAATTTTTTCCTCAGTATAAGCGGACTGGAGACTACTTTTTGACAGGTGACTTACACGACAGAGGGGGTCCACCTTCTGTTTCTCCTCGCTGCGCTTCCTTCCGGTAGCACTCTCAGTCCTAATATTCTGCTGCTTTTGCGAATCCTTTTCGATAACTTCCTGCAACTGACAAACCGTATCGTGTGTACATCGCACTAAGTCTGCCACATGCGAAATATCTTTTTTCATTCTTTCAATATCGTTGCAAATTTGGCGGAGACTCTTAACCATATCTTCTGCAAAAAGGAAGTATAATCATCATGATTACTGAAGAAAAATGTGCCCATACTGAATCATTGTCTCCACAGTACCCGACTCTCATTCTGTTTTTAATTACACTGGCGGGTAATATGATCATGCGGTAAAGAGTGGTCTAAGTGTGGGCCAAGGAGTAGTTCTCGGAAACAGTTTTAATAAACAAATATTTTGAAAAGTATCTTTGACCTCCCATCAACAATTGTTTTTCTTTCTGCTCATCGCAGTTGATTCGAGGTTAAAATTGTTTTTTAATTGGAAGTTTCGATCAGTTTCTTTGGCCCTCTTCAGGTGTAAGATTAATCAATGGCAGGTTGTGGCTTTTATTGGTGACTGTTCACTAAGTCATACCGTACCATCACCACTACATTAACTTTCATGGTATGTGAATTCGTGTGCCATAAAATGCAGCCTAAGGCACATCCATTTAACTCACAAATGTAATTATTCATTGTCTATTATGGTCATTCTCATGATCTCAGGTGGGAAGCATCAGTTCCAATGTTTCACGATGGACGATACAAAGGAGTACTCCCCTTTCATCGCATTTTTCTAGTTATAACTCGATTTTCTCCCCGTCTTTTTCTGTTCAGATATTACACGTAAAGTATCTCAATGAAACCGCTATGCTATTAAATGAAACTGGAAAAAAGTGTAGGTAATATGTTTCCATCTAATGGCTGTAAACATACGAAAATCATATGTGTGCACCACGGCTGAATAAACAAATATAGAAACGATCCTCGCAGTTATGAATACTACTGAACTAGTACTTGAAATAAGGCCTGATAAAAATTAAGGCCCGTACGGATTTGAAACCATGACCTCTGCGATACCGGTGCAGCGCTCTACCAACTGAGCTAACAAGCCAAGAGGGAGCTGGTCATTATGTTTATAAAATTTTGTTACCTGCGCGCTTCGTAAAAAAATAGGCATGCGACACATGTAAGAGTTATTTTTTCGGAGGGCAAGATTAAAGCGGGAAACTAAGTAACTGATGTTTGCATTTTTGTGAGAGAAAAAGAGCATTTAGTTTTAAAAGGTACCAATGAAAATATCATTCCTTGGATAGCAAACGAACCTTCCAATTTAACTAAAACTAGACCCTGTGAGCAGGGTAACTGGGATACCTGGATGGTACTGGATCCTTGGAATCAAGTGTAGTGATTCTACGGGTGTCGGACTAGTATACTGAAATAGTGAGCTCAAGTCTGGCCAGGGGCATACACCTATTTCAAAACATAGGCATGCTATGCATACAAGAGTTATTTTTTGTAGGGTGGGTGGATTACTTGAAACATTGTAAGTGGTCTACATTCTTACTAAAGGAAAGAAGAGTATTAACGCGGAAAAGAACGAAAATGTCGAATTACCTCACTCACAGGTATTTTGTGGTAGATTATGTGTGTTTTGCGAATAAATGTAACAAAAAATAAACTGTATTGGTGCCTCGGATACCTGTTAGTACAAGATGCAGACAGCAGACTGCAGAACGAATACAAAATTTAGACTGCAGACTGCAAAGTGGGTACAAAATGCAGACTGAGAATCTGTAGAGTTTTTACGTCTGGTATATAATAACATGTCATCTTACAGCTTACCGAGCGTCACGCAGTCGCTTTTCCGCGATCAGCCTTCACGATTATTTGCACTATTGTGGAATATTCCTGCCCCATTTCTTGATGAAAATCGATCGTAATATAATTTCAAGCCTTCAATATAGTCTTCTTACTTTGCGCGCGAGTTGGTTGGTGTGATGTCTGTACAGATTTTACCAACGTAATAAAAGTAGATGACGTGAATAACAGTGATGGTAAAGCACGCTTAAAACGGCAGAAATCGCCAGAAACTACAACGGTTACACAGGGTATGAGTAGGTTTTATTGATTTTACGAGAAAAATGTTCATATTTCGAAATATTCATCGTTGTAAATCGACCATATTTCGTTCCCTATACTATTCCCTATAACTGTTCAAATTTTCAACGGTTCCTCGCATAACTTAACACCGAGTCACACAACGCGTGACGCGTTCATGAATTAATCGTTGGCTCTTTTTCGAGAGGTGAGCTTGGGCCACCTGTGACAAGACAATAGACATTTTTACAGTCCCCGGCGCCATATTGGATTAGTAACCGCGCACACACGATAACGAGGCTGGGGTTGACCCGGCGGTTCTTTCATACAGCTGATCTGCTGACATTTCACGTTCTAATGCACTTTCAATGCGATTTCTCCCTTCAAAATGGTTCTTTAATACAATAATATGGAAATTTCGTCATTAGATGACATCCAGAAACTCGAAGCAAAAGATCTCAGGGAGATTTAAAATCTAATTCAAAATCGACGGGCGGAATTAGAGTCGACTTAGTGTCGAAAGTTTATGCTTTGCTGATGTGACACGTCCTTCCATCAAGTAGTGGAGAAAACCGAGAACTTCTTACAGATGTCCAGGACCTAGAACAAAACCAGAGCGACTTCAAATACGAAGCAACTATGGTAAGGATTTCAGCCCTTGGATGGTCGAGCGATCTCCGTAATTTACCTGAGATTAATTTCATTCAGCTTTACGATTACCTTGTTGTTTCACGAGAATATCGCCACATCGTGTGGAGAGGAACGCATTACAGGAAGTACCACAGAAGTTGTTCAGTACGGCTTAGAAAGCGAGGCAAAGGCTGTAGCCCTCTAGGTAGAGGAGATTTGTTATTGCTGCTGTTGTTGATGTGGTACTTGTTGTTGTACCATATTCTTCAGTTAAAGTTGTTCCCATTTTGTTTACCAAGATGTATTTTAGTTTGCCATTTGTACATTGTATCTTATGGGAAACTATACAATAGAGCCTGTACAGCCACTTGATTATAACCTTCTTTCTGTCAACCCATGAGGGAAACTGTAACTAACAGATGTCATAACATTTTGAAACCCATCTGGCCCAGGACAACTTATGCTCGTGATACATTGAAAACCATTTGAGTTCGCACTCATGGTAATTTATTAGGTGGCAAGACAGCATTGAAAGAATCAGACCAAAATATTAGACAATTTAAAAACTCCCAAAAGTGACTGATTCATGTAACTTCTCCCTATAATATCCAAACACTATCCGGCAAACAGATAATGATAATACTGAAACTTATCAGGCAGAAGTTATCTTGATCTTACATCAAATTCTCATAACTTATTTACAAGTAAATGTGTAGCAACTAGAAGGAAGAATTAACAGTCAGATCTTGGGTATTTAAGGGTTAAAGGAAGAGAGCAGAATTGCTTCCTCTCAGCTACTGATCTCAACAATGCTAGTCCTTCACACACATTAAAGTTTCTATCAGTGATAAACATTCAGTGAATTGATATTCCCATTCTTAGCACTCAGAGGCCTTCTGGCACAAAGGTTTGCTACACTAGTTCTTATTGCCTTGTGTTAACCAATGTTATGATAATATAATTTTGAGATACTTAAAAATATTGAGAAATATATCCCAATCAAGATATTCATTTTATACTGTTACAATTACCATAAGATTTGTTTGAAAGAGAATCTTTCAGACCATCGAACTGTATGAGATATTATTTTTTGCGAGACTTCTATCAAACTTATTATGAGGACAATTCTGTGAATAAAATTTAGTGTCAGTTCATCTTTGTGTTGAAAACTCTTTTACTTGGTGAAACTCACTTTTTCTTTTTTCCAATTGAAGCATCAAATTGATTGAAACATAAAGCACACAAAATATTTTGTGAGAGTTCCATGTGGCATCCATAGTGGATTACTATGCTATCATGAAAAACAAAAACAACAGCTATTGAAAGCTGCTTTTGTCACAATTGCTACCAAATTTGTGTCAGTTTTCTGGGTCTGCCATAATAAGTTAAAACTCTGAAGATACAGTGTCTTGGTTATTTTATTAAAAGCAATTACTTTCCAAGAGTTTCTCTGCTAGGAGTGTTTTTGGCAAGCCATGTAGTAAACAGGTGAGCAGTACTGAACTTATTGACTTACTGCCGCAATGAAAAAAAACTCTAACGAACTTAAAACAATTCGGGTACCTAAATGAAAATTTGTACTAATTTTGCAACAATAGTCACCCTAATCCATAATTCACAAAGAATAAGATAAGTATAGAACAATAAATACTTAGCAAAAATACATGCCTCCGTGCATAAACTTGAAGAAGTGAAAGCTCGTAGGCAAACCATTAGGGCCATAAAATGTATTTGAACAACCAAAAGCGGCACACTACTCTCCTTTCTTTTTGGGAGAAAGATTAGCTTTATCGAGATTTCGGCTAGGACCATCCATTTTCCTTAAAAATCGAACAATTTTACTGCCTAAGTAAGAATTTCACCAAAGGCGCTCACAGAGATTTAACACGAGTCAACCCCAGCCCCGTTCTCACGTGTGTGCGGTTGCATTTCCAATATGGCGCCGGGAACTGTAAAAAGGTCTATTGTGTAAACAATACTTAACACAATAACATTATACACAAAAAAAAACAGGATTTTGGATCATGTATTTATTAAAAAAAAAATATCCATACAACTACAATGAAAACAAACATAAGGTTCACCTTTCTGATCGTGAAATTAATACCATTCGTACTGTTATCGTAGCTACGTTCCTTGCCATCAAGTGAATCCAACATGTCGTCTTTCTTCACAAGCAGTTTGCATCCATTATAGTTATGTTCTTCAGTCTCACGGTAGTAGCGTTGTTCAATAGATTGCATAGAGTATATGCAGTTTGGTTTCAGATTTCAGATTTTGCTTTTTACAACAAGTGAACGTTTTTCAACTAAGACATTGGCATACTTAGCATACAAGGCATTCAAGGCTTTCATGGCTTTCAAGCGTTCGCGAATCAATCCGTTCCAAAATTACCGCTCAATAACATCTTTCAGTGTGGATTAGCCGCGATTAATACGACTTGTATATGCGTCTGTACGTATTTTGAGCGTTTGCGCCATAATGCTCCAGGAGATCGCAATCCAAATACGTTGAAATACAAAACAACTGACCAAAGAGTTTTATAAGCAAAAATCTCGTGATTCGTCATGTGACCCGGCCCTGTCTGTACGTGACAACGTCAATCATCATCAAGATAACACGCATGATCAGCATGTGAACATCTCATTGGATCACAGTTAGTTGTCATGGTGTTGAGGGCCCAATGACCACTGGGTACTATTGCACAATTTTTCCATTTTGTGGCGGAGGAAAAAAAAAAAGGCGACAAAAAAACAAAGGCATTTTATGACTGGGCTACCACAGGTATCCCAGTAAAAAATTCAGGTCGTTATCTAGAAAAAAGGCATTTCATGTAAGAAAGTCTAGTCCAAAGAGGCACGTAATTGGAGCGGGAAAATACCATTTAAACAGAAGATATAATTCAAGGAGAACTTTCACAAGCAAAGAAACAGATGTTTCACATTGCAGTCGCAAGGATACTTACCTTGCTGTTCTTTTTGAACCTTCCTCAAAAGAGCAATCACAGGGCAAAAACAAGATTATCGATCAAATATGCTTAATGCAAATGCTTTGCACAATTTTTATTTGAATCAGCGAAACTAAATAATGTTAAGGTGATAATTTCATGCGAGGCCTGTAGCTTACGGCATGTGCATTGTAATGAAGGTATATGTATATGTATGTATACCTGTTTTCAAAAACGTTGCGATATAAAATAGACGCATGAAATACATGCACCTTTTGTTTTCTTAGTGTCTCTTTTTGACGAGAATACAAAAAGATATATACATTTCCTGCATATTTTCATATTGCTATATGTAAGGGTCTAATGCAGCAAACAAAACAAATGTGCTCATTACCCAGAAGTATCAAAGACAAGCATCGTAAAGCTGACAAGAAAATCGAAGAGAGCATAACATGCAAATGCATGTATTTTGCTTCAAATAAAACCCTCAAATTCTATGATAGAGAGGCCTGGGGACTACTAGTCAAGCTCCCTACAAGTATCTCTCATGTGCACATAACATTTCTAATTTTATCACCAAAAAAAAAAAAACAAACCAAGACCTTTCCACTCAATTGCCAAGTTAAAAGTAAAGAGCTGTTGTTTCCTGAGTCACATGGGAGTTAAACATGATAATTAACAAAATCTATTTCTAGAAATTGAGCTTGGCTCTTTAGCAAAATATACCATAATCACAACTCGCCTTCATTTGTAGATACTGTTGGCTGCTGAGGAGGCCATAGATAAGCCTAGGTTGGAAAAAAACATAGTTATACATTACATACATTGTGGCCAATTATCAGAGATATCAATGAATTTAGTATTTCTCATATGATTTACATTGTGTACTACCAACCGAGAAAATTCATCTGGATATAAAGTCTAGAGCATTTTCATTAAAAAAGATACAATGTACATGTATCTAGCATGCATAGTATTGGTCAAAATGAGCATCATTTGCATTACAAAAGAAGAGAGCTAATCAGGAGCATAAAATACTATCTTTTTATTAAATGCTACTTAATGCACTTCTCCTCAAGGCCTTTTGTTCAGACAAATGGTATCTTCCCTGAGAGATCAATCCTCATTATATACATTCAATAATTATATACTTCACTGCGACTAATACCCTTCCTTTTATATCTTTATTAAAATTGGTATTCAGTAGATTAACTTTCATTAGATTTTAATGGATTAATTTACATGACGAGTTTTACGTCTTAAGTTACTCTCTTGTTTATAAAAATACCAAAATGCACACTCAGATTTTCCGACGTTGTTTATGTGGTCCAAAAATGCATTAAATTATTCCATTTAACTACTACTACAATTGTTAGCTTTTATACATGTACATACATACCTGTTGGTCTTGTTGTGAAAGTTGTGGGGTGCTACCTAAAAATTGTACCAAGTTATAAATTTAGCCAACACAGCAAGAAGCACTTAAGGCTACACTCTAAGACGTTATAATTAATTGACACAACCCTTTCTCTGAGGATGAATTTATTTTGGAATCGATGATTCCATCAGTTTCTTTAGTCTTCCTTAGGTATAAGGTTAAGAGTCAAGATGGTGGATTGGTGCTCTTGTTTTGTGTTGTACTGTAAGGTACAATAGAATTTGTTTAATCCTGGGATTAACATCCTAAAATCAGTATCTATATTCTCCATACTATTCTCTAAACATTTCCTTAGGTGCTGACAGGGAGAATTTGTTCAACAATCAACAGCTTCTTTAGTTGGTGATCATTTCTTTCCTTTTTGTGACCTTTATAACTGATTCAGGGGTAATAATGTGTGGAAAACTTAGATGCTAGTCACTCTTAAATAAAAGGTTAATACAGGTTGGCCAATAAGGTTCCACAGAATAGGGGTAAAACTTAATGAAAAAGAGCACTTTTGTCTCTACAGTCTCAAGAAGAAATATACCTGTAATCTGTGATGCTTTGAGGATTTAAAATCAAAGCACCAACATTGATTTTGGCTTGAAGATTAACATGGAATAAATTAGACTTGAGAGATTATTCTTAATGGTTTAATTTGAGTGGTTCTGCTTTATGTGATCCCTAAATACAGATGATGGACGATGCAAATGCTCACTGGGACTCAGTCAAGGGTGATCACGACTAAGGTGAAAACAACAGTACTTAAGGGAAAAAATTCATCCTGACTTTGAACGACCGACCACTTTACATAAGGTGACCACTCAATGCAGTGCTGCTTAATACAGGTTCAACTATACATGGTTTTCTTTCATGATCATTTCCTGTGAATTTGTATGGGTTAGTAATGGGTAGTAGGGTAGAGTTATCCAAAGGTCAATATTTTGTTATAGGCCACCAAAATATCTGTGAACATCAACAAAGTAATTGGTAAAACAAATTCCACTCAGCCAGGAATGCACACTGATTTATATACTTATTAAGATTCTTACCTTCAATATCATCTTCAATATCAGAGTCACACAGAGAAAGTCCAGGGAGACTACTGAGATTTTTATCCCCTTGCATCTTCTTTACACTGGAGTGAGTTTAATAAAAATTTTACACATGTAATCTACAAGTTGGACCATTGTATTTACAAGTTTAGACGAAAACGAGTTTAATAAACATTGTCAAAAGTCCAGGTTACAAGTGTCCAACTTGTAATTACTGGTGTATCACTACAAGTGTAAAAGATGGTAAGTATCAAATTTAAGAAAACTTTTACAAAAATCCAACTTGAAAATCACAAGTGCAAAATACAAGTTGCATGTCACTTGTAGACATAAAAGGATATCAGAGTGTCACAATATGTCACATTCGAGTGAAGGGGAACTTGAAGAGCTGCTGAGACATCAAGTTATCTGCCAAACAAGGAATTTCCAAAACAGATCGCTTTTCAACATCTAAAATCCAAGGGAATTTCAAACAGGTTTGTCTGCCTGTGGATGCCTCCATCCACCTTTTGAAATTACTAGGCCTGTGTTTAAAGCATAGAATGAGAGGTAACAGAGCATGCAACAACTTTGAGTATTTCTTGCCTTATCTTTTTGTCACTAAATGGTTGAGAATATATGAAAGTCATATATTTGAACTGCGGATAAAGACGGGAATGAAAGTGATCCTCGCAGTAATGTGCACTACTTAGGTAGTAGTGAAAATAAGGCCTGAAAAAAATTCAGGCCTGTACGGGATTTGAACCCATGACCTCTGCGATACCGGTGCAGCCCTCTACCAACTGAGCTAACAAGCCAACTGGGAGCTGGTCATGATGTTGGTTCTAAATAAACCCGTGAAGTGATGAAATAAACGGTTGAGAATATATGAAAGTCATATATTTGAACTGCGGATAAAGACTTGAATGAAAGTGATCCTCGCAGTAATGTGCACTACTAAGGTAGTAGTGAAAAATAAGGCCTGTGCCACACTTCCTGTAGTCTCCTTCACAGCCATTTATTAGTTTTGTCACCCAATGCACTATCTCCCCTATTACAGTTACAGTTTCTTGCCTCAAAAATATTCTATCACATAATTTTGCTTTGGAAAGCAAACCAAAATCTATTTCACCTCCAATAGCCTCTAACTGAAGATATTTTGCAGACAAGCAAAATTTATTGAACGAAGGAAAAAGAACCAAATTTCAAACTTTCATTTTAGAAGAATGCAGTGGGCTACTCATTTGGTTGTTGCCTATCTGGACTTTACCATGTGCATGCGGAATACATGATAAAATGCAGGTTGCCTACAGGAAATATACCTGTGATGGGGTTAAGTCCAAGGTAGCTAAAAGCGATTAGAAGTGCGTGAAAATCGACCAACAGCAGCATTCACTTTCATGCAAAATTTTTTCAGTGAGGTAGGACTATGTCATAAATTCAGGTTGTTCACTGAAAAATGGTGTTCCTCTGAAAAAGTCTGGTCAATAAGTACATGTAAATACATAACTGGTTTAGGAAAATACTGTTTAAACACAAGATGTAATGCACGGAGAACTTTAAAAAGCAAAGAAATAGATATTAAGCATGGCAGTTGATGCAGAAAGTAAATGTAACTTTCTGATATTTTCAAGCTTCACCAAAAGAGCAATCAGAAGGCAAAAACAAGATTATCAATCAAATTTGCTTTGCGCAAATGCTTTGCTAAATTTTTGCCTGAGTCAGCAAAACCAGCCCTTCCAAAACAAATACCAATTGAGCATACCCATAATTTGCTGCAGAAGTAATGAGTTCAAATCCTGTACAAGCCTGAATTTTTTTGAGGCCTTCTTTTCACTGCTGCTCAAGAAGTGGTCATTACTTCAAGGATCACTTTCATATTCACTTCTTTATCTGCAGTTCACATGAATGATTTTCATATATTCAGTTACGAAAGTAAAACTGTAGTGACACAAGGAGTTTTGTCTCATAAAAAAACATGGTCAAAAGGTCACAAAAACCCAGTAAGCCAGCCTTGATTTCTAGCCAAGAGGATAACTCTTCAAAATCGATTTAAACTTTATTTTAAGAGAGCAATTCTAGTTTATATATACGAATTTGGTGCAAATTTATCTTATCTAACACAAAAATGTTTGTTCTTCCCCTGAGATGATTGGCAAATGTTTGTAAATAAAAGTTAACCTGTAGTAATAAGTACTTTCATATAACTTTTTTTAGTATGTTAGGGCTCGAAATTGCGACCGATACGGTCGCCAATGCAACTAACACTTTTAACTTGGCGACTAAAAATTCGAGTTTATTCGCCACTTTGGCAACTATGTTCCTCTGATAAATAAAATATTAAAGGTGAGAAACAATTTCCTTAGTCTCGTTTCTGCTTTTCTGCAAAGGGAAATGCAAATTTAGTCTGTTTACCTTTAAGTTAACACTTGAAATCGCTCTAAGTTCGCGACTTCCGAGGCGACATTACAATGGCTTCTACATTGTGATCGCGGGCGCAATATTTTGTTGAAAGGCCGCTGAATTTAAAAGCATTCTGTAGCAGAGCCGGCTTTCAAAGCAGGTGCTTTCTTTCACCATTTTCTCGATCAAGTGAGATGAGTCTACACCGAAAGTCATGAATTATTTATCACAAGAGAAGAATATACTGAGCGAGTTTCGTAATTTGCTGCAAGATCGTTGTTAGTATGCAAACAAGAAGCGTTTCGAAGCCTTTCAAAAACGTTTGTTCGGAGCGTGAATCTCATGCAGCAGCTACCGCAACGTGTTTAGTTCCAGAAGCCGAACAACTATGTCAATTAAATGGGGCTCTAATCTGAGTTTCTGTTCTTGTACTATCTGGCGACCGCATTTTTATATTTGGCGACCACTTCTTCTTTAATAGTCGCCAAAAGGCGATTTTTTTTTTAATTTCGAGCTCTGTTAAATAATATTCAGAGTCACATGACCAGTCATGTAACAGGATTCATGGTTTTATAGAGTAAGCAAACTTCGTGACTTCACATACATGTAAGAAGACTAGTAATAAAAAAAAAAACATAGTCAAATGGCCAAGGAACCACGTTTTATAAATCACCCTCGTTTCCATACTGAACAGTGTTTTTTCCCCACGAAAACATCCTCCTAACTCAAACCCTGTACTAATATTTGGCTTTACAAACGACCTGGCGTTAATCGGTAGGTCTTCCCCTATCAAAATCAACTACCAAACATTTCTAACTTGTGGGTTGTGCGAAACCTCAGTTTTCCAGTCCTGGCTTTGGACTATGAAGCAAATCGATGGCGCTAAATATCAATCGTAGTTTCAGTACAGCACAAGCGATTGACGATTGACCATTTCAGAGCAGGAACTAAGCTGAATTACGATTGCGATTTGTTGCTCGTGCTAACTATTGAGTTTTATCACCTCCGATTCATACTATGGGCACAAATGGTTCACCGTGCTAAAACGATAGTAAAAAGGCTACATCACCTGTTCAGAGCGAACTTATGTGACATGCAGTGAGGAGATCGTGTGGGAAGGTTCAAATTAAATATGGCTGGCGTTAAATCGTCTCACGTGACTCTAGGGAGGAAGGAACAATGCATGCGTCATGTATGCCTACTCGTTACATCTCTTCTACAATGAAACAACTCAACCCAACGTGTGAAAGCAAAAAATTGTCCTCCTGCCACAAAGGTCATGGGTAGTTATCTGGTTTTAAAGCAAACCACGACACAAAGCAGTTATATTAATGACTAACAATGGCATTGACTGAAAGAAAAAAAATGCCGATACGCTTTTATTCCTCATTGTTCAATTAACGTTCGGGCCGAATTTCTCAAACTGTCGATCAAAACTTCCATGAAATATCTACCAGTTAACCTAAACATTTGCAGCATTTAATTAAAATAAAGTTGAAGGAAGAGGAAAAATTATTCAGCGTAAATTCCGAACAAAACAACATCTGCAGTTTAGAGCACATGCAACAGTAAGTAAGAAAAATCACGTAACAAATCTTCGAGGAAACTTTCCATTTATTCTCCAGAATAGGGTGACTCAAACAAGTCCCATAAACAGTAAAGTTAGAAGTATTGCTCGAACCCATGCATGTATGTCTTGAGTGAACACAAAATGCAATTACAAGAAAAGTAAATGAGCGGGTATTGAGTCTACCTATGCATTTACGGTATTTACGTAAAATTTAAAGGTACAGGAAACGTTCTGCATTTGGACTCTAATTTTTTCCCTAACGCTGAGAGTGAACATAAAGTGAAAAAAGTCCCAAATTTTGCATTTACATTTAGAACGTACACAAGACTCTGTGAGCCGCAAAAAAATTCAAAGTAGAAGATTTGTCGGATCTGTGCACTAACGGCATTTAGATGAAACCGTATTTAAACCAAAAGAGAACAGAAAATACGACAAGTCATAAGAATCTTAAGGTAAGAAATATTACCAGGACGTCCCCATTTATCATTTAATATAAGGTATATGAAAAGTTTAGTCAGATGTTTCTCGAACCTATGCGTTTACGGTATTTAGAGACACTTAAAGGTACAGGAAAGGTTATTGGTAAAGTCTCGCCGCGTGACATATATATGAAAGGCGTGACATATATATAACAGGCGTGACATATATATGAAGGGCGTGACATATATATAAAAAACAGGCGTGACATATATATGACAGGCGTGACATATATATGACAGGCGTGACATATATATAACAGGTGTGACATATCAATATCAGACCTAACAGGGACGCATCAGCCACAGGGATCAGGTAATAACGTGCGGTATTCAAAACCAGAGCGAACATAAAATACGACAGTTACTAAGGAGCCTGAAGCAAGAAATCTTCCCGAGACCTTTCTATTTATTCTCCAGAATAAGGTAAATGAAACGATTCGAAAAAAAGTAAAGGGGGGAAATTTTTCTCGAACTGATACATTTAAAGTATATTATTGAAACTTAAAGTTACAGGAAAGGTTATTGGTTATATAAAATAAAGATTGAAAAGAAATTACGAAAGGTCGATCGTATGAGAAAGCTGAACTAAGAAATCGTCTTTGGACCTGTTCTTTTAACTTGAGAATAAGGTATTTGAAATGATTTGCGAGAAAAGTACAATAAAGTTGGGAGTTTGGCTCGAAGCTATACATTCAATTTTAAACTTTAAGGTACAGGAAACTTCATTTTATGAGTCTTGGTATATATATAAAATTCTCAAGTGAACAGAAAAAGCGACAGGTCGTAGGAATCCTGAAAAAGGAAGGAATTGTTGGGGGTTTTTTACAGTTATCCTCCAGATTAAGGTAAATGAAACGAAACGCAAGGAAAGTGAACGTCAGACATACGGATTTACTGTTATTTTAATTTATTTATGTATTCAAGGTTATCCATTTATTCTTTTTTAATATATATTTACAATCGCAAGATTCTTAGAAAATTCTAGCGACGGGCTTGCCGTAGCTGGGTAAAATTTAGAGATGTGAGACAAGGACGAACGTGAGATGAAACCTGTTGAATTAAAAAAAAGCCTATTTTTTTGTTTCTTTACAGCGTTGCAAGGAACATTTCTTCAATGGAACATATATTCCAGGAGCACATGCTTCCCACAGCACGCGAAGGAGCAAGCTATTTTCTGTCAAGGGACAGGCAGACTGTTCGTGGGATGGTAACAGAAACCCTTGAAACACCTGATGAAGTAACACCACACAGGTCAAGGAGGGACAGAACGGTTTTAAAGAAGACGTTCCCCACACAAGTCGGAGTCCATGGCATAACGAAAGCGGCCTGTTACTCTGTAACAGTTATCGTATATACTCAGAGTAACATACTAATTACAGGTTTTCCCACTTACTAATGACTTAGCAAGGTTTATCGAAATAGTGGACTCAAACTGCTCATCAACATTCTCTCTTGTGGCTTATGGAAAGTCATCATCGTGAAAAGTTGTTGCAGACTGAGTACCTAACGATAGAGTTCATGAAGTTTCTTAAAGCTCACCTTTGTAAGATAATTTCATAGTTTTTGAATAATTGTAAACTTAAGTTGTGTTTCTTGTGGAAATAATATATATTTCATACTAATAAACGGCTATTGTTCCTTTTATGATGGTGCAAAAGGAGTCTCTGGGAAAAAAAATGTCTCCTTCACCGTCTTCGCAGGAGATACAACAAAAATTATCCGTCTTTTTCTTCGAAGAGATTGAGAAAATTATCCTTCTCCTTCCTAGAAGACGCCCGGATCATGCGTAGAAGATACAAAAAAAATTCCATCTTCACCGTCTTCGTAGGACAGGACAGAACGGAAAACGCGTGGACTGTAAGTACCTCCCGTTGTCCCATACAAAGCCTTAGTTCTAAGGCTTTGTATGGAACAACGGGAGGTACTTACAGTGTATGCATTATCCGTCCTGTCATGATACAAAAATAATCTCCTTCTCCTTCTTTGAAGGCGCCCGTCATACGCGCAGATGATACAAAAAAAAATTTTCACCGACTTGGCAAGAGATAGTATTTCTTTCTAAAACGGTGAAATTAGTTTATTCTTTATTCTTCTTCTTCTTCGAAGGCGCCCGTCATCAGGCTCAGAGGATACAAAGAAATTAATTCTTCTTCACCGTTGTCGCAAAATTTCCTTTTTCGCATGCTCATAGAAGCATGACTGTTGAAGGAATTGATTTTAAAAACATGTGGACCGATACCAAACCTAGCCTCTCCAAATCTTCCCCGATGCATTACGGAAAAAACTAATTCGTACACGTGGTGTTTTAGTAAACAACTAAAACCTTCGAAACCAAACAATTTTCATTAAATACTGAGCTCCTTGTAATCATAAGATTTTTTTCCTCTCATAGGGCGAAGGATACCGCTAAACAGTGAAACGACCGAGCGCCATAATCCACCGAATTCATCGGGGCCGGGTCGAGCAGCTTGATCTCTGATGAAATGTTGTTGCATGCTTAATATTTATAACTTGAAATGTCAATCGGCCTTTCCAAATGTGAGCATTTTCCCGTAATCCTATTAGAATTCTGTTAATGGGTCTTTCAAGCTCCATGTAATGCTTTATAATTTGCAAAGATCTGCGATCCGAGGTCGCCTTGAGGAAAGTATTTGGTATTAAAAAAATCAAAAATTTGCCGACACGCTATTATTCCTCATTGTTCAATTAACGTTCGGGCCAAATTCCACAGACTGTCGATCAAAACTTCCATGTAATACATCTAACAGTCAAATATTTCCCGCTCCTATGTGTCAACATCTGTACTGGTGCGAATATTCGCCTATTTTGTTCTCCGGTTTACCTAAATACCACAACCGGACAGGGGATTATTTTGGGACGAGACAGTTTAGTAAATGTGTATATCCTTCGTACATAAAACACTTGACTATTGCATCAAAGCTGTTCGACGGCCGGGATACACTAAAACAATGAAAACAACGGCCAAACCCAGAAAAGGACTTGTGGAATTATTAGTTAGTATGGGTGTGTAGTGGGTTATATCTTGGGAAGGCTTTACAAAGCATGTTCGCGGAAGGAAAGTTTCTAGAAGCTAGAAATAAACTTGTTGCTTGCGTGTATAATTGCTATTAACACATGCCGGCACAGATACCTAAGCGGTAATATACTAAAGTAATTTCGCAAGTAAAATGCGTCAGCGTAATGCATAGCCATTGGCTCTATTATGAAAAACCGCCTGTACCCAATCCACCTCTAATTTATCGATGTCTAGAATCATATTGCTAGAGATTAATACTCTCAATGATTACTGTCTCTTACTCAACTTGCCAGACTGCTTTGTTTAGTCAGTTTTTCCGGTTTGTCACTTCAAAATCCTTTTTGAAAAACAAAATCGATAAGGTGTCTATGTTTAAAATGCTATGCTTCTACGTTCAAAATTAGTCCGCTTGCGAACTCGTAAGCAAACTGAACTTGAAATTGGCAAGCTCGGGGTCAAATATGTTGAAAAGTCTGGAAATTATTTCTGTGCAAATTTAGAAACGCTTCAAATCTATAACGCTGCAATGAAAGGGGTCACTCAAGTAGAAAATTTTAAGAGGTTTAGAAGACAACTTTACATTTCGCGTGACAGCTAGCGTCGACTGAGCTATCCGGTTTGATTATATAGCTTCAAATCTCTAACGCTGCAATGAAAGGGGTCACTCAAATAGAAATTTTTAAGAGGTTTAAAAGACAACTTTACATTTCGCGTGACAGCTAGCGTCGACTGAGCTATCCGGTTTGATTATATAGATTGTATTCGCTACGGATATACACTGTGTAAGGTTGTTGTGAAAGATCGATGCGTTAAATCGACTAAACCAGAAAACTGGCAACAGATTTTTTTTTTTTTTTTTTTTAACATTTTTTTAAATTTTCACTTAAAGCACAAATACAAGAATAATGCAAACAAATACAAAGTTAATTACACTGACGCTTACGCTACTCACTAACACTAATTACGAAATACTGCGTTACATTACATTCACAGTCGGCTAGATTTAATTTATGTTGTGGTTATATAATAATATAAACCTAATTTGTACAAATACTTCTACATCAAATTCCTTTTTCGGTAGAACGACTGTATATACAACTGCGTCTATAACTGTTAATACCCGATACTCATCTATTGAGTTACAATAACTTTTTCCCATTTTTATAATGAATAGATTCTTTTTTATTCTTTTTTGCAATCAAAAATTCAAATTTCCGAGTTTCAGATGTTTTAGCCTTCAGTAAGGATACAGACGGCTTGATATTTTTACAACGACATGAATAAATGGTATATTTTCCAAGAATGATCATGTGATTTAACAAACAATTCCCAGGGATATTATCGGAAATACCAAAGAGGATTGTTACCTCATCAAGCTTATCAATTTTCATATTGTAAGTATTTAACCAAGAAATAACCGAAAGCCAAAAGTTTTTAGTGTAAGTACAGCTGATTAGAAGATGCTCAAGAGTTTCTTCGTGATCTCCACAAAAGGTACACATCGGCAACAGATGCTATCTTAAAAAAAGCCTCCAACAAGAAGGCTTAAACGCAAATCGTCCTCACGAGCGGCAGGTCACCACCATTATCTTGAAACTGACATAAGTTATCCAACAGTGTCTACGCATCCTACCTTTTTGCAAATGACAAAGCTGTTTGGCCAGAGACCTCTCTCTGAAGGATAGTTTGCTATCTGAGAGGACATTTTCTCTTTCACGGGTGTCTTTGCAACTTAGCCGCAAAATATTTTGGATAAATAGGAGTTTATTGGATCGACACTTAAAAACTTTAGGGAATTTAGATCTAAATGTAAGTGTTAAGCGTTGTAAAGATATCATTGTTAACAACCACATTTTCTTGTCTTTCTGTTCGACCACATTTTGATTATTGCAATGTACTGTGGGGAAACTGTAACAAAGGCCTTTATGAAAAACTCCAAAGGCTTCAAAATGGCGCAGCTCGCACCTAATGTCTGTGAGCTATGATACTAATTTGGATGTTCTTTTCCGGGCTCTGGGGTGGCGAAAACTTTTTTATCAAAGGTTAGAACTGAAGTTTATCTTAATGTAAGACATCAAATGATATGACACCTGAGTATTTGAGATCAAGATTCGTTTATCGTGACAATGTAAGTGCTTATTGTTTGAGAAATACCGAAAACAATCTAGTTCTTCCACAACCTCGAACTGATTATCTCAACGGAAGTTTTTCGTGAAGCTGAGCTCAGTTATATAGACCTATAGACCTAGGGCAAGCATCTTTATTGACCGATTTCAAATCTAGATTAAGTTGCCACAGTTTTAAGTAGTATATTAAGTTTAAGTAAAATTCTAGACACGGCCTCCATGAAAAGCAGTTTTTATTTGAAACATTTTTGTTATTTTTATCGTAGGTAGATAGGTAGATAGGTAGATAGGTAGATGTGGTAGTGTGGTGTGATAGTGCGGTATCTTAATTGACTGACAGAAATACCTTGTACAAATAAAGTTCTCGTATCGTATCGTATCGTATCGTATCGTAACATGCAGATTATTCTGCCCCCCCCACACACACACAGACACGGACTACAGTACTATTGGCTCAACCGGTCCATACAGACACCGAGGAAAGCAAGTACTTACACTTTCCTTTAAACATCGCCTTGTTCTTATCAGCTGGCATCAGTAATTTTATCGCCATACCATTTAATGTAAAATTGCATCTCCTTTGCCAAAGAGGCAAATCTTAAATTTGTTTTTTGTTGTGTACTAATGTACATCACTTATACATTACTTACGTACATTTTCGTACACAGTTTGCTCATTTGTTGTAATGTTATCGTAATTTTTTATTGCAGAATATGGGGGCAACAAGAGCTTCCATCTGCAATTCATGCGGTTTGAATTGAGAGATCTTTTTAAAAGGCTTTGAATAACTCAGCCCAGAAAGACAAAGCAGTTACAAGAAAATCTGCCATTATCAACGTGATGACAGGAAACAATCTTGAATTCCATCTCAATTCTTAAATTTAGTTGGAAGTAAAATCCATTTCTTGTAGTGTGCCTGATTAAATTTGTTCAAGTGACCCTGGTCACAATAATGGTGCTTTGAAATAGAAAACTGGCTCTAAATATCAATCTGGCTATGGTAGCTGAGTAGAGGAAAACTCTGACAGCATATCATGAAGTTCTTTTGTGGCTGCTATCTGAGTGCGGACTGTCGATAGATACTCACTGTAGGTCTGTGTCCCTGCAACGTTCTCTGTTTTGCTGCTGAATATAGGTTTGGGTGTGTATCTTCCACTATCGTGAGTTTGACTTGCTGTTTCCCTCATGAGCCCCTAGAGAAAGAAAGTAACATGGTTAATATTCAACAATCTTTCTTGGTTAGAGACTGTCATTAAGTATCTCCCTTGCTTCTGAGGAAATTCTCCTAGAATTGAAAGGGACAGGAATAGGAAAAGAGATTTTTCCAAATACTGCTACATTGTGGATGCCATTTTGTTACACCTCTAATCAGTAAAAGATCACAGATGATGTTTTAACCCCTCACACCCAAACATCAGTACACATACTTTCCATACAGTTCTCCATACATTTCCTGAGGTGCTCACAAGGAGAAATTATTTAAAAATCTAGAGCTTCTTTAGTTGGTGATCATTTCCTTTATCCTTGTGACCTCAATGTTTGATTTATGGGACATATTATAGGGAGAAATGAGACACTAATCACTCTTTGGGGTGAAAAGGGTTAAATGTAGTAGAGTGGGCAAGTTTCCAAGGGTCAGCTTAGCACATCTCTGTGAGGTGGTATTAAGGCAACATACAGCAGCAGGAGGTCTTAATTTACATTTACATGGTAAAGATGCAAAACACTGCTAGTAATCATATCATCCTCAAGTCAATTCTCAAACACATTAACAGGCAAAAACCAAATCAAAATGCATGAAGAAGTCAACACATACAAATCATAATCAGTGAATTATTGCTAAAAATGCAATCCTTTGATAAGGTTTTTGGAGGCAGTCGGTTACCAGGCAGTTTCTTATTTGTAGAGTGTTGGTCAGGTTTTTTCACAATTACAAAAAAACAACATTTTTACCAGATAGAGCTGTAGCTGGTCACATGCAATGTAAAAATCTTCTAAACTTTTCTCAAGCTTGTTATTTGGCCCCTCAGTTGTCTTCCTGTAGAATAATAATAATAATAATAATAATAAACAAAATATTGTACTTGTCTCATTGAGTTACTGGTCAGGAGTAAGTTTTAATTATTTCTTATTTACAGAAATAATCATATTTCTCTGACAGTGTTTCTCTTTCGACCAGGAAAGTGTGACAAAACAGCTGATTGGCTCAACCCTTTAACTCCCAAGATCTGATTGTTAATTTTCCACGTTAGCTGCTACACATTTCCTCGAAAATTAGTTATGAGAATTTGGTGTTAGATCAAAATAACAACTTCTGCCTGATAGCTTTGAGTATTCCCATTGCTTTTTCACTGGATGATGTATGGATATTATTGAGTAAAGTTGCATGTTGATTACCTCTGGTAGTTAGAGGTTGATAGCTCTTGTACAAATACTACACCACAGGATAAGCTCTAATTACCACAAGCAAGCTATACTGTGCCTGACCCAAGGTGGAGTCAAAGAGGCAAGGAAAGAACAATACTTTCAGTTTTTTGTTGGAAACAAGCTATGTAAAATGTAACTCTTTGCAAATCACATTATTTTGCTCATTTGCTCTGTTCTTATGTGCTGCCCTCATCTCATTTCTTCATATCATATGCAACTAATTGTATTTTTATCATTTTTCCTATACATTTATTCAGTTGATAATTCATATATTTAGGAAAATGTCTCAAAATTTTGTTACTTCCTTTTGCAAGCGCTGTTTTGCTATTATATCAAGCTCTACATATATCCACTGTCCATTGGGGTTCATATACAGTTCATTGATTTAGTTGTCTATGAGCTGACAAATGAATAAAGAGAGAAAGTTTTAAAAGAAACTGTGTTACTGCATTGGTGGGAGAATATAACATGATACTTTGGTTTAATCAACTCCATTGATAATGTAGATGAGCCACTGTCAAGAGTTTTCAAAGCTAACATTGTGGGCCTTGGTCCTTCTTGAATATTTGCTCTGATGAAAGGCTAATGCTTGAAAAGTCAGCTTTGAAACTCTTTAACATGGCCAATTTACGTTACAAACTCAGTTAATTAAAACCAAATTATCCTATGAGCTAATAAACCCTTTCACTCCCAAGGTTGATCAAAAAGGAATTACTCTTTTCAAATCACACCATTTTAAAGCAGAAATGTGATAAGATAACACAAAAATATCAACTTACGTTCCAAGGTCAACTTCTGCATTTTGATCGATGGCCTGATTTGCTAATCTCATAACGTTCTGTAACAAATTAAACCGAGTGACTACATTATATTTGGGCGAGTACAAGTAAATGTACATGGAATTGTTGAACTTAAGCTACGTAACATCTGTCTTATCAGGTTGCAGAGAAATTTTGGAATCACAGTCACTGAACCCCATCTCTTTTAATAAATATTATTAACTGAAAACTTGAAAGATCAAGCCTGGCTAATTTCTTGTGTAAGTTATACCCATCACGAGATAAGATAATCAAGTCTAGGGTACCATCGATCGCGTAAAGCTTGACAACAACACCTGAAGTGGTGTTTAATCACCGTCATCTCTCTTTTAAGTATGTTATTCATTATAATCCTACCGCGAGCGTGTCTTTAGCATGTTTGATCAGTTTTCCAACGTTCTCCGCATCGATCGCCGAGCCGGCAGTGTTAGAAGAAGCCATTACAGATTTTAGTTATGAGCCTCCCATATGCCAAACCAATTGTTCAGCAGTCTGCATCAAAGATTTACACTAGGTTATGTATGCCCAAAACAAGATTTGAACAAAATGGCGGCAAGTCATGAAGGTTTGCTTCGTGTTTCTTCTTCTCCAGGACAACTGCAGATGACTTGTACAAGCGAATTCGTCGCATTGCCCTTAACAAAGACTATTGTAGGAGTTTGGTGGCTTGGAGATATCTCGAGGAAGGTAAAGCCAATTAAAGATGGAGTTAGATTTGTTACCTATAGTTACTAACTAAGTTAACTGTAACAATTAAAATTTGATGGAAGTTATTTTGCCCTTGATTTTGAGGTACTGAATTTGATTTGGTTTTTTTTTTTAATAAGAAGTAACAAGATCACTTGGTTTTCACGTTGATGTTAAAATAAATTCACGATTAAGCATTTTTACTTATCAGAATATTATCGAATCATGTCTTCTTGAGGATACGGACGCTGTAGGGTGTTAAATGAACAGCTACTTTCTAGTATATTTTCTTATCTTTGAAGCATGACAAATTTTTTTCAGAGCTTTTTATTTCATTGAACATGACTCAGTAGTCGTTTGATCTTTAGATCCTCTCAGCCATTCAGAAAAACGATTGGCGAAAGCAGCTGCTATAGCAACAACATCTAACATCATGAGGATTTTTTTTTTATACCATAAAACTGTTTTCTGAATTTACAAAGAGTTATACACTATTCATTTTAAGTTTTATTTTCAGCCTTTACAGCTCTCTGGCCACAGTGGAATAATAAGTGCCACTTGTTTTGGACAAAAGGACAGACCTCTTCTTCTCTGCACTGCATCAGAAGACTTTATCTACATCTGGAACATTGAAAAGCTTTTGGCTATTGACAATATAAGTATGATATACTAATGCAGTATTTGCCAGATAGTTTATGGTTGCTAAACAAAAAAAACACTAGGGCAACAAGGGTACACGTACAATTTAATTTGGATCAAGAGAAGAATTTCTAATGCTTTGTCTGAAGTAGGCAGTGCTTCAGAAATGAGAATTGACTGAAAAAGTTTGCAGCCAGTGTTTTTAGAGAACAGTGCTGATGTACAAATTATATGCAAAACATCTAGAATAAACTATGGGAATGAGGCAGACACTCCATGCATGACAAAATTTTATGTTAATGTGTCAAACAATTTGAAGCTTCAACTTAACACTCCCCCCCTTCCCTGAGCAGCCCATGGGCAGGGTTCGACATTAACTTTTGAGGTAACTTGCCCCATTGGGCAACTGCCATTTAATTTTTAGTTGCCCCCCAAAAACTGTACTTGCCCTGTTCTAAAAGGTAGTTGCCCACTGACATTTTACCCGCCATTTTGAACACATGTGCATTCAAGATCTTTCTGTGCATCCTCTCATGAAGTGTACCGCTGACATGAGTGACGCATTTGCGATCTCACTCCCTGACGAGCGTTGAAAATCAAGGTGCTTTTACTGTTTAGCTACATACAAAAAAGACAACTTTTCTTGGTTTTCTGTTTTCTGTTTTCTTTATTATTTCTAAGTGATTTAAATTATTATTTTTATTATTACTTCCAAGTTCCAGCAGTTGCCCTGTATGGAGGAAGCCAGTTGCCCACTGGGGCAACTGGCCTGAAGATTTCAGTTGCCCAAGCCAAATTTTACATGCCCCGGGCAATAGGACACCCGTTAGTTTCGAACCCTGATGGGTATAGGCCATCGTATGTGCAGGGGAGTGGGGAATGGAATGTGAATCTTGCCTATGGTGGGGTGGGGAATTTGCATCAGAAGTGTTAAGTCTTTCTGGCAGAATACAAATGTTGTATCTTTAAATTTGGTGGTTAGGGTAAATATTTAGATATACCCTGGAATTTGGGGTAAATATTTCATTTGTGCTAGTAAATAGCTCAAAAGAAAAGGTCTGATGTTTTGAGTGTTAGCCCTTTTTCAGAGTGAATGACAAAAGGTTAACTCTCTGACAAAGGGCTTAAACACTCAAAATATCAGCTTTGTAACTCTTTACAGTTGCCAATTCATGTTATCAACTCAATTGATGAAACTTAATCACCCTTTTATACTCTCCCACTGACACAGCACCACGGTTTCTTTAGAAAATGACCCCTGTCATTCATTTTGCCAAGTTAGAAAGCTTGGTTGATGTGTAGAAAGTGATGGTCACTGATTTTACCTTCTGCAAAAAAATTGGGTGGTGTACTTGAATACAATTTTTTGTTGCCAGGAAGGGAATTTGAATGAACCAAATCTGCATATTAAAAGTTCAAATGATGGGGAAATTACCAGGAAGGGGATATGTCAATGCTTCAAATTGAATGAAGCATAAGTTTGAAAATTAAATTACAGTGTCGAGAAAATGATCCATTGAATGGCCTCCCTGGTTAGTTCTAATCAATAGACGTCAATATTGAACATCTTTATATTTCAGCTAGTGATCATAGCAGTGGGATACCAGTTGGTAAAGACCTGGGACATGTCCAACATCTTAGCTTTAGCATGACTGACAGGTTGATTACGGCATGTATTGGGAGAGAAATATGGGTCATTAACATCCAGGTATGTCATTTCAGACTTGCAGTATTTATAATACAAACTTGTATTTTTTTGTCAGTTCAGAAATATATTTGATACCTTTCTTATTTTTCATATTATTAGACTAGCAAACTGGACACTCTGTTGGAGGGCCACACCAGCATTGTAACATGTGCAGAGTTTCCTCCTAAAAATGAGTCAATCATTGTGTCTATAAGTGAAGACAGAACTTTTAAGGTATGTTCAATGTACATGCCAGTGTATTATATACTTTAGTAAACTTATATTTTTCTTGGACAAAGCATTGCAGCAGGAAGTAATCAGGGAAAGTTGTTACATTGAGCACTGAACATTTTTTAAGCAGGAGAAATGATTTAAGACTTTTCACAATGACAATTATCATTATGATAATACCAACATGCATGCAATTATCTAACGAATAAACCCTGACAGGAATTCAGTACATTAAAAGATAATGTACAAGCTGAACATTTATCACTGTCCTTTCAATCCCAACAGTTATCATTAATTGTGCTTAAGGTAGAACAACATTTTATCATAATAACTATCTTTCAGAAATGTTTTTTTTAACTCACCACCTGAACTACTGATATTGTGTAATCACTCCTAGGAGTGAAAAGGTTAAATTATTATCAGTTGGCTGAGACATTTCAGATCCTGTGGAAGTTTGAAATACTACAAACACCACTGTAGTTGTAGCTTTGTCATTTACACAATAGCTCTGGATAGTGGATGATCCTTAATTTAGCTTTGTAAGAATCATCTTAGGGAAGAGAGAATAGTGAGAAAAGGAAAGCAATTTCTTTTTCTTTTCCCCAGTTTCAAACTTACTCTTACAAAAATTTAGACAACTCTCAGAAAATTAAAGTGCATTAACTGCATACTTGCTAGGCTTATAGTTATGATTCTTGGCCTAAAATTAAAGATGTTATAAAACCTAATTAACAGTTTGCTTACACTTTGTCTGCATCAAATTTATGACTCAAGGTGTGGAACATTGAGCAGTCATGTTTGGTGTACCAGTCAGCCATTTTGTCAGGTAGGGTTAAAATGTATTTGCTTGAATAGACCAAGGAAACATTCAAATTACCCTTGGAATCAGTTCTTTTTTTTATCCTTAGAGTATACTCCTTGCAAGTTATTCAGACTTTTTTTAATGAATAAACTAGAAACACAGTAGATTAGTAAGAAATTTCCCTAGCATTTATCCCCTTCAGTTCAGAATAAATTTCATGATCAGTTTTTTTCTGGCATGTAAAGGCAGAAAATTGTTCAATTATAGTTGCAAATTTGCTTTGAGTTTAGGATTTGTAATCTAACTTATGAATACCTTATTTTCAGCTCATCCATTCCTTTCACTTGCTATGGATTCTGTTCAAGAACAGATGGCAATTGGTTCTGCTGATGGGAAGGTAACAAGTCACAGAATTATAAGCCTGCAACCAATTATCACTTTCACATAGAGAAATACTGACTCGTGTGAATTTTTTTTGACTTTTAAAGCTTCACTTGTATGACCTAACTTACAATGGTGGTTACCGATGCTTGTATGAACTGGATGTTAATCAGCTGATGCAAAAATATTGGAGTCAAAAAGAAACTATAGCAGAAACATCAAAGAATGGGCCTTCGTTTATAAACAGTCAGCCAACCTGGCAAAGTAAAAGTACCCCAGATGAAGGAAATGAAGTTGTTTTGGAACCAGGAATGGCTGTACTTGCTGTCTGCTTCATAACAAACCCTCTTCAAGAAAGTGCTAGACATAGGGATGCAGGAGCACACAGGGTCCTTTTTGGCTCACACACTGGATCAGCCATAAAGTAAGAACAAAGATTAATATGTGAGCCAACAAAGATTAATATGTGAGCCAACAAAAATCTACTTCACCACACAGTTGTAGACTTCAAATCAAGAAGTTTGGAATCCAGGCTGGCTAGTATTTTATGTTATATAATTATTGATATTGTTTGAATTAGGGTTCTTAAACTTGCAGTCAAGTTACAGTGTATCTCTTTCTCCACTTGGCCAGTATTATGTATTAACTATTTTGCATTATTTATTTAGAGAAGAATTCATTAAATGTATGAAAATTGAGTCTGTTGATCAGTTGACCTTAGAGGGCCAATTCTGAGACTGAAAGGGTTTTAGAAACTAAATTATTCTCTACTCCATTTAACAAATAGATTCCAAGCTGCCATGTGTCTGTTCAGTAATAGATCACAGATGATGTCAAAATGAGGTAAGAACAAAAAAGTGGCACACGAGGCGCAGCGGAGTGTGTCACTGATGTTCTTACCACATTTTGACATCCTCTGTGATCTGTTACTGAACAGATGCACAGCAACTTGGAATCTATTTGTTTTATGTAATAAAGAATTTTAAAAAGTTTTAATGATGATGTCATCTATATGTCTGTCCTCCAAAGATCATAAGTGAGAACCAATCAGAATGCATGCATAACTGAGCTTATTATATGATTTATGTTCAAACACCAGACATCTTTTGTGTGTTTTCTTGTTAAAGGGATGTGTTTCATGTGTCCTCCATTGTGGCCATAGCAACAACAGCTGCCATTGTATTGTTGAACTGTGACAGCAGGGAGCCACTGTATGTTCTGGACTTTCAAGGTAGTCTTTTACTCGATACACAATAAATCCTTTGGCCCCTAAGTGTGACTAGCATCTAATTTCTCGTTATGGTATCACCCCTGAATCAAACATGGAAGTCATGAGAAGAGAGGAGATGATCACCAACTAAAACAGCTCTCGATTGTGAAACAAATTCTCCTTGTCAGCCTCTTTGGAAATGTCTGGAGAAAAGTAAGGAGAATGTGCATACTGATGTTAGGGTTAAGGGTTAATGGTTTGAACTCAGGAGTAATGGTCAATTGTGTGGTCTTATCATGTGTAAGTGAGTGACATCCCAACAACCTGAAGAATCATGTCATAATAACTATTGGCATTGGAGGAAGAGCAGGGGCTTATCCCCCCTCCCCCCCCCAAACAAAAACTCTGAACTTTGGGGGAGAAGGACAGGGTGAGGGACCCTCCCCCCACACTCCACCTCCTGCATACATGCTTTGAATTAAAATTCTTATTGCAAGAGCAGCTTAAAACTTTTTTGTCTCACAGTTTGTTTTAATTTTTCCATGAGGTTTGTACTGCATAAGATAATTTGTCTACTTATGCATTGAATAAGTGGATTACAGCCACAGTAGAAACTGATGATCTTGCAAAGAGGCTTGCTTGTGCCAACTAACTGTAAAGGACATTTCTAGAAATTTTGTAGGGCTTTGGTCTTGTCTTAGGCTACTGCCCATGATGTCAGACAATTGGATAACATTACGTACAACTTCTTTGAAAGTATAGCAATTATAAAATCATAAAAAAATGTCATTGAGTCCAGAAATAGTTAGAGGGCTGTAGAAGTATGTCAGTTTTCCGACATCAAGGATGTTGTCAGTTTTCTTACAGATATATAGAAACTTTTATGGCACATTAAGTGCAGGGGATGACGTTTTTAGACAGCCTCACAAGTTTCAGTTCAAAACTAACATTAATGAATTATTCAATTTGTGATTAATATTGCAGAGCCTATTTTGTCCAGTAGCGAGTTAGATGATGTTCAATATCACATCTCGACTCCTGGTTCATTTGCGTTTGCAGAGAGGCCTGATGGCAATGTGAGTACAAAACTGGGAAATAATCGAAAGACAAATGATAAATAAATGTTGGACAATTTGCCTCAGAATGTAGAGCCTCCATCAGTTCTAAAGTGAAGCTATCAATTAGCTGTCAATTAATCTCTTCTCTGTTATACAGGTGCCACCAGTTTTATGTTTATTCTTTCAAGGCAGACTTTCAGATATTTACTTTTCTCTTCTTGTTTCAGATGATTTGTTTGATTGGCAGCTTGTTTCAAAATACGGTGAATGTTGTCAAAATCAGGAAGCCAAAAACTAACACGGAGACAGAGAATGTCCATCAGGTTAACAGCGTTCAATGAACAGCATTTTTGTCAATTTTGTTTGTTTAAGTCCTTGTTTACTGTTGAGCAGGTAGCAGAAGTGCGCGGAGGTGTTGTAAACGTGTCTCTAACAGCCCACTAACCTGGTCTCGGATTGGACCGTCAGTTGAAACAACCAAGGGGAGAAAACAAACAAACAACAATTACGATAAAACTGAGCTTTAAAGAAGAAAATTCATGAAGTGTCAGAATTTCTTTAATAATTTTGTTAAATGTTGGGAAAAGGACTCCGATATAATGAACACAGTACCAATTCCGTCAATCCTCATCAAATTACGGTTCTACTTTTAAAGTTCTACTTTTTTTTAAACCTTAAATTTATGTTCCTTATTCATGTATATATTGTGGTTCAATTTTATCCTTGGTTCAAATTTTATTTTCTTTTGTTTTTGGGTATTGTAATGTATGATAATGAGTTTGAAACAGAGGAAAATATCATTTCAACCAAGGATAAAATTGAACCACAACATAAACACGACTCCCTATTTTTCCGCCATCAAAATATTCTATTGCACGTTAGGAGAGAGGATGCTACCTTTTGTTTCTTCTCGTAGAATAAAGCTCCATTCGAAAGAAATGCCGCACGAATATTTTTAACCGCTATCCTTTTGCATTCTCTCCTTGTAGGATTTGCCTCAAAGACTGTCACAGTCTGTAGGTTTAAGTTCCCATAGTGACCAGGCTGAAGTGACGTCACCCATGGGAGGCGCCGAGATGGCAACCAGCACCGTCACTGTCCTCTCTAAGTATGATTACTATGGCAACAAGAGTGTCAAAATCAAATTTCCCTTTACAGTTGAACGAAAACAAGCTTAGCGACCAATCAAACTTCATGTACATATCAAGACGGACCAATTAAAACTCAAAGCTAACACACATGACCCGTAAATGCGGCTGATGTGGTTGTGAGTTTGTTTGTTACTGTCCTGTCAAAAAGAGAAACAACCGCAACTTTGTTTACGATGTACATCTGAAAAACTGACTTATCGTGAATTGGGAAGAAAATTTTACCTCTGCGTTTTGTTTGCAGTGCTCCGCTGTGTAGTAATTCGCCTTTAAAAGCAGAGCTTGTTCCAAAAACAGCAACCAAACTGCGGCAGAAACAAAAATCTTCTAGCAAAGGTTAGTTGAGTCCATAATTGACCTCATTAATCGTAGGGTAAAATCAATTTCCTAGTATGTACTTTTTTTCTTTCTCGTTCCTTTCATCTTACATGACGACAAGCATTTTGATGAGCAAGTTTAGTTGTGACCATTTTGACCTTTCTGCCGCAGAGAGCGAGTCTCACCTGTTCAAAGTTACCTGCTGTATGTTTTTTCATCCTTTTGTTTTTCATTTTCTAGATGTGAAAACAAGAGTTCTTGATCAGCCTCTAACATTCCATCCAAAAGTGAAATCATCTGGTTATTCATCTTCAGCACCAAGGTAAATTTCTTTCGTTCCTTATGTCTTCCTCATCAGTTGGTTTTCTTTCTTTCCGAAACAGACGGTAACTCCCAAGAGTTTTGAAATTCCGACGACGCTCAATGCTGTCGTTTCACAGGGCTTTTGTAATGAAAGCAGTGTACTAGGATTTTCAATTACTGTTGTGCCTAAAGGCTGACTTGCTATTGTTGGTGCGAATGATGCAACCATTTAAGGAGTCAGTTAGAGCTACGGCGCAAAATAAACGTCTCCTAAAGGCAAAAAACCCTGCGATCATTTTCTATCTCAAAAAGTGTTCAATTAGGGAGGGGTAGAAAATTTTGGTTGAACCATGATATTGCGCTGAGGCTATAATTTGAACTCATATTCAGCCTGCATTATTGATCTTCTTTTTATCAGGTCCAAAATGTTTTCACCGAACACAAGCGCTTCAAAGCCAAAACCATCTGCATTCCCGTCGAAAAAAGTGACTTCCACTTCTCTGAGCACTGGGTGAGTGAAGAATTATACAAATAATGAATAGATTGGTAGCCGTTTGTTATATCTCTCAGTACGAAGCAAGAGCTGTGGAGATAGATTGAAATCAGGTAGGGTGTGCCTCCCTCGAGAAGATAAACAACCTCTGGATTGTTTTTGTTTTTGTTTTTTTTTCTCACTGAACAAGTTGAGTAAAATTATCTGCAAACGTTCTGATTCTCGACCCAGCAATTTAACGCTGCTTTCGCTCTCTTGAGAAAAAATCAAAGCATAAGTTGTCTGAATTGTGCAAGAAATTTCATCATTAACAACATATTGAATCATCGAATAGGGAACAAACAGCACTCGCCAGGAGGATTTGTAGCCTCTGAAGTTTCAAATTGTTCTATTAATTTCTTTCTAAGGGCGTCATTAAAGGAATACCCAATGGATAGTGAAGCACCCACCAACTTGGAGCATAAACTGTGGCTTACTGAGAAACCAACCCCCATAAACTGCATCGTGTTTTCAGGTACGCTTGTGAACAGGAGTGTTCAAGGTTTTAAGTAAGAAGATCACAAAAATAACTACCTATGCGCAGTCAAGACATCTAACCAACAGAAAGCGCTGGAAAACAAATGAAAGAAGTGCGACAAAAATTGTATCAAGTGTGAAGCGCCGGGAAAAATAGAATCTACTACAGGAAGAGCGGAAAACATACCAAACATACTATAGTCAAAGTGCCGTCGACGTCGAAAGGACGCTAGATGTTTTTCAAAGGATGTCTCTTTTATTTCCTCTGTTTACACTTGCAGACGATGGAAAGCATATCGCATGTGGTCTGGCTAACAAGAGTGTTCATATGATGAGACCTCCTCCCTCGAGCAAGGAGAGAGTGTTTACAGGTGAGAAAACTGATTCTTTTCAAACTCTCGCCTACTCTGAATGAGTAGCTGGCTTAGAAAAGAGGCAATGAATGGTTACTAACTGAATTATTCCAAAACGATTCGTACCCCATAGTAGTTTTGTTCTTGATGTTGTGGAAGGACGGCTGAAGCAAGGAATAAAGCGTCAGCGAATTATGGCAAATGAATCTTATTATTCATTAGTCTCCATTTCCGCCAGCTCTTCAAACGTTGTATTTGTTTCAAACTGGAAATTCTTGTGAATTTTCTAATTTGTACTGAGACTTACAAATGTTATAACTGACTAACTCACTCGCTGAAGTAGTGACACACCCACGGGCTGAGATGTCGATCGATTGATTGGTTGGTTGGTTGATTGACTTATTACCTGGTTCATTGACTAATCGACAAGGTATGTGAAATGACCGATTGCACCGTTAAGTCAAAGTTTTATTCCCGCCCTCTAACTAGTAGAATTCCTTTTCAAAAGCAAAACAACTGGTAAAATCTCCAACAAATGTGACTCGCAACATTTCTGTCTTATCTCTGTTGTCAGGACATGACGGATCAGTGACCAGTGTTAGCTTCAGTCATGACAGCCGCTGGCTGATGACGTCATCAAGTGACAAGACTGTCAGACTGTGGAGCCCCGCCCACTCGGATCCTGTGATGACATTCTCATCTGTCAATCACAACTTTTCCTCAGAACTTAACAGCTCTACAAATGTTAAGGTAGGCGTAGATGATAATTGCACATGAAGTATCAACCTCCATATTTTGGCACTGTGTCTTTGGTGTCTTACTTGTTCCTTTCCACTATAAATCTGACCGGCATCCTGAAATCAATCAAAGCCCAAACATTTCCTTTTCATTGTAATCTTCCTTTGGGCACTCCTAGTTCTCCCGCCTTTCGTGCTGATGTCAATGTTGACAGTCTTGTCAAGAGATTGGTTTTTTTTAATCTCGTGGACCTGTTCATCACCAGCTTCAAGCTAGGTTCGACTACCAGCTGCCGTTCGGGAATATGAGCCCGCGCAAAACCCCCCCCCCCCGCCCGAACCCACTGGGGAGGAGCGCAGACCGGCGGAAATAGAGCCTCATGATATCACGTTTTTTCTATGATCTAATGTTAAGATTTTCCTCTTCGACAGGATAATCCTCCGTTTTCCAAGGAAATAACTCAAGCTAAATTTTATTATGTTGACAAATTCGTCTTTCTAGCAAGTGGCAACGGCCTTCACATGTACAAGTACCACATTGACACCGGGCAAAAAGATGACGTCAAAAGGTTTGGTCAACAGCGTAACAAATTTTGCATAGGCGTAAAACAGTGTAGAATATATATGTTTGAAAGCGAGTTGTGATATAAAAGCTACTCACATTTAAGTTTTGTCTTGCATGTTTTCTTTTTAGGATCTAAAATAATGACATATTTTTGTATGTAGATACCAAACAAACAATAAATACAAGTTGGTGAAAATATTTCAGCAGGAAAAGGCTCAGCAAATTACCTGTTTCTCTGCCATCAACGGATTTCACTCCTGTATCCTTTATTAATGTGAAAACTTTAGTAAAAACCCCTAAGAAATTCCATTCGCGAGTCGAAAGAGCTCTTTCACTCGTTAGTGAACGACACTTAGAGAACACGCGTCATTCAAGCACGACTTGACCACTAGATCGTCGTTGTGGCCTTCTATTTACTCAACTAGGTTTCACCTTTTATCTCTTTTTCTTTATTCAAAATAAAACAGCAGCATGAAAAAATTCACTTTCTGTATTGCTCAATTCTTACACGAGGAACTATTTGATTCTTTTTTGTTTTCGCTTTTTCTTTACTTCTTATTCAAAATCTGAAGCAAATTGAAGCAAAGCCGCTCCAGTTAATGGTTTCCTTGACATACGCTCCAGACATAGTGTTATGCTGTGGTTCCAATAAGTCAATCCAGGTCTTTGATATGAACGCAGCTCGTACAGTCCGAGTGATCCTGGATTCCCACACTCGCCCCGCACACACCATATGTCAAAATGAGGTAGGTTGCTCTGAAAATGTTTGTTCTCCTTCCCAATTCAAGCCACAAATAGTTAAAATTGGGAGTAGTAGTTTGCTAGGTTTAGAGAGTGCGCTTTAGACTTCATGTACAATCTAACAGCGTGTCAAAATATAACCTTCCCTCCCTCCCTCCCCCCCCCCCCCCAAGTTAAAATGTCGAGAGCCCTCAGATGTCACTATCATCTTTCAATGGTCCAAATATTTCCAAACAATCGCCGTGCAAATCCCAGAACGGTTTTATACTCGAGAATCTCGCAGTCCTTAACAAAAACTCACTGACTTTTTATGCCTGTGTATATTACATAAGTTGCTCAGTTTATTTTATCTCTGTTCCCTTTTTTATGTGGATTTGATTCTAGGGTTCACTGTTTGTTTCACACCCTCCAAACGCGTACGACCTCTTCTTAACAGCTGCGGTTACTGATGGAATAAAATTATGGGACTTACGCACCAACAGGTGCGTTCGCCGGTATGATGGTCACGTGAACAGATCGCAGCCAGTCGGGGTGGCTATCAGTCCGTGCGCAAGATTCATTGCAACTGGTTCTGAGGACAGATCGGTATGAATCTACGAATTTTTTATTCTTAAAAAAAATATATATATATATATTTTTTTTTTTCTTTTTTTAATGACACCAAGAGTGCATTACTGAGGCATCTTAGTCAGATTCGCCATAGCGACCAAGGCCGGGTTGTTCAAAGCTGGGTTAAGATAACCCAGGGTTAGTGTAAAATTTTATTTAAGATCTGAAAGTTTGAAAAAAAATTCAGCTTAAATCTTTTTGTCCTCAATTTGTTGATTGAATGCTCTAAAAATAAATGAAGAAAATTGTCCTCAAACAGCTTTTGAACAGAGAAGTATAGAAACCTAGATTAAAATTTAACAGTGGGTTAGCGCTAATCGGCCTTCGAAGAACTGGGCTCAGAGAGTTACTCCTTCTCCCTGATCAGTTACTTAGTCTACTTCGGGTAAGCTTTTTTAACGTGCCAGTTATATTCCATAATTGTGTGCTTGAACCCATTTATACTTCCAAGTATAGAGAGGCACTGTCGTGCATAAGACCCAAATACACTTTCACTCGGCCAAGACTGGAACCCAAACCTCTCTATCCAGTGTCTAGCGCGGTAAATAGAAGGAGCCGCCCATCTCTAAAATGCGCCTAACGAACTCGCCCATCTGCATGCTTAAGTCACATGAAAAGAAAAATTCGAAAAATATTTCACGCTTAGCTTGACAAATACTTTATTTTATTGTTGGAGCATGGTACTCAAGGTTTGTTAGGGTATATCGTTGTTGTTTTTTTTTATTGTATTTTTTTTTTCAGCTTTGTTGTCGTTATTATTTTTCTTTGTTTTTTCCCTTTGAAAGAGAACGAAGAAATATCAACGCAAAATTTATTTTCGAAGTAAACGTCTCAAGTTAAATAAAAATTGGAAAAAAAGGCAAAGTCACAATTGATTTAGAGTACCTAGCAAAAATCAGCCGGCCAGTAAATACAGCCAAGAAAATTACAAAATATCTAAGGGAAACTATATTACCGCGTAATGTTATGGTAATCGTATACCGTTGAGCTTTTCATGTCGCGTGCTTCAGCTTAAGGGCACGTGAATCCCTCAAGATACCCTTGTAGTAATTACGTATGTCGGAAATGTTGTTTATGCGTGAAAATATCGTAAAACAACATTACATATACATGTAGGGCTGTTTATCAGTAGAAACACTTCCGTAATATTCAATGAACACAAAGCTGACCAGTATGCAGTACGATTGTGTACCTTAAACCCTTTGTTTTTCAACATTTTGAGCTCGGTATGAATTGAAATAAAAAGTGTTTTGCTTTTATATACCTGAGAGATACACACATGTGTCGCCAAAAGCATGATCTTATGCACTTGACTTATCGTCTGCCTAACACATACATCTTCAAATGTAACCTACTTAGACGTAAATAGCTCTTAGATCTGTTTTGAAGATTTTTTTTTGGGAACGTTAGAAATGTCAATGAAATCAAATCATATGTTTGCGAAATGAGGGGTATTTTGTCTGTCAGTGCAACTAAAAATGGCTTCCTTTTAGAAATTTTGCCACTGGACTATTATGTCTGTAATTGTCCGCGAGGGAAATCGTTGTTATTTTCAAAGTTGTGAAATACCAAACATGATTTATAGTCGGCAGAATTGCGTGGGAAGAAGGCGACGCCCAATATTACAAGCCTCTCCCATCCTGTTGCTTCTTGTTTCATCAATAAACGCCTGTGTTCAGCGGAGGAATGAATAAGTGAGTCATCCGAGTGGGCGTTGTTTTTTCTCTCCAGCTGTTTGTAGATGAAACCTATCTTCTTGGACGAGTTTCTTCGCAAATATCAATGCTGACTGATGTACATAGATACGGAATGAAAACGATCAGTTACATCGAGCAATGTGCGACTTAGTCTACGAGTCGAAAAAATAAAGGTTCATTAAGAATTAAAGAGAAATGCAACTTCTGCATTTTTAGTTGAAATCATTTTACTCAAATTCGTTTTTTGTGGTTGTCAAATTTTGGTTTCTGAGTTCACATGTTTTTTGTAATATAAGCTAATCTGTAGTTTTATCAAAACTTAGCGTGGGACTTTGTACTTTAAACGGATGCTCTTGAAACTCACTCCAGTGTGACTCTAGGAAAATAAAATAGCAATATCCCAATTTCAGAATGTCTAGGAGCTAAGATTCTAATCTCATGGTAATATTAGCTTGTCTGTGGTTAAAACCCAGGATTGAGATCATGTAAACGAAAGCTCTGGGAAATTACTTTCATGTGACCCTAAAACAAGAAAAAGATTTTTTTCTTTGTCCCACAATCGTGACAAGACGAAAAAAAAACATTTTTCTCTATTTCTTTACCGAGCTCAAAACTTACCATCTCTCTTATTTCTATTTACAAACATTACGCTATCGACATTTCTGATCCTAGCAGTATGCAGGACGCGTGTCCTATGAACTTCGTAAAAGAACTCGCTCACCGTGGAGTCTCAGTGGTAGAGCATCAGAGCGCGGAATCCGAAGGTCTGAGGTTCGATTCCTCATGGGGACTCAGAATCTTTTCTTTGTCCCACGCTCGTGACAAGACGAAGAAAAAAACATCTTTCTTTAAGAAAAAAAGTTTTCGAATTCCCGGAACTTATGGTCACATTTATCTTTTTTTATGATAAGGGCCTTAGTGAAACCCCAACTTTTCATGAGCATCGACGTATATTCGTAAACTAAAGAAAACATGTACAATATTTTTTTTCGTTTTCAGGCCTACCTTTACGACATTCGAGGAAATACATTTTGTCATCGGCTCACTGGTCACACAGACGCGGTATCTGAAGTAGCCTTTCATCCTGCACAACCTCAGGTGTTAAAAAGAGCCCTGTACATTAAGATATACGATTGACACTTTTTGTATGTCTGACATAGCAGTGAGCCTTCATTACGCATTTGGCTATTGAATGAGGGCGAAGCGAACTTTTAGAAGCGAACTCTTTGAAGCAAACTTTATCTGATAAAAGCTGTTGTAATTTTTATTTCCTATTAAGTTTAGACTGCATCCGATTTCGATTTTTTTGTAGCAGGGTCAGTTTTAAAGAACTTTCGGAGACTTCAAATAACCGAAAAATAATAATAAAATTTCAAACAAAGGTATTTCCTGTTTTTAGTTCGGAACCAATTACCAGCCAATACCGCTCCTCTTAAAAACCGAGTGAAGGAGGTGAAGAAATAAAATCAGTCAAAACTTCAACCCACATTTCGTTCTGCTGGTTGCGTCAACCCCATCTCTGACTAATCCGGTGATTTTGGAAACTAGAACATACAAGTAATTTTGCTTTCAATGTCTGCAGCCCTACATATAAGTCAGAGTTAACCTAGCGTAAGACAAGGTCGTGTATAAGCAAGCGGTACATATATTAACTCAAGTATTTTTCCTTTTTCATCACAGCTTGTAACGGCTTCTCAGGACGGACGATTACGGTTTTTCTCCGATCACGGTTAACAGGTTTGAGGTAAGATGGCGATGTTTAAGTGTAACGAGCGTTTTTCCTTTTTTTTTCTTTTTGTTATTAACGAAATGTTTAATTGGTGAAAAGATTGGGATTTCTTTGGAAAAAAGAAGATCAAATCTGAGTTTTGATTCGCCTACATGTTTTGATGTCGTCATGTTAAAGCCTTTTTTCAAGATGGGTGTCAACAGTCCGTTAGGTTTGAAAACTACTTTCTGAGGAAAAAGAGATTTTGTTTGAAAACAGTCTTGCTATTAACCTTAGCTCACATTGAATCGATTTAAAAAACCTATAAAATTAAATAACGTAATTTTTGTGGCAAGTTTTATAACTTGTCGAGTTACAGCAGACTGTGCATGGTAGAGAAATTTTTCTTAAGATTATTTTATGTTACACAACACTAAAGTGATGTTATTGTACTAAGGGTAGTAATTTTTGGGCCATCTTATATTCGCGTAGTAATTTTTCTGCGAAAACTTATGTCCGCGATCGAGGACAGTCCGCCAAATGCACGGAAATTTGATCATGCAGAATTTTCATGCAACTCGTAATGTAGTGTTGGAGGAAGCTCGTGGTACGTAGTCATAATGTTCCCCAAGTCAAAGTGAACAGACGTGCACAACCCCGCTTCTTGAGATCGGCAACTGTTTGTTTGCTTTGTTAGATGTCACGTCTCCTAAAGTTTATCATCTCACTCTGATTTGTCTCTAACTCAAATATAATACATATGGAAAAGAGGACTGTTTAATTTTGTTGTTGTACCACCTGAAGACCATTGCCACATGGTTCAGGTAGGCTGAATGTGAATGCCCACGTTCCAACGTAACGGAACTTGTGGGCCGTTCAATCGCCGTCGTCCAACTCACCCTACAACTCTAACCTCCGCGGGTTTGTTTTCGATTAATTTTAAACGTATAAGAATTGCATGGTTTAATATCGCACTGTACAAAATTTCACGGTCAAATTTAGTAATCTGTGAAATGTTTCTGAGCCTTAAGCAATATTTGCTAGTCTTTCAAATCGATCTGAGAAGCCACAACTCTTCTTGATGCTTGATTTCCGGTTGTGGAACTTCGTTTGATTTTCTCTTATCCCCTTTCCTGTTTTTTTTTCCTGTACTATTTCATTAATACTAGTCGTAACGGTGAGGGTCTTAAACTTTCCTCAATCTTTATTTGTCCCGGATTGTTTTTCTACAAATCTTCATTCCGAAAGCGAAAGTGGGATTTGTACTATAGGAGGAAGTTGATATTGTTGTTTACATGACATTCCCCCAAATATGGAATACCTGTGAATGATACCTGTCATTGATGCCCAAAAAAGGCGTGTGACGTCAGCCGTCTCGATGCTTGAACTTGGGGAAGGTAGGGAAAAAAAGTCAAGCAATACTGACCGGCCGATGTTTCTCTCGTGAATACCGTTTTATCCTCTTTTATTGTTTGTAAAAGACAGTGCTTGAGCCGTTTCAAAATTTTCCCGCGTACTTTTATACTGGCGTGACACTCTGCATAACAGTATCTGCAAGAATACGGACTAAAATCTGCGAAATCCCCGTTGACAGTCGGTAAGTTGTCAACTGATTAGAGCACTACTTCATCTACCTGCTAAACTTCGACAATGTTGCCACCTCGGACTTCCACGATTGAGTTTCCCGACTTTTTAAGAAGCGAACTATCTGGCGGACACTCGCGGCAATTCGTATTTTGTCCACGCATTTGTCAGTCGGTTTTGAATTTCTCAACTTTGATTAGGAACGGATTTATGCAAGACTAGCGGGTTTTTTGTGCGTACGACTGCGCTTTAAGGTTTACGGTATTGCAGCCTTACGAGAATGTCAAACGATGCAATAGTTCATTCACCCCGTGTTAAATGTTTCTCACCTGAATCATTTTTCTCCTCTTTTAGGATGATAACAGAACGTGCACACGGAGTTAAACGCAAGCTTACTGAAATTGATGGCGATCATGAGGTGCATGGCCGCTGTCTTCAACGACAAACAGTGTTCAATATTTCGATCTGCAAACTGCAGAAAAGCTTTACACGGCCAGAGCCCGTCCTCTTTAAAACCGTGCTCATCTCCAATACGCTTCGTCTCATCGAAGAAGACATTAGAGAAGAACGGAGGAGTTTAGAAAAAAATGATTTGAACGGACCTAGCGACGAGGAAACATTCGCCAGAGTAGTCAACATGCACGAACCAACGAATCGCTCCGGTCTTAACATCGGCACGCGATCACGCGACGCCTGTGAAACTTCGAAAAGTTCTCTAACTTTTGAACAAGAACTGAATATTCTGGGCGACAAAATGGTGAAAGAACTTGAGCTGGACATGGAAAAGTCTAAGCTACTCGAAGTGTCCGCCAAAGAAAAATCAGAACTACTCACTCAAAGCCCTTTAACGCGCTCTGCTGCCGATTCGAACAACAATAACCCGGGGTTCGAAGAACGTGAAAGAGCGGTCACCTCCAACTCGGATGAAATCATTCGAGAATTCACATGCGGCAGTCTATTGGGATTGGAATTAACCGAAGAACTGGAGTTTAAAGACGTAGATGTTTCGCTCTATGACTTCGACGTTCCAAACGGATCGTTTCCGATAGATTTTGACGAGTTTTGCAGCGTGTGGAATCTTGGATCAACCAGTGTAGCAGCGCGGAGTTTGCCCAGCAGATGTAGTGACAGCGTAAAGCTTGAGCGAGCAAACGAACACAATTTTGACGATCTCGACCAAGTTATGCAAATTTTAGTGGGATCTTAGGTAGCTGTAATTTTTACAGGACCCTAAATGCGAATGTCGTTTATTTGAATTCGTTGCAAATTTAAGTCAAATGAGTAGAATCTATTCAGAGAAAAAGAGAGTTAAGAAATTTTAACATAGTTGTATCAGTTTTAGCATGTGGGTATAAGGCTATTTATAGTCGGCGCTGCCGATAGAATCCACAACTTTTTATATGCGATGCAAATAAATATTTTATGTGAATTTGGAGATGTATTTGAAGTGGTAAGAAGAGAGTATTTTTTCAGCATATTTGTAGGTAATTTATACTGTATTATATGACATGAAATATGAACTTTTTAACTCGCCAAGCTTTGTAAGTTTTGCAAGCATGCAGCTAATTAATTACTTGTTTTCCATACGGATCAAGCTATCCAGCTAGTTAGAGAATATTTTATGAACTGGATAGTATGGAAGTAGCATGCCAGACCTCTCAATGAATGTAGTAAATTATGCGACCTTTTCATCTTCTTGATGTTCTGTTAATTTATGATTCTTGCATAAGACAATTGCTAGGAAAATGGCTGAAATGACTTTGAACTAGACTAGTTTGTTATAATAATTTTATTCAACGCATTGATTTAATTCATTTTAATGAATAGGAAATTGCTCAATAAATTATCACTTGTTGAACAGCTGTGGCTTTGATGGCTACTGGTTGCATATGTCAAAAAAATCATTCTTGTGTAATATAAACTCCATGAGTGAAGAGAGTAAACATTTATATGGCTAAAGAATGGATGAACAGTGCACATGATTTTTGAAAATAAATTATGAGGTTTCCTTGGAACCATGGTCACCTGTCCAGTGTCAAGTCTTCAAAAGGTGGACTTAAGGTTGGTGTCTAAATTGAATTAATGATGTTTCCTTGGAATCATGGTCACTTGTATGGTGTCAAGTCTTCAAAAGGTAGACTTGAGATTGGTGTGTTATAGTCAATTATTGCTCTTGGTGCACTTGAGGCAACTCCCCTTAAACCAGAGTTTATTGTTATCACCATAGAGATTCATGTCCTACTAAACCCAGTGACAACGACAATTGTGGTGTTGCAAGATCTAACCGGGTTGATATGCAAAGAGTGGATTAAATTTAATCACCTTTTTTCATTCACCTCACCTAAAAGTAGTGATCCACTTCTAAAAATTATTCCTTTGTATAGATAATAAACTAGGATGTTTCCCATGAGTCTGCCACTGATTACTAACACCAAAACTTAAAGTTATTTCAGCATATAGTAGTTCCACTTGATGGTTTGCAAGAGACTTGCACAGAGCAAAACTGTGCATCTTACCCTCCCAACTAAGAAATGTCTGACACATCAACTATACCATATTGTCTTTCTCCTAAGGGAGAAAATGTATTTCTCATTATGCAAAGTGGTGCAATCTAAGGGATGAAATCTGGAGAAAGACAGGGAGGAAAAGATGTCCAGTAATTGTTGAGGACTCTCTGCTCTTGTTTACAAACAAGTGCTATTTCCTAGACTTAATCCTCAGTTAAAAGGAGTCTGCTCAAGCACCTCAAATAACCTTGGCCAAGGCAGAAGAAATTGTTTGTTCTTTGACACAAATGCAAAGGTGACTGTCATGGTAAAATAACATATTTTTGTAAACTCAGTTCTGTCAAGATTAGGGAGATGTTAACCTGTGTGGACCAGGACCCTTTCCATCCTAACATCAGTATTAATATTCTCCATGCTGTTCCCTATACATTCCTTAGGGTGCTGATGAGGAGAATTTGCTTTAAAATCCAGAGCTTCTCTAGTTGGTGACCATTTCCTTTATTCTCATTACCTGAATGTTTGATTCAGAGGTGATAGTGTAAGGAGAAATTAGATGCTAATCACTCTAAGGGGTTAAAGGGTGAATGTTAGTTTCCTGTAATTAATCTAAACATTTCATCTTTTGAACCAGCTGGTTGCTAAATTGAGAACAATCATGACTTGGCCACTTACAATTTCCCATGCTTGGGCTAGTGTTCACTATTTCATTCCCAAAGTCCTCATCAGGTATTTTACATAGTCTGTTCTTGTTTGTGGTGGTGAGTAACAGGGTTTGGTTTGAAAAATCTCAATTGCCCAATCAAAAGGACTCCTGGTTGAAATACATCTACATACGTGTATCTTTTTGTTCTGCATGGAACATAACATATTCATACCAAGGTTACCTCTAAAGTGAACACAATAAAAATATCCTCTTATGAAATGTGATGTTTTATTGAATTCACAGTTTTCATAAGGTAGATTTTTTATGAAAAAATTTATGTATGAAGGGGTAGAAATGTTTAAAATAGTTTAATATACAAAGAGCTGAACCATCTAGCACCTTACACATCATCAAAAATGAACTTATATGGAAGCACTTTAATTAAACACTGACAAATTTAGTAATGAGAATATGCTGGTAATTAAATTATCAGAATATAAAATTTACGTAGTGATTAATAATGTGGAGGTAGAAATTTAACAAAATAATATAGTACTGAGTGAACTAAATTTTCTGACTTTCATTCAATTCTATTAATAAAATGAGAACAAAGTGGTTGAGGCTACATGATGAAACAGAAAATATAGATTGAAATTTAACTGTTGAATTCGAGGAATATCACCTTTTGTGTCCTCAGAGTTATCATTTGTTATTAACTCTCAAGAGATCTAAAAAATGACTGAGGGAAATTAAACACAGTCTGCAAAATGTACCTTAACCTGTACAACTCTCACGTGATAAAAAAAGGAATAGATAAATTATTCATAAAGTGCAAATTGGTATTAGGTTGACCAAAACTTAAGTACTCCGAAATTAAAGCCAAAAATCACAAAACTTTTTTTCTAGACACACTTTTCAATGAAAATAAAATTTCTCCAAACTAAAGTAAAGAAACATAATGTTTCAAGTACAAGGAAGACAATATTTTTGCCCAAAACTTTTTCAGCAACATTATAACATACTGCTACTAACCAAAATAGGAAGCTGTGATTTTTACTCTCAGCCAAAACAAAAAGACAATTATTTCCATGGTCCTTTCCTTGAAAAATTGTTTAAGTATTGTAAACAACAGAATCCATCGTTAAAAAAAAGTTGGATCTCACGTTTTCCCACCCCAGAAACTATGCACTTAATTATACTTTCCCAACAATCCTATGGTCTGTTTTGCACTTACACCATTTATAGGAAGTGAAGTATATGGACAAAATGTTTTCTTTAGCATAAAACAAACTCTGAAACATGTTACATGGGAATAAATATATATTTTTTTAAAATAAAGAGTTTTTCCCAACAATTCACCACTGATAATATCAAACAAGAAAATAATTAAGTTAGCTAAATGCTGCTCTGATATTTCTTATACATTTCTCTATCTTTCACTTGCATTGCAATGTGACAGATGTATCACTCATAACTTAGCTTATTAGGAGGATCTAAACATGATTATAAATTACTATATTAAATGCATCTAAATATGATCAATTAAGTTGTTAGATTCCCATAAACCAGCCCTAACAAATACTTTGTGTCAAACTATACACTTTGAAAGTTCAGAACTCTACAATACACAAAACATGTATACAAATGTACATGTACACCTTTCAGTCACACTAAGATGCTACACACTTTTATATTACCTCTTTCAGTAACTCTACAAGATAGAATAGCCATTTTTCCTCTGACTCTTAAATACACTTCTATAGGGTAATCTCAAATTTGGTTATCCTGTATGTTGCAATTCATTGCTGTATGACAGCAAACCTAGAGAGTGTAGTAGTTAAAGTTGTTGTAAACAGTTCTTACAACCAATTTGGAAACTTAAAAAAAAAAAAAGAATTGTTTTGATTGAGGTCCACGTAACCATATTGCTACCTCAAGTTTGTCTTTCCAAGTAAAGCATGTATTTGTTCTTTGACCAAAAATTAAATCCATAATTTTCAACCATCAGACCAATAAAAACCAAGTAAAAACACCCTTCCATTTTATCAGATACCACAACACTGTCTCACACATTTACTACTAAATAGCTATACACCCATTTTCAAGAATGTTGGAATTTAAAAAAATGTAAGAAACATAAACACCTTTTATTTCCTCATCAAAGAGGTATGAAGAAAACAAAAGGTATATTTGTTGTGTATATTTTCAAATTACACTAGTTTTGAAAACAGGTGTATATTTATATATTGGCATTCAAAGATGTTGTTTTTAAACATCATCATTAGTTCAATTTTAGATGTCCAATTGTATTGCTATCTTAAGTTTCACAAAAATAGCAATATTAAGCTTTGGATGAGGTATGCACTCAGCATGTCTTCAATTTTACATCTGAAAGTTCTGAGCAAATTATGAGACTAAGTGTCAATATATTCAGATGAGTTTTTAAACCACATGTGACAGAAGAAACAAACATAATAACACTGCTATTGATAACATTCCAAGGAAACAATGTCGTGATAAATTAAGCCATTTTCAGTAACAATTCCTCCGAAAAAGTTTAGACGTTTTAGGTGTGATGTAAAATCAGGTGTGGATTTTATCACTGCAGAGAAGACTCTGTCCATAGCTACATGTGTGTGTAGCCTAATTTGGTATTATAAGGTAAAGGAAACGACCTGTATACAGGAGTGTATCCTGTTTTCCAGTAGTGCCAGTGTCTACAGACATGTAAAACGGTCATCTAGAAGTAAATATAGCGCTACATATCTAGATTGTGTTCTTGAATTGAAACAAATGTAAGAACAAGTGCACATGCAGCCGTTGATTGCAATGCAACAAAAAAATTTAACCCTCAATCGATAAAATATTACTGAGCCATTACTGAATAAATGAGAATGAATTGTTGGGTTTGAAGTCGTGATCTTTCTTCAATTTACATTTTTGGCGTAGTTTAAAACTTCATGAAGGTTGTGACCTCACATACAGGAATTAAATGCAGCAGCTATGTCCACGCAGAAATGTGTCACCTTTCCATGTTTTAATTTAAACATAGCGAGAGAAAAAAACATTGATTTCCTTTCTAGTTTCACAGATAAACCTCCTTCCGAAGTTAAGTGCGTTGTTCATTACCAAATTAAAGGTTAAATCTTTTGATATATCGCGTGTGTCGTAACATCAACACAAAGAACTGCGTTTAAACCAGATCTCTATGTTACAAGGGTATACAAATTGTGATTTTGTACAAAACGTTCGGCACAAATATTCACTGTGGCTTTATAACTTACTAATGGCTGATTTGATTAAGTTAATTTTCCATTTATACATAAAATATCTCCTTATTCGATCGACAATCTGTGATATCTTATGTACTCATCGACATAATCTGCTCTTTGTACAATACGTATAATATAAATATATGTTGACCTTGGAGGTTCTATAAATTAAAATAACTCCAAGGTGCAATAAACAAAAGTTTTACAAACATTTGCGATTTCCAAAAGTATCTAAAAATTTCAGACTCACGTCTCCAAGGCACATATGTAGCTATGAAAAACACTGTCCAGTTCGCCGAACAAGGATTCCCTATCGCAAGCAATTTCTTCGGCATCTTCGAACACATCGTCGTCTACGTCCTCCGGGAAAGATTCAGAAATTGTACAACTACCACGCAAGTTGTCATTGGCCATTAACGATGAAGAGTTTTCAACACAATTTGTCCTGGAATCACCCGTCGCCACGTTGTTGTCAAAACTTAATCTTATCACTTTAGGATGTGGCGGCGAAGAATCCTCTCTCGTGGTCGCCTCCGGTGGCTGTAGAGTTATTACACTGCCGCAAACAAACGGGTTTTCTTCTGCGTAGATCTGCTTGTGAAGCATCTTCAAGGTATTGTTTATTAAAACTGTACGCCTGAGACAAGCTTCAGGATCTTCCAATCGACGCAACTTTTCAAAAGTGACTTGTAATATAAAGCGACGTTGATCAACAAGTGATACAACAGAGCTTTCGCTTTCTACGACAACTTTGCTAGACTCTTTCCTTTTGATTCCTCTCTCTTTGATCCGATATATATCTGTGAAACGGGAGATGAATAAGTAAATAGGTCAGGGCACAAATATTAAGTGCTATTTAAATAGACCAAGACCTTTTCAAGGCCGAACTTTGCAACATTAAACAAGAGAACACAAAAGAATCGTACTTAATTCAAACAAATCAGGCAGGATGATCACTGCATACGAATTAGGGATGAATGTAGGCAGTCAACCTTTCGCTGCACTTTTCATACGTAATAAGGTTTTGTTCTAAGATTAAAAAGAAAATGGGAATTCAATTAGATGTGAAAGAATTTACTTACCTTTCTCCCCTGGGTTCGTACAAAGAAAATTAAGTTCTTCGGATTGAGTTTCCCATTCTTCAGACAGGAATGTTTCGTCTTCGTCCAAACACTGATCTTCCATCGTAAACGACCACAAATTTGTCATGGGAATTACAAGGGTCATTCCACATCGCCTAAGTAAGACCTAAAACGTGCGAGAAAATTTTATTAGTGGAGAGTAAATATAGGCATGATGCATCATAAACTTAACGCCGCTTTCATGAAAAGTTAAAAAAAATTGTAACTCGCGCTGTCATTGTCAGCGACGGCAAAAGGCGAAGGAAAAATATTGACACCGCATTCTCAAATTGGTTTATCGGCGCCGCATCACAAACATACCTACACTAACAAATACGAGAGTAAATAGCCTAAGAGATTCCGCAGTTGAATGAACAAACTTCCTCGGTTACTATTAAACTGATGAAGCTACATCCTTTCCACTTTGTTGTCCTCAAAACACTAATCAAAACCATCAAAATCATTAAAAATGAAAGTTGCTTTAGCGTGCCATTATTCCAGCCCATTAAAGCTTTTCTACGCTTCACAAATTACCAAGCATCATCAGTCGTACAAAAAATTATATCAAAGCCGTAAGACCTTCAATGAAGATAAAAAGGAACTAATCTGGATGTTTTTGACCAAGCAGCGGCAGATGTCTCAAAGGGAAACTTCAATGCTCTGTTTCACACACAGCCTCGCACCACCACCCTTGTCACAAATCGACACTTGATTGGCTTTCGCTGTATTGAGCGGGCTTCTCTATTGTTTTCAGTGTCAAGAGCTTGTCAACACACCTGTCGATGTTTGTCAAAACGAGCCAATCGGAAGTGTTGGATTCCGGATGCATAGTGGCTTGAATAATAATTGTCGCTTTTGCGATTTTACCCGTTTTACGATCGGTTCATCCTAAATATTTTATGCAATGGTTGTAAGCACGCATCATTTATTTAAATGAAACTCATGTGAGCATTGATCTTTTTCACTCCATGTTTTTGTTACGTAATTAGGTCATTAAAAACATCCACTCTTCGATAAGAAATCGCGCGGGTGTATTTTGATTTGAGTTTGATGAGACATAGCATTAATATAAATATCTCTTCCTTCCAGACAGCGTAAGTGTTGGCAAATTTACTGCTACTCCACAGGAAGACCTATATTTATTACGCAAAAAAAAAGTGCCTTCGATCTTTGCACATTTTTTCAGATTTAGAATAAACTGGGGGAAAAAAAACGATCTTGCGTTCGTCTCACTAGCTAGGAAAAGGTATTCATCTTAATCAGCGATCTAGCGAGTTTTTCGGTAAATATATTATTCACAAGAAATAACAATTACTCAGCGACATAGAGGAAAGTTTTCCGAATTAATTCATCAAAGAAATTGGTTAAAAATGACGGGAAAATGGGAGGAAAATGAAATTTAGCGATTAGTTCAAAGGTACACCAGGGCGAACTGCAATGAACGGATGAAAAAGATAAAAAAATCAGTACCATCCTTTGTAGGAGTGTAGGCCATACAAGGCTGTGTATTAAGTCAGTACTTAACGTGTAAATACAAAGGAAAATAAAAGCAAACAATCGTGCGAGGACAGCTTTTCTACACACATACTGCTATCTTTCATTACAGCGCGTCAAAACTATCGATTTCGTATTTAATTCAGCACAAATATTGGGAAAAAAATTAATGACAAATGTATTTTGAATGAATTTAAGTAAAAGCGTTATCTTACTTGGAAAGAATCAAGAGAAACATTTCGACTAATAAACAAGATAAACTCAACAATTTGTCTTGAGTCATTCAGCTCGACCCTCGCTACCGAGGTTCCCCGCTCAGTTGATCAAATACTGCAGTTTGAGATCTTTACGCTGGATCATTCCAGGAAAACGGTGAAAAACAATTGCATTGAAAACTGATTATTTGCGAATAAAAAAGAGCTTTCCTAAGTACCAGCGCTACAAATTACTTCATCTCGCCGATATCATCAGATTATTTGTTAGACGGAAAGTAATAATTTGAATTTGAACAAAAGTGAAAACCCTCTCATGCAACAATCGTACGCTGCATGCTCTAAAACTCCAAAAAGTTACTACTGCTTTGCCATCTACAACAAACTTGAAAAAAAAGCGATGGAGCAAATTCAACCCACCTTATCAATATAAAGAGGTGTTCTCGATTTGATGCAAATATTTATCAGATTTCAGACAGAAAGTTATGATTTGTATTCGCAATCCCTGCGTGGCCATGTGTAATGTTGAAGTCTGGTGCATTTCATTAGCGAGAGCTAATTGCAGATGTGACAAAGAAAGCCAATAGAATTTCGCATAGGGAATTACTTTCGCATCTCATAACTTATCAAACAATACGGAGATCTCCTTTATTAAAAATTCATTGTTTGCTGATCTAAGCTGGCTGCCAATAACATGTCCACTCGCTTAAAAGGAACAATATTCATGGAGAAAATTAAGACAAATGTTAACATAATATTCAAATTTGCACGCGAAAAACGTTAACGAAATATGTTATATTTACTTCAATTTTCCTCTAAAAGAAATTTATATCAGTTTTAAAACTGCTATCATAAACATGGTGTGAAATATTAATTCAGAAATCGAAAACTTTGCAATTCAGAGCGGCTTGACTAAATCAAAGTCAAGCAGTAATTTCAGACGCAAAATTTATTAAAAGCTGGGCAACGTAGAAAGTAAACAACACGTGATGTTCTTGAGAAAACTTTAATTCATAAACATCATCTCATGTTTACCTAATTATTTCGAGCTAAAATGATGTCAGTTTAGCGATTGGAAGTCATCTTTCTGTGTGTTTATGGTGTAGAAAGGCGCAACACGAAAGATAATTTCGAAATTACTTTATTTATTGTCAGCTTACTTGTAGCGCAATTGAACAGAAAATTATAAAAACTAATTATCTGTAATACTTTTGAGGTTGTGAGGTTTCCCTAGTGATGGCTTTCAAAGCAAAAACGAGTAAACTGATACTACGTGTCACAATCTTGCTAAAAATACAAACACGTTTCTCCTCACGTACAACTGAAAAATTGAGTTATTCGCCCATTTGACAGAATCAACAATTTTCATTCCTGTTCTTTGGAAAAATCCATATTCAAACCATAGTGGTCATATAACCAATTAATAAGACAGCTTTTGGCAACTAGTTCATATTCCCTCATTGAAATGTTCTCAAACTAATTTCATCTAGTTTTATACTTAATTAGTCATCATTTGATTATTGATCTTCAGTTACATACTGGTGCTTGATTCCGAATGTCATTTTTCACCGGTTGAGTGTCGTATGACCAAACCCCAAGTGATCATAGCGACCGATAAGAACGAAAAAAATCACAATACGGGCACATAAGAACCCTGAGTGAATGTGGCTGGAGTCATGCACGGGAAAACGCACGCGACCAATTGATTTCTAAATTCTGCGTCTGATTGGTCAAGGGGGTGAGGTAAGTATTCTGAACCAATCAAAAAAACTACGGTGGTCCACAACTGTCACGGTAAAAGAAATAACTTCTCCGCAAAAAAAAAATACTCACGACAAAATGAAGAACCTCGGCTAAAAGGAAAAGCCTCACGGCAAAAGAGAAGAACCTCACGGCTAAAGAAAAAACCTCACGGCTAAAGAAAAAACCTCACGGCAAAAAGAATAACCTTCAAGGCAAATTAAAAGTAAAAGACTCACAGCTAAAGAAATAACCTCACGGCAAAAGAAATAACAATGTCTTCGCGGCATAAAAGAGAGCGTGGGGACTGGGAGGTTTTTTCTTTTGCAGTGAGTCTTTTTCTTTCTGCCGCGAGGTCTTTCATTTTTCCGTGAGTCTTTTCTTTTAACCGTGAACGCAACGGTTATTTCTTTTGCCGCGACAGTTGTAGGCCACCGTAAAAAACATGTTTCATTTTGCGGGTTGAATGGCCCGTATTCAACTAAACGATCGAGGGGCAAATGAGGCGAACGAAATTTACTACAAAACTTTCCATTTTCTAGCAAATCAAGACAGAAACAACGGCATATTGAGCAAGAATCATCTTTTATTGCACTGTTGTTGCATATTCCCATTTTTTATGTAATTCTTTGATATATCTGCATGGACCAATGTCCTCTCACACCAGATGTCATGGTTAGATAGCCTTATTTTTCTCTTATCACCATTTTTTTCACATTCTTCGCCGACCATACATAATAGGCTTTTATTAGCTCTTTTTCTCAAATGGAAATTGTAAAACTAATATCAACTAACGACACTCATATTATATATTCTTTCTCTCGATTAAGCCAGACGTTACAAGTATTTTCCAATGAAAACAGCGCGCTTCTTTACCATATTTTATTCTTTCAGAAAAGTTGTGTAGCTCTACAAACAATTAAGCAAAGAATTGTACATCAGTTTGTTGGTAGCTTCCTTTAAATGAACGAAAACAAACACCTAAAAACAAACTTCAAAGAAATAAGCAAATTCTGTTACTTGGCCTTGCCATTTGATGACAGCAATTCAAATGAGTTACAGCCATGGAATATTTCAATTCCTGAGTTTTAATTGGTTAACATAGCATGGTATCTGAGCTAATATACCATGGGCCCCTTTCGAGATACAAGATTTTGAGATACTTCTTTTGCCTTATTTAGTAATTTCAGTTATTTCATTTCCAGTCGTTGAATAAAAGACAGTTGGGGCCAACAAGGCACACATTTTAACATCCACCATCTCATATCCACCGCCCGCTCATGGAATAACTGTTACCATCAACACGTTAGACGAATATATACACTGAGCTTGGCTCCAACAATTATAAACATTCCTACGGTCCGTACAGGACAAGTAAACTTTATCTTTTTTCCTTTTTAATTTATCTACGAAATGTATAACTAACTAAACCGACGCATCAACGACGGAAGAAAAGTAAAAACTTTTATTATGGAGTGAACACTGTTACATTGACGAACAATCCGCCCTAGTGAATCTGTTCAACACCACTAGTCACAAAAGCCACAGGGGGTTATTAACACGAATCGACGATTTACAAGGTAAGTTTCACTTCTTACTCTTTTTAGTTTACGAAGGAGATTGAATTTTGTAGCGAGTTTTTAGTGAGTTTGTAGTTAGTTTATAGCATGGAAGAGCCACCCCTCCGATGGATATGCTAATAAACCATTATTATTATTATTACTATTATTGTTATTATTTTAAGGTACTATTTTAGTCAACTTTTCTGTTTTCGGCACATATACGCAATCAAAATTAGAGAGTATTTACAAGCCAACATCTGATATATACACTTACTAAACAAAAACTACACGAGTGTTATGGATAGTGACATCATAATAGTCCAACGGTGGAGCCTGGAACCATTGGCCACTCGGCACTCTCTAGGTCCCAGACTTTGACGTCCACTGCCTGTCCAGTGGCAGATGCTCTACTTGGGGCATCACATGTGATACCTTTTTGTCTGACTATGGCATTGATGTAACTCGCCATAAGCAAGGTGATTTGCAAAATCTGTAACAGAAAAACAAGTTTCAGCACCGTCTATTGCAAATAATCTACACGAAGGGTGGGAAAAGGGGAACAAACAATCGGTTTTTACTTCGCATCTGATTGGTTGAAAATTTGGCGCCACTTTTCTTGACCAATCACGGAGCGCAGAGAAGCAAAAACAATACAATCCCGGATTGAATTTTAATTTGATTAGAATTACCTTTGCTCTGGGCATGACAAACAGCAACCTCTGGGTACCCTGCTCAACTGTGTTTCCGCCACGCATGATAGACTGGTTCACAACTAACATGAAGTCTTCTTTCCACCCACCAAATGTTACTACGTGCTTGTATCTATAGCGGCACATCAAGCGCTGAAAAAACAGAAGAAGGAGCAATATTTATTCGCTCAAAACTTTCCTAGCCAAGAGCACTTGTCAACACCACCTAAGGATACTAGGCACATGAGTTGGGCGGAAGGAAGGAAGGGGTTAGTTCTACTACTGAATAGATTGGATAAGTTTACGGGATCTTAACGCCTTGAGAGGATCATTTCATCATCTGACAATTTTGTTCAATTTTGGGACAGTAAGACGAGCAAAAGCGAGCGGGTGAGCGAAACGAAACAATGACTCTGACAAATACAAGCTGAACTGGCAAACTTACCAGGCTGTTTCCTTCCAGAAGATTAATACTGTCCTCTTCCACTGCCAGCCACACTGGCTGGGTATTGTCTACAGGCGCAGCGCGTTTTTTTGCAGCGGAAACTGTATTTTTTTGCTGTTGGAATGAAATAGTTAAAGATCAGTTCGCTGTTAATACTAGTGAAAAAAGTTAATTCACGCTGCATACCACGTCAAACATAAATGGCTGCTGAAGTTTATCAAGGTTTTCACAACATGAAGTGGTGAGAGTGAAGTGTCCCTCAAACAAAGAAAATACTATGGGCTGACCTATTAAGCGGGAGTTCAGCGCACTGCCTATTTAGTTAGTTACCACATCGCGCACTGGGGTTAAATTAAAACAATTATGAATATCGCTACCGCAAAATACGTAATACAAGTCGCCTTGGGAAACAATTTGCCTCTACTTTACTGTGAATCTCGCCTCAAAAAGATTGGTATCCCAAACCTGTGCTTGGAAGAGCCTGCATCCGAAAAACGGCCATCGCCTTGCATTCTCGAGATATTTGTCCACGCACTCTTTCACGCTCCAACCGTGCAGCGTCGACCATTTTTCGGCCATGCGCAGTGTGAGTGCCCTAAAAGGAGTAGAGAAAGCTGCAGTCAGGTTGACGAAAGTTTTAAGTTTCCTTCCTAGTCCTTTTAGATCTCTTCAATCATCGGCCATCCTGGATCTTTCGTGGTCTCCTTCGCTACTTAACTATTCAATTCACAATTTTAACGTGTACTTCGTTCCGAACTCGAGAGAAAAATTTTTGCTAACTATTTGCAAGCAATTTGTTGCGAGTTGCCCACCTTTTTCCTGTGTCTTCCCGCAGCGTTTTAACACAAAACTTGGTGATAACAATCTCGATTCTCTTGCTCGGCAGTGAATTGCTCTGTGCTCTATAGTCACCATAAGAGATCTGATGAAAACAAACGCCATTTCTCAGTCAAAACACTTACAAATTGTTGTCAAGAAGTCAACAAACGTTTGTCTCCTTCGCTATCAATCTCCAGGATGTCACTCAGTACTCCCTTTTGGACGAAACATTACCTTAAGTCCTCCCCCTCTTCAACCCATACCCCCCCCCCCCCCCTGCAAAAAGAAAAAAATAAAAGAAAACCAAACAAAAACTAACGCGAAGGTGAGTAAAAAAGTTAATTAGAAATTTCCAATACCTGGGCCATAAGCGCTGCAAATTCCAAAGCCATCTCCTTGCTGACAGGAAATCGGCCCTTAACAATACTATCATTTGTCTGCAATTCAAATGAGCATAAAATTTAAAACAACAATTACGTTATTGGCACGTCTAATGAAACGGAACCCATTCCGAACCACCGTCGATCTCGTACGCGAATATCGCGGATATTGTGCAAACGTTTGTGCAGAAATTGTCTGTAACGAACATAACAGTTAGAGGATTAAAGACATTTTACGTAGTTTTGAAACAAAGATGGAAGACAATTCAATGCACAGAGAGTTAAATATTTCATGATACGAAGATGAAAAGAGGTTATCATTTTTTCTTTGATTAAAGGTCTTAATTACCTGGAGTACAAGGAAGTACTTTTCTTTGTCTGTTTCTCCGCTGCTGAGGCTCTTGAAATGTAACCTAAACAATTTACAATTGACAAAAATTTGAAGATGATTAAATCCTTTCCAATCATATTTCCTACTTTCTCTGTTCACTCTCCCTTAACAACCATACATTTTCCTTGAAATCAGCCAGAACACCAACACGACGCAAATATCCAGTTCGAATTCATGCTTGCGCACGGATGTTCACAAAATAATCAAACATTCAGTCTATCAGAAGTGCACTTTCTCTCTGGGCCCAACTGAAAACCACCTTGCGTAACGTAGACTCACTGCCCTAACCTTTCTCGCTAACATAACAGAAAAAAAGGACCTGGATTGCTAGACCGCTAGAAAAAATTCACCTGTTCTTGTAGGTGAGTTTGATCATCCTATTAGTGTCCAGTTTCCCTTGGCTTTGACTTCGTAACGCTTGTTCCCATTTCGAAATCACGTCACACAGCTGTGGAGACAATGGTAACAGAGAAGGACGTCATTTACAAAAGTGTTCTCCGTATTGGAAGAAAAGGAAGGAAACTTGAAACTTCTTAAACTCAATCAATCTCTGCAACAAACTGCTCATCCGGGCACACTTACTTCTAGTTTACAAGAGCCACTTATGAGTTTGGCACCACGTTTGATGACTTTAAGAGGCACCAAAGTCTCGCGCTAAGGACTTTCGGAAGCGTGGAAGTCAAACAGACGCAGCAATTGAGCCATGTTTGAAAAAGGTTAACGGAAACGTAGAAATTACTAACCTTGACTTTGGCTTGTAAACAATGTTCTACTAAGTTAAAAGGATTATCCGTGAAGAGTGCATATCCACTTTCCGAGGACGAGCGAATACCGACGATCTGCCAGAGATAATATTTATCAGTTTCAATAAAAATAAGAACGAGCCACACCAATTACAGTATCATAAGGAAAACCATACTCAAATGCACGGTTTCACTCACAGTTCCTCTCCTTTTCTTGTCCGCCATCGCAGCATAAAATTTACTTAAGAAACAAGGCGGCCCATTCCATCTCATGTTAACTGAGCCATTTGGCCGGTTCCGAGTTATGGCACGTGCCTTAAAATAAATGATCTATTGTCTTCAGTTGACTTACTCTGTTAATTGTCTCCGAAAACTCTTGAATGGTAGTGGAACCATCAAAACCAAATACCTAACAAGTGAAATGAAGAGGAGAAAAAGAAAGATATTGACCGGCTGTATCAGGCGTGTGACCGGAAAAAAAAAAACCGTGGAGGTGAATAAATAAACAGGACCACAACTTCAAGAGGTAAACAAAAACGAGAACTCGTTCTAACTGAGGGAAAACAATTTCTTCCTAGCGTGTTTTTCATAAATTCGGTACTTAATACAGACAGAAGGATTTATATCGTTTTGGCAAAAAAGAAGGAATTTGTGCGATGATCGTTTTTGAAACTTACTTGACTAGATCCATCGATAAAGTGCACTGGAATGCTCATCAGACACGAGTGATCATAAGGTTTCCGCAGCAAGATTGAGAGAACCTGGGCAAAACATAAAACAACAAAGGAGTTCTTCAGAAAACTGTCAACATACAGATAATATCGCTCTGATACAGATAATATCGCTCTGACGAAAAGCTTACGCTCGAAACGTCAGTTTTAGAATCTCTTTACGGTTGCCAATTCACATTATCAACCCAGTAGATAAAATAAAATCATCTTATCTCAAATTATTCCACGCACGCAGCACCGCAGACAATCGCATATCTCAAGCAATTATGTTTCTAATCATACGGTAAGCCTACACTAGTTTGGTGTTTGTCTCTTACACATGCAAATTACCCACTCTCTACTGTTTCCCTTCAATATCTCCCTCTTCACTCGAGCGGAAACGTTTCATTCAACTGATCCGCACCCCAAAATTTGAAAACAAAGGTCTCTGGTTTTCTAATTTCTGCCATCTCTTTAAATCGGCTTTAATCTGCACTAGTAAGTATGAGAGCAGTATGAGTTTCAGAGCTTAAATGTAAGTCATCCTCACTAATCATCATCAGATCATCTAATTGACGGTTATGTTTGTCTCGGAGTTCCGCAAAATCTTGCCAAAACGACCGTACCTCCAGTCTCGACGGTCTGGCTTCTCGTTTCCCATTTCGCAAACTTCTCTCTAAGCTCCGGATACAGTAAGTTGCGTATTTTCCAAGTTTTGTTCTACGCAGAGACAAAAAAAAGAAAAGGTGAGAATCAAGGTGGTGAATTATGTCAAAAAAGTTTGGAAATCCGATAAAAAGATGTCGAGGCACCCACAAAAACCAACATTCAAACATATGTCGCGGTTAAAGTTTCAAAAACAAAGGGAAATTAATTGCCGGTACCAATCGCACTTACTTCTGTTTGAAAATTGAGGTTTAAAGCCAATTATATAAATAATAATTTAATCTTAAAAAAAAACACTCAAAGAATGCCCCCAGAACACCACTTTTGTAGTCGTTGTTTTGGTTGGAGCTGAGAGACCTAATAAATGTGTTCCCACCCAAGTACATTGTACTTACTTAAAAGTGGACGTCCGATTCAAATGTCCCTTGAGGAAGAGAAGGAACTTCTGTTTAGGGACAAAAAGAGCTGTACATAGCGATAAGAGTTGCCACGCTTGAATGTAAACAAACTCTTGCACCGGACGCAAGTCGATGGTTGCTTGTGAGGCGATGTCAAATGACTCCTCCCTGAGCCATGAAGACTTGCCACAATGTTCCAAGAAGTGCTGAAGGAAAGAAAGTTTTGAAAAACTCTACAATTACGGTTTGTTCACAAATACAAGCAATCTGTGGCACGAACAAGTTTTAACTAGCGTCCACGTGCAAGGCCAGTCAATGTCAAAGGACGTTCTCGGGTGGTCAAAAGGTGTTTGTTTAACGAAACCCTGGAAGGAGAGCGGACTCGAAAAACCAGAAGAAGGAGCAAAAGAACAAGGGTAACTCCAAAGTTTCACAATGCGATTTAAGTAGGAGGCCTGAAAAGTGCTCGTTTTACAGAATGGTGTTTTAAAATTATAGGAGTTACTTATTCTAGTGTGGCCATGAGAAATAAAGTTTGTGAAACTATGTACATCAAGGTGAATATGATTAAATAAGCACTTATAAAAGAATATAAAGTCTTTCAGTTCTCTGTCATAGGTAAGAGGGAGCAAATCCTGGGTAATTCCATGTAAGGCGAACGTTTTATGGAAACTTGCAAATTCTCTGGTGTAGGGTTACACATGCTGAAGGAATTTTCTTTGGTGATCAAAACGAATATACTTTGCGAATAGGATTAATTAAACATAAACATCAGCCCAGTTGACCTTTTTAAAAATACACAAAGGCAGTCAATTTTATGTGACAAATGGAAGAGAACCTCTATTTGACGTAGGAATAAATCTCTGAAACGCAGGATGCCCTGATTTCCAAGACAATTATGTTATTGAGCTTATAAGTTATTCACTGACATTTTTACGAGAACTCTCACAGCAGATGAAGATAACGAAATTATAACATATTATGCCTTAAGATGAAGACTATCAGTAGTAAGGAGATTAGAATTATTCAAAGCTCATTACGATAAAATAAAATAAAAAATGTGAAACTCACCCCAAGATCTTCAGGTCCTCTGTGCACGTGTTTCGATGTCTGTTTGATCAGCTGACAATAAATCTCGTTCTGAAGTTCTGGGTTATCAAGACAAGTCTGCAAGGCATTCTGGGCTAGTGACACGTGATAGTCAATGGCTGCTTCCTGTGTCTGTACCGTAGTGAACAAGTGGATAGACTGGGGAGAGGAGAATATTAATTTATTTAAAGCTTTAAGTCAAACAGTTATCCCGATGAGTTAAATTGTCTAAGGCAATAACATTACCGATCTGTCTCAGTAATACATGTAAAAATTGTTCCACTTTCCTTAATCCTTTAACCCCTAAGAGTGACTAGCATCTAATTTCTCTTTACCATATCACTCCTAAATCAAACATTAAGGTCAGGAGAATAAACGAACTGATCACCAACTAAAGAAGCTCTTGATTGTTAAACAAATTCTCCTTGTCAGCACCTTACGAGATGTATAGAGAACAGTATGGAGAATATGCATACTGATGTCAGGGTGTAAAGGGTTAACAACTACAGTTTATACATGGGAGGTATGGTAGACACAGACGAAGAAGGATAGAAGTTGTTCCCTTAGGGAACAGGGAAGGTGCTACACCAGGAAAAAGAGGAGTTATCGAAGAGCTATAATCAGATTATCCTCACAGTTCCCTCATAAATACATGTGGGTGAAGAGAGACAAGATTAGAATGCTTGACGAGGATCATTCACACATTCACGATTTGAAAGGCTTCAGTCCATACTGTTCATAGAATAGCTAAGTGTTCTAACCACCAGCTTATCACATCTATATCGCTAACATACAAAGGGATACAAAACAATTTGGATCAGTCAAATAACTAACAATCATGTTTTTCTTCGACTGTTGAGTACTGAGAAGTGACAAAGAAGTGGAAGGGAACTCAAAAGTACAGTGAGAGAGAGACGGCCAAAAGTGCTACAGGTTTTCAGACTTCTATTGATAATATAAATAACGGCAGCTTAACGTTATTGTTCCAACCTTAAAGAGTTTCAAAGCTTCAGCTCCTAACTCCTTGGATGGCAGAGTTGTGAGTGGTTCAATGATTGGCTCTTTACTGTGCGTCAACACATAGCTGTTCCATATCTCACTTTCTGAAATAATAAACATATATATAGCAATAGTTAAAAACAGTTAATGGTTTAAACCTGGTGTCACAGTGGATTTAAACCCACGCCGATGGGGAAGCCCCTTGTCCACATCCGAAGGTTCAAATTCGCTAGGAGACAGAGGCTAACGATTGTTTGTGTAGTCTGGGTGAGGGTAGTCCTGAGAACGAGAGAACTCTGATGATGACTTCCGCTTAGGTTGTCGAAACATCGGTCACAACTACCGACTACCTTACCCGGATATTAAGAATACAAGACTGGTAAAGAAACTGCAATAACCTATATTTAAAGCTAACCTACGTGACAGGCGGGAACGGGGAAGGGAAAACCTTTGAAGGAAAAGAGCTGTTGTTACCTGGATCACAATCCTCAACGATGAGCTGGTATATGCTTTTTTCAAATTCCGTTCCCATGTCATCAATACCACTACCAGATGCCACTTTTAGATGGAACAGCCATGAATCCTAAAGCAGGAGAAAAACGAACCCATGAATCAAGTGTCAGCATTCAGGCTGCACATTAGACAATTATCATTCACAGGAGGGTGGTGAAAGTTGGCTCTCCCATTTAAGGGAGAGAGAAATGATCCACGTTTTTCTTACCTTTTCTTCAATCGAATCAATCAACAAGAATGTGGTAGAAGGTTGTTTAAGAGACTTCATCACCAAAGTGAAGTGACGATACGGAACTGCATCGCTTACGCTCCCGTTCTCTGAGTCGGGTGATTCCAACTCTTCAACCACCACGTCAATCATGTGGGTCATGCTAAAAGGCATCTGACAAGTGAAAACAACAACAAATAAAATTTTAAAGGAAATTTCAGCTTTGGTTAGATGATTATCAATCATTTTAATAAATAATCAAATTATTACTGAATCAATGGTCCATTAACTTGTTTAATCCATTCTTTTTTAACTTCCTGTGAAAGTGCAAAACTCGAATCAACACTTAAAACATTACGGTAGCAGGATCCAACTTTGGATCAACAAATGTCAGCAACATGTAAATAAACAAGAATTAAGTCATTCTTCTGAACAAAGTTATACAAAGAAACATTTATTTCAGAGGTAATGGCACATTTCATGGATATCTGTGGCCCTCTCATGGGAAGCTCTTCGATGACAATCCGCTATAAATCCACAATCCAGTCCGTCTGTAGATTTGAGCCCAAAAAAGGGACACATAATTAACCAGAAAGTGCACAGTTATCTTGTATCTTTGGAAAGTTACTTACAGCGTCATCTTCACTCTTATAGTAACAAAGATATTGACCACGAAGAACACTCCAACACTTTTTCGAAGAGCCATGCTTCACCTTGTATGGGACACAAAACAGAAAAAAGATGCATAAATTACCCATCTAAATTTTGACTTGAACATAATTTTAATGACTAGGGCGTTATACAATATATTCAATACGCCAGGAGTCTGACAAATGCAATATACAACACACAACATAAACCTTGCAGCTGTAATATCGCACCTTTGTGATCCATCCTTTCATTATTTCTTTTTCCTTCACTTGGGCAAACAATGGAGTACTTGAAAACTTCCTCATAACATTATGGAGAACTACAAAATTCAAATGAAACCAATTATTGATAAAGACAAAAGATCAGCATCAATCTCACAATTTCACTCAGCAAAATCATCTCTTTAATATCACTAAGCTATCCAGCAGAGGAATTTCAAAGAAACTGTGGTGCTGCGTCGGTGGGAGAGTATAGCAGGTAATTTAGTGTTAACAACTGGGTTAAAACTAAAAAAGAGTTCTCTGACGTTTCGCTCTGACGAATATCAAACGTCAGCTATCCAGCAGAGGGGTTTTCAATGATAAGAAAAATTACCTGCTATCCAAAGGGGTCATCTAAGAAGGAGACATCATTTGAATAAAAAACACATTCTCAAGGCTAAAATGTGTCACAGATAGTAACCAGAGTTGATATTAAAGATCTGGGAGGTGAGAGGTTAAAAGAAGAGGTAGTGTGGAGGATTATTTTGGTGTAACTTCCTTGAAAACTTTATGCAACAGTCCAACTCGGTGATTGCCAAGTGAACAGAAGTTGGTAATCTTTTAATTTTTAAAAAGTCTTTGGATTCTTCATTTTTAGCATGAACACTGTGAGCATTAAAATGAAATATTACCAATCATACAAAGAAGGTAAGAGTAACTGAGTACCTCTGAGCCAGCTGTCCACAACCTCTGTTGTCTCTCCAGTCAAGTAAAAAGTCCTTTTCGGTGTGGCAACCTAGCAATCAAGCAAGCAATATAATGAGCAAAAGTATGAGTTAAACATTTGCTGAACAGCACTAATATCATTGAACCCACTGGTTCCAAATACATGTACAAGCAGCAAGTCTATTGCATACTACTGTCTACACTAGTCTACGGACTTAAAGTAATGTTAGGAATTTTTTTACAAGGCCGTAACAACAGTAACTACTTGAGAATCTTACCTCAATTGTCAGGGCACCATCAGTCCGTGCAATTCTGCAGCTTCCATCCAATGGAATTTTACCCAAAGGTTTCCTGTTGACATCATTCTGCAACAATGAAATGGATCAAAACCATACATAAATTAATATGTAAACCATAATAAATCTTAAAGAGGAGGTTCACACCTACAGCTGTACATGTATCTTCACGAATGTGTCACCCTGAGTCTGTCAACTACAAGCACAATTTTCAGTACATTTTGTGACTTAATGTTTTTCAGATTCACAACATTTTACCTAACTGAGAAATAACAACTCTTAAAACACAGTCCTATTCAGGTAACAGAGAACAGAAAAATATCACCTTGACAAAAGTATGTGCTGATTATAAATGTTGATAAAGTTCAGTGTATACCTCTGTTTTGTAGTAGCAAAGATTTCCATCATCAAGGACAAACCATCTTTTCTTCCAGTTCTTCACACGGCCTCCCAGTTTAGTAAGGTATCCTGCCTTTCCTTGATTTTCCTACAAATTGTACATTCAAGAACACAACAAATTAAAGCAACGCTAATCACAGGTTAACTACTGATTGACATTACAACTTATTTAGCAGTTACTCATCCATGTGTAAATTAAGCACTATGTAAATATCAACAAGAAACCATCTTTGATTCATTCATTTAAGCACAGTAAATGGATCACATCTCAGTCATGGCATTAGCCTTGTGTTAACTTCTTGTATGTATTCCCTCATGACACTAATGATGTTGTAGTAGGTCAAGCTCAAAATAAAAATATTCTGGTGGTGATTCCCTTTTCAGACAGCTAAATATTAGGTTGATCATTCTGTTGTCTTGCAGACAGAATTTCTCCGAAACAAATTAAGTTAGACAACAGGCACATCACTTGTCTTGCCACATCTCACTGCTACCACAATCACTGTTTCATTAACCCTTGGACAAACAAGATGTAATTTGTAACTCTCCCTTCAAGCCTTTTAAGAAAGGTTAAGGTAAGTTTGTGTTATATCAAGAAAAATACATCAAGAGAGTCTCTTGCATGCCCTTAAATTATTGTGTTTACCTTTTTCAAGCTAACAGTTGTGTAAGTGGCACAGGTTTTCAAAACACGTGTAGTTTCTTCAAGAAGCTCATCTGTGTTCTGTTTCATGTTATGGTGTTCTTCTGTTGCTACCACTTCATCTGGTGGAGTGCAGTAGTCTCCTGCAGAGCTTTCATTGTCAGAGGAGTCAGTTGATTCTCCAGAAAAAGGTGTGTTTCGAATCTGAGAAGCTCTCTGGATCAAAGGAGAGAAATTAAGTATTAAATAGCTTCAGCATATAGTTTTTTCCTGTACCAGAAATTTATAAACTTGAGCAAATTTAATGGCTAGGCCATAAAAAAGACAACCTAACTTTCATAATACATGGATTCAAGAAAGCTATATCTTCTCATATACATACCCCTTTCAGTGTTGTATACACAGGACAGCTTTGTTCCTGTAGAATGTTCAAGGTTAACTCATGATTAATAGAGAAAATTGATGTTATCAAAATATAACTAAGCCTTGCATCTCTGATGTGAGAGTCACATAAAAATAACTGTAGACAAGAAGTTTACAAATCAGTTAAAGTCAACTTAATTCAATCAGTTTTTCACGCAAAAATTTGGGAACTAACAGGATCATGATTAGGAAGCATGACTTGTACCTTGCACTTAATAAGCTTTTATTTAATTTGTCATTTGACTTTTGGGATTTTTCTTTGACACTACTACTGCCATTAGGTCTATGAAAATGAACAAAGAGGAAGCTAAAAACAGTATGTACACTGTGTAAAGAAGTCATAAAATCACACTGTAATGTCATATTAAGTAGCATCTGTCATACCGCTAACATGTTGAGGTTTTTACTTCGCGTCTCCAGTGTCCCAAATGGTGGTGTATCTGAACCAGCTGTGAACAAAAAGTTGTTAAAGTTGTCACCTCCCAAAAAAAATAATTCACCATATGGACCTTGAAAATGATAATTTTTAAATTCTCACATTGGCTATGCAAATTTTGCTGATTGCAGTTTTTCCAGCTAAAGTATGTCACTCTAACCATTTCCATATACATCTACCATGCATGACACATGCACCATACTTCAGTCCCATCAGGTCCAATATATATACTAAGACATTTTATGTTGCTGTGCATCTTTTCAGTAATATATCAAAGATGATGTCAAAATGTGGTAAGAATTAAGACAAAAAAGTGGCACATGAGACACAACCAAGTGTCACTGACATTCTTAACCCTTCAACTCCCATGAGTGACCAAGACTGAATTTCTCCTTACTATTTCAAACCAACATCAAGCAGACAAGTGATGAGAATAAAGAAAAATATCAATGAGGGGATTATCAGTTGATCCAATAAAAAAATTCTCCAAAATAACACCAAAAGAATTATACAGCAGGTAGTGAGGAGAATTGCTATTGAGATCTTAGGAGTTAAAAGATTAAAACATGTTTTTGTCTTCTGTAATCTATTTCTACATTTTTTGTATACAGACCCACAGCAAACTGTAATCTATTTATTTTATAAGATTAAAAAAGAAAAGCAAAATGTTGTTAACCCTTTAACTCCCAGAAGTGTTTAGCTTTTATCTTCTCCCTATAATATCTGTACATTATCCAGCCACCAGGTAATGAGAATGCTCAAACTCATCAGGAAGAATTTGTTATCTTGATCTAACACCAAATTCTCATGATTTACTTAGGAGGAATCATATGCCAGTTAGAGAGGAGAATTAACAATCAGATCTTGGGAGTTTAAGGGTTAATGGTGATGTCATCCATCCATCTGTCCTCCAATATATAAAAGGTAAGAATCAATCATAATGTGTGCATAATTGTCACATTACATTTGTATATCTTATTTATGCTTGATTGGACAACACTTTCTCTGTCAAACTCAGAAAACAATGAACTCCTAAAAGATAGTAGTTCCAGTCTTAATGGTTTTCAAAGTTTCACAGTTAAGTCCAATTCATGTTAGAAACACAAAGCATATACCTGAGTTATCATTCCACATCCAAGAATCAGTTCTGTTTGATTGCAACAAAGCTGCAGGAACATCCACTTTATTACCCTCAGGAGCATTGCCATTTTGTAGGTCTGTTTCTGATAAATAACTGGTAAACTTTCCCTCCAATCTAGTCACATCTTGCAGTTGTTCTTCTTTGTTTGTTCTTGGCACAGGTGGAACAGGGGGAGGAACAACACTTTCTAATTCAAAGCGCGGAGGAACAGGTGGAGGAAGGGGAGACAGAGGAAAACCATTATTTACTGAGGGTTTTCTAGTCACAGCTGAATCTGTGTCAGTTCTCACAGAGTCTAGCTCTGGTTCAAGAGTTTGATAAATTGGATCAGCAGAGGTGGCATCCTCTGTAAGGGAACCAACAGATGACCTACTTCCTGACAAAGAATCTTGTTCATTTTGTACAACACTTGGAGTTAAACTTCCACTCTCCAATTGTAGAGTCACTAATTCACCAAGCCTTGCATGAAATTCTTCTCCATGATTACCAGGTTCAACAGGTTGTAGATAAGTTTCAAAGACACTGTCATCTATTTCTGAATCTATTGTTGACTGACTATCAAATTGTTTCCTCTGTGACATTCTCTCTAATGGAGTTAATTGCATGTAGGGATTATGTGAGTCTTGTATTTGTATAAAAAATTTTGCTTGAGAACCTCCTGGACTCCTCATTCCTCTTTTGAGTGACATATAATATGATATCTGAGCAGCTCTTTGATCCTCTGAAGTCCCAATAAATCGAGGAATTTTCGATGGAGATTTTCCGCTTGAAGTTCTCTTAATTTTAATTTCGGCAGACTGATCCGAAATGAAAGTGCTAGTATCATCATTATCATCATTAGTTGGTGTTTTTACAAGTTCATCTGGTGACATAGGTGTCGGTGTGGTACATTGTGAGCTTATTGAAGTTACTGGCGACTGATTCCCAACAGTATCCTCAGTTAGAAATGATCGAAAACCAGATTCTTCTTGATTGGCATCAGGTTCTAGCTCATAATAATCACCAGACTGTGACTGGATGTCTGCAAGTTCATGGGATAATCTCATCACTTGATCTGTTAAAACAAGATAATAATGTTGATATCAGCTAACTAGCACTACAAAACACAAAAGCTTTGAGCTTTCTTTAGAAGTTACCATAAGGATATAGCATTGAGGTTTCTCCCTGAAGGGCTTTCCAGTAACTATTTACAATTTATGAAAATCTCAAACAAACAAAAAATGTATGCATTGAAAAGGTTTTTTTTTTTGGAGTCTCAAGAGGGTAGTGGTCTTGTTAAGAGACTATCATTATACCATCACATGAAAACAGTTACAACTTACTCTGGGAAAAAAAAAAGAAAAAAAGAAGAAAAAGATATTGTTTCCTGAAAGACTTGAACATAAAACGGCTGTTGTGTAAAGGAACTGGTTTGCTTCATGTTATGATCTTGTTGTTCCAAATTCTTGTTGCACCAGAGATGAAATTGCATCACTCCATACAGGTTTAGTGTAAGAACATCTAAAGCACATCATCCTTGTAAGTAAAGGGATCATTTATATGGCAATGTCTGTACCACTTGCTTAGTGCTGCACTAAGCATTTCTAAGCCATTATCAATTTCATGAAAGTAGCAATTACTTCACAGGAAATCCCTTTTGTTGGAGGAGTAAGGATGCTACAAAGTATTTTTTTAAATTATAGCATACCTTGGGAAAATCTGAGCTTTTCCTCAATTTCCTTGACCATATCCATGGCTTGCTTATGGGACGTCTTTAAATGTTCATTCTCTTTATTCAGTTCTTCTAATTTTTCCTCATACTAACAGAGATAAGATAAAAGCCTGCTTGTGACTGATTCTTTTCCTTCCACATAATTAAAGAACAAAATAACATGCACTTGGACCAGAATTATATGTAGGTAATCAGAGTTGATCCCTATGAAAAACTTCTTACAAGTACATTTAAATACGTTTACTATACCATCTGCAATTTCAAGACCACAGAAAAAAAGAAACATCTCTAGATTAAAAGTACCTCTGAAATCTTCTTCTGCATCCAGCTCTTAATACGAGCAGCTTTTTCTTCCACTTCTCTTTCACGGATGAGCCGCTTTTGTTTCTGCATGAAATATTAAGAAATATTTTGCTAAGTATAAGCAACTAACAAATTAAGGTACCTATCACAAAGTTTCTTCTTCAAAAAAGAGATGATTAGGGCAGTGTCATTTGCAAAGTTTCCCTCATTCCCACCCCACCCTACAGCTAAGAAGTAGGGTCAATACTAGGTATAAGCAACTAACAAATTGAGGTAGCTAACACAAAGTTTTTTCTTCACAAAAGAGATGGTTAGTGCAGTCTCATTTGCAAAGTTTCCCCCCCTTCCCACCCCTCCCTAGAGCAAAGAAGTAGGGTCAATACTGATAATGATACCTCATTTTCCAGTTCTGCTTGTAGCTGTGCAACTGTTTCTTCTTTTGCCGAAACCAATGTCTCCAAATGCTGGACCTGAGATGCAAACAGGAGAGCAAACCTGTCAGGGTCATTCAAATAGAACTCCTAGTTCCAGAGATGCTAAGTTTTCTTTTCAAAATGCCAGAAATAAAAATTAACAGCTTTTCACCTCGATAGTTACATACAGAGTTCAACCCCTATATCACCAAGAACATAGATTTCAGTTATGATAATGAGGTAAGCCAATAAACAAAGTTATAAACAACAAATTAAAAAGTAAATTTAGATCTGTTCTATGTCCAAAAATTCAAGAGTGGTTACCACATGTATACCTAAATTTTTATTAATACATTATCATTAGTTAGTTCATTTCATGAGTAACTGAAAAGCAGGGTTATACTGCAGAACAGTTCAGAAAATTAAGGTAATGACTCACTTTGGTACACTTTTATGTACGAGAGCTACACATAGCAAAAGAAACATACTCAGGATCAAACTTTGTGAAATATATCTATTGCTGTACATATTAGAGAAATCAGAATTATTTGTTTAAAAAACAAAAAAGGCTATCTATAATATCAATGTTTAAGTTGCATGTGCTACAGGTTAATGAATCACGTGTTAGCATTAGTACCTCTTGGGCAGATTCCGACGCTTTTGCATAAGCAGTTGCCGCCTGTTCTTCCATACCTTTTAACTTTGTAAGACAAAATTGAACAATTTTCAATGATATTAGTGCAGTAAATAAAATTAAACATTGTTAAATCAGTGTTAGCAAAGAGTTAACACAGTGTAAAGGTGCTGCAAGTAAAAAATTGCTGATTTAAAATATGACAACTACCTCTAAACTAAGTAGGTTTTAGCCACAAACAAATCTTGTTTAAAACACTTAATATATGTATGAAAAAAAATTGCCCACAACAATAATATGATGCAAATGAATGTGAACTTATGACTGTAAATATATGAAAATCATATAAGTGCACTGCGGTAGAAGAAATGAATATGGGTGATCCTTGCAGTTATGAACACTATAAAATGAAATAAGGCCTGAAAAAGATTCAAGCCCATACCTACTAGTTCAGTTGTGAACATGAACTTGTTGCGCAAATTGAGGTGAATATGTTTGGTTCACTCTCTGTTTTCCTAACTTGATGAGCAAAAGAACAAAAAATAAAAGAAGCCAAAGCATATATATTGCTTCCTGAGAACTCACTCTCAGTTGTCACACAACCACTTTTCACTTCTTTTAAATGCAGTTTGACCATTTTTTATACACAAGTGATCAACTATATTTAAACCAATTTAAGTGATTGATATCAGCCTAAAATCTATGCTGACATTGTTCAAATCAGTTTGTCTTTGTTTTCTTTTGTTGTAAAATCAATACATTAAACTTAACCTCAAACAAATGAATAAAGCTGTCAAGTTTCTAAAGAAACTTTGGCACTGTATTGATGAAGGGTATTACAAGATAATTCGGCTTTATAAACCAATTCACTAATGTGAATTGGCCATGACATTGAAATTCAAAAGCTGACGTTTTAAGCATTAACTCTTTGTTAGTCAGAGCAAATCCGTTAGAGCGAATCTTTCAAACTGGTTTGAAAATTATACCCTATAGGTGTAGAAATCATCTCTTCTCCTTCTTAATAACTGAATTTATTTCTAAAGTTTGTCTCAGAGACAAAATGTAGAAAGAGATTATCTAAACATGGAGGCCTCTCTGTTATTTGCCTATAAGTAGGAATTGGAATGTAATAACATGCGAGATATGCAGCTCACCACAATAATCTGGGATAGATTTATGACCACAAATGATGCTACATTAGTGAAATTTGTGAGACATATTTTCACGTTGTTGTGTGCCAGAAGGAAATTACATTGGATCAATTGCTTTACAGTCTAAATCTAACAGCAGTAAGAATCAAGGACACTTCCACCACTTTCTTCAAATAAAGCCAAACTACTCCTAATAATCACAAAATCCCTCAAGATCAGACAGTTTCATGCCAGGCTAAAATTTAGGCAACAGTCACTACTCCTAATAATCACAAAATCCCTCAAGAACAGACAGTTTTATGTGGGGCTAAAATCTAGGTAACAGTTATGTGTGTTTGATCATGTAACATGCATGATTACGAAGTGAAGACAGAGACAGCCTCGAAAGCTGTCAAGCTTCGGCTAGACATTCATGTAGGTCGTGTGCCGATTGCCCATTACTTAAAATCAAGCCAAACCTATTCAAGATTATCAATTGTATGTAGTGGGTTTAATATCCTACATTCTAAACCATTCTTGTCTTTTCTAGGCAAACTCTTACCTCTTTGGTGTTCATTTTTCCTCGCAAATGATTGTTTCAAGTTTTGATTTAAAGCTGATACTCAAAGATGCCAAAAAAATGACTCAAATTATGATGGCATACATGTAGTTCCAATCAGATTGAATTTAAAGGCACAAAAATGTCAATTGCTAGTCAACAGTGTCAAATATCATAATATCAAAAGAAGGTCCTCAATAAGATTTGATATATGTAGCTGTGACAAATGGCAAAAAAATGAAAAGTTAAGAAAATAGAAAGCAGCAGCAGTATGCCATAAAATGCTGGCAACAAGCAATTGCCTTTTATTGAGACTCCTAGAAAGGTATAACTTAAAACTGAAAATAATGTAATACCATCCAAGGTGACAATTGTGCAAGACACAGTCCAGACACAGGATAATTTTGGAATTAGAAATTAAAAGCTGAACAGAAGCCATTTTTAAACACAAAACTGAAAGTTTCATGTCTATACATAAAAAAGAATCTGAAACGTCAGCTGCTCAATCATGCCTGTTAAATATGTAGCACAGACAAATTATTTACATAATGCTCACGGTCAAAATAAAGTAGTTTCAATATCAACTTAAGTATATGTTGTATTTGATTCCTAAAAATATTTTTTCAGACATCTTGTATCAAATTTAGGGCAGTTTAAGAACAGACAATCGGATATTCTACATGATCTTTTTGTATCTTCGAAAGAGGTAATCATTGATGTCATTACATCTAACAAAAACGCTCCAGTATATATTTTCCTCATAAGAACACGTGTATACACTTTCATTTCAACCTTGCTAATATATTTCATCTAATTTTCCCTTGTCTTCGGCATTGTTAGCGACATACTTAAGATAATCATGTAGTTCTAAATAATCTCGAGGCTATATTGGTAGAAAAAATTCCAATCATTCATCGTTTAACGACTAAATTGAAAGCAATCGACAACTTGTCAACGTGCGGTTTTCTGCAGATGTCGTTTCAGCGACAACATGTCAGTGTAGAAAAGTGTTCGCTTCCTTGAGCGTTTTAGCAGAATTTCGCCAAACACGATGTTTGTAAAATTATGTGCATGCTGTTTTGTGTGCAAACAACTATTCATGAATCATTAACAGCTGGGAAGTCGACTTTTCAATTGGCTTGATTCAAGCTCCTCTGATCCACTCAGGGATGAATCGCAATACTTACAGCGCATTTGCTAGATTAAAAACGCAAGCTTTTAATGCTAGCCATAAAAATTACTCTGAATTTCAGCCGTGCTAAACATTCGCGTTTCATTGAAATCAAAGGTGTCAAGTTCAATTTAATATATTACTCTCATATTTCATTTTTGCTTAAATGGCGGTTTGTCTCAACCCCGCGCTATGGGTGTTGACTATAGCTGTGCTTGAATATAATCTTGTTTGCTGCCGCGATAATGTTGAAGAGATGCGCACCTTTTAAAGTAATATCGTAACGGTAGAATGCGATTAAAAGGGCATTCTCAAGACACATGGATGTTTAACAAAGTTCTTGTTATTATCGATCAGCTGGGCATAATTTGAATACAAACATAACTATATACACAACGCCACTAACTCATGATCAAGATCTTTCGAGATAACTTATATCATACCAAACCGCGAAGAATACTGTGAAAACAAAGAAACAAATAAAGCCATTCGATAAATGCGATGGAGCGATTCGAACAGTAGATTTAAATAAAATAGTCACAGAACAGAAAACTACAATTTACCTTTTGCCCAATGACTTCGCGAACTTTCGTCGCCTGCTCGCGAAATTTTTCCAGTTGGTTTTCCAGATATTTACATCTTTGTTTGTAGTCAATCTCATTTTCTCCGACTTCTGTAGAACATACTTGCGGTCCGTTAGTTCTTGATGAATTATCCATCCTTACTAAAACTTGAGAACAAGAAGTAGCGGTCAAATTTCCTGGGCGCGAGCGAATTTTTCTTCTGTCACCCGAAAAATCTCGCGTTCAGTGGCTAAACCTTCCTATCTGTCGCTCCGATCTAATTCCTATTTCAGTGGATAGAATGTTAAGCATCTTGTTTGATCCTCACATGACGGAAAGCCAGAACGGGCGAAACAATTCACACTGCGGTTTGACCAGTTCCGAGTGCAACATCGAAAAGTGTGCTAAGATTTTGACCCCACTTGTCGCTCGGCCTGTGATGTCATCTACGCGACTTCGGCGTGACAAAACTTCTTAATCTTATAACAACTTCACGAACAAGGCCAGCCATTCTTTGAAGACAAAAGATAACACAGTGGGAGAGTAAATATTGCCGCAAGAGGTCAAAAATAGCAAGACATACAATATGAAGTAAAAAAATTCGTCTCTCCACTTAAGTCACGAATCCTTACGAAGATCGCACGATTGATCACTTCGCTACATCGGCACTTTTCGCCCGCCTTTGCCTCAATATTCCCACTTCCGGTTATGTAGGTTAGAAGAAAAGACATTTCCGGTAGCTTGTATTGTTTTGGAGCCTCTCATCAGAAAGGCACTTGGTAAGTACGTGACTTCGAATTTTCAATTTATTTACTAAGGCGACCCATCCGATGACTCTGTTTGAAGGTATTTCCGCCATTTTGTGTGGGAAAATCTTGAAAAAAGAAGGGTTTACATATAAAAGTACATTACGAGAGAAATTGATTATTTCATGGCACGAGGTTACAATTTGTATCCTTTTCCTCGTTTAATTTGCGTTCGTTTCGTTTGTTTTTTGAAAAAAATTTTTTTTTAGGAATAAGTTCAAAGAATAAGAGGTCATGAATATAATATCTTTATTTTAAATCAGTACACATCAGTATAATCTTTCAGTTAATTGTCAAGTTCTTCCTTCTTAATTCAAAGTTACTAAGACCTATCACACTACACAGATTATGATATATTATTCCTTTTGTTTTCCTTATCCACTTATCCTTTCATATCTACCAAACGTCTGACCACAAAGACTGCAAAGGCACCGAGGACCAACATGAATAAAACATGGTCTCCTTTTTACAGTCGTTGACTCCAGAACTTCATGGGGCCTCAACTCGTGAGCCTGGTAACAGGTTTAATATTGCCGTCTGTTCGAAATGTAATTTTTTTTCAGCCTGCTTGCCTTGCTCACATTTAGCCACGTTATTTTTCGAAAGGAAAATTTAATTTATGATGAACTAAAAGCGGTCAACTCAGTGGGCCGTATCAATTTCCTAGATCTTGATACACTTCTATTTCCGTCACCGTTCAAAATTCGATCCGTTAAAATGAAAACGCGGATTACCTATCTTCATTGCAAAAACGGTATCCGCACTTAAAACTTTCCTATTAGTAATACTCCTCCTTAATTTCCAGGACTGGGATGAAACTTGAGAGATCGAGCTCATTCCTAGAGGCCCTTAGACAAATGAATTCGAAACTGAAAAAAGTACTTGTGATCTAATTATACCCTTAAATAACTTGACTAATTCAGTGACTTCGAGTTGGTAGGAAGTCTCTGACGGAATCCGTCTCTTGTTCATATCATCAACATAAAATTGAGTTCTGACATCACTGTTAGTAATTCCGCCAGAGTAACAAGACCTAACAAGACAGTGACAAAAATCCCAGGAATGTTAAACCTGTGAGATAAATGATTTATAACCCTTATTTAATTGTGCTTTGACGTTGTGCTGCGGTTTGTTCGGATAATAATAATCTTCGATAAAAATAAAGTTCGAAAAAAAAGAGAAAGATCATTAATCATCTTTAAGTGAAAAGGAGCGACCGTTTTATCAACCCTTCCTTTGATTGTCCGTCTAGATACATCACGCTCCAAATTATTTGTTTATATAATTTACAAATTTCGGCCAATTATCATCGGGAGACTAATAAAATACCCCGTCGTCAAATCTATTACCCCTGCAAGATAGGATTATCGTGGTTTTCCGAGATGAACAAATCATATTTCAGCGGCACCTTTGTTGATACGCTTCCAAAATGTAAACATTGGTGATGATTTTGTTGTTAAAAACAATTCATCCCATTGTTATACAGATGATAGCGATTGGTACATAATTAGGTTTTCGTGCGCCACGCTCCCAGAGTTTCGAGCGGTGCGCAAACATCATATTCTTTTTTCGCAGATTCTTTTCAATCCACGCAATGTACTTCGCCGAAAAGGAGTGATTGCTCGCACTCTATAGTGAAATATACGGTCGACTTTAACGTTTGACAAGTACCCCAAAATAAAAATGCTCGGTAACAAAAGAAATAAATGAAATGAAGGAAGAAGGTGCTCCCCCCCTGACCCGGTAACTCTGACTAAAGAGAGGATGGCTAATCTTGATAAAATATGAAATTCACTGACTAGGGAGAATCGTAAATTTGCCTGATCTTGAGAGATAAGGGACGTATTCAGATATTTATTGTGCTGGTAACATCGTATCAGTTTCTAAGTTTTCTGCGCTATCCGCTATCCTATTGTAAGTCACATAAACACTGAAAAAAAAACAAGCTAAAGGGTTCCATGAGAAGAGAACGTTTTAGAAGCGGGCAATTAGTATGATACGCTTATCGTTACCTAATGCTGTCACGTGGGATAGATAACAACAGAAGCACAGTTTATATGCTTCTAAATCAAGGAGAAAGTTTTTCTGAGCAGTGCGCCCTATCTGCGCATTGCTGCGCCTGTGCCCCGCTCCTGACCGCTGCTCAAGGGAATGAGGGCACCGGGAAAGAGATTGGTTTTCTACTCATCTGACTTTTTGTGCGCCTTCCACAGACGCTTGATTGGGATTTGTTGAAAAATATGACAATGAAAATAGCAAAAGGAAGAAAAAAGGAATGACTTTTTTCATATTAAGACCCGCTATACAATGCCCTAAAAATTTAGAAATTTAGATTTAATGTTATATCTTGAGGGCCCGTAAAATTCTCGGGAATTTTGAGAAACTGACCTGAAGTCAGGGGTTTTCTCTTTTGGTTGGTGTGGGAGGAGGAGGACGGGGATGAAAAAGGGGAGGGGGGGTGGTTGCAAGGACGCGAAAGACCGCTGAGGTACACTGTTCACGCCTCCTGGTAACACTTGGTCGCAAGTTCGAGAAATACTCTTGCGCGCGGTAACCGGGGAAGAAACGGAGGCTGGTCGCTTTTTCATGGACTCTTTGCATACAACAGCCGCATCACTATGTAACCGTAAAGCCAGCCCCGCTTGCTACACTCGACCGGTAAATGCTCGAGTGACTGGGGTCGAAGCAGGAGAAGATAAGTAACACAATCAACTACGCATGATTGGAGGCTAACCGTTCTGGGAAATTTCCCTTTTGGTGGACTTTACTCTTAGTTCACCTTACTTGATTTCTTTCGTTTTCGCAAGACCGTAATTCATTATTTATGACATTGAAGTCCCAGAGGACTTGTCTCGACTTCGTTGCAAGAACGGGTCCGCACCGAAATAGCAAAGAGTTTTCGACGGAATAGTAATCATGATCGGAAATCAAGTGCTACGCAAATTAATAATCCTTCTTCTTGTTCTGGAAACGACATACAGCTGCCCGAATCATCAACATGACTTCCGCGAAGAGGGATTCGGTGTCGCGACGATTTCTGTGCACAGTTCCGTCAAATGGATTACAGTAAACAAAAGCAGACTTATTGGAATAACTGTTTCTTCAAGCAAAGACCATGGGGCGGTGGAGATATCTAAACGGCTGTTAATCAAAAGTGCCGTAACAGTTTGTTCGAAATGTAGAATGGCGACAGGAATGGTTTTTATGACGCTCGATCAACTCAAACAAGTTACTGCACTAAGTCCTGTATTAGAACCGCTCCTTACACAGGCCATCGCTTCTCAATACCAACAGCTGACCTGAGTCAGGCTGAGCGTAGAACTATAACGAAATATTCCAGACCATTGATCAGTAGTGTACATTAATTCTCATTTGAGGACATTGCATTGCGCCTTTTTTTTAAAAACTGGAAAGCTGCGATAGGAGACAAAAACGTTATAGCTAGGTTGATTATTCTAACTGTGTGCCTCACTTGGCTTGTTCAGAGACAATTGGGGACAATTTGCAGGCTACTGTGAAGTTATAAACTTAGGAGTTACACAATCTTCATTAACAGTACATCGACCGATACACGAGCGATGTTCTTAGAGTTTTTCCAGGAAAAAAGAAAGAATTGTGGACGCAAAGGCTCCTATATTAAGTATGATAAAAAAGTCCATGACATCTGAACGATCCGAGGTCATCCATTATTATACGAGAAAGTTAACGAACTAGAATTTATTCAAATTCTAGTTAATCGCAAGTACGAGTTGTCAGGAAAAAAAAAGAATTGGAATTAATGTATTTTTAACCAACAGAGGTTGCTATTTATTTCTAAATGACACTCAGCGAACAATTTGCAGCTCTTCGGAGGTAACGAAATAACAAACATTTAATTCTAGATTTACTGACGAATGTCCCGCTAATTAAAAGTTCAGTGTTGCGTTTTAAAGCTCATCCTTATGTTTTGTGTGGAAGAAATGCTGTCCACATTTTCGGCAATAACTGTCCTGTATCACTACCACATTGTCTTCAAAGTGAATCTCAACTGGCTGCTCTGTTTTCACAATATTATGATGTCCGTCAGGGCAAGGGTTGATTTTCTTAACTTGGTAGGAATCTTCAGTGAAAGTCACCCGAGAATGGACTACCTCTTTTTGGAATTCTCTGTATGTCTTGCGAACCTTCTTGAGTCCTACGGCTCTTAACACAGACTTCACTGGTTTTTCCACCACCTCCTTGAAGACTTTTTTCACTGGTTTGAAGACGACTTTTCTTACAGCTTTTTCTACCTTCTTTAGAGCTCTGCGAACGAAACCGGAACTCTCGTCTGGTGCACAAACGATCAAAATAAAACAGACCATCGTGAATAGAACCCAAGTAGGTTTCCTCATCTTGCGGTAAATGTGACTCAGTAGATCAGGAAAGAGTTTTTTATTCGAAGAAAATGTTAATCATTCAACTTTTATTCTCTTACTTCATGGAAAATCCCCATCGGGTGGAAATGACTCAGCTTCCGGTTTTTTGTAGAAAAGGTCACGCAACAGATATTACGTAAACTCCACGAATTGCTTTCCCTCGCTGATTATTTCTAGTTTCAAATCATTCTCTTTCTGTAAAATTATTTACAAGGACGAATCTCACTGGCATCATGCAAATTTTTTTCAACTAAGTTTTATTCGAAAGAAAAGATAAGCAACAGCTGGTTTGTGGGGTTAAACACTTCTTTGTGTTATTTCTGGGAAAAATCCCGTACCTATCCAGCCTATTACTGACCTTCTCGTTTATCAAAGGTCACGTAGCAAGTATTGCGAAGATTCCATGAATTGCTTTGATTCTGTATTCCCGCTGTTACATTACTTTCCTGACAATTTCCCCTTTCCGGTTGATAACCGTCCGTATTCTGTGTCTATAAATCAAGGAAGGGTTTCCCTGGCATCTCCGGGACTCATTCTTGCCTTGACCTGCAAAGGGTTTGAACGCAAAGAAATGGGTTTTTACCCTATGCATAGCATACATGAAGGCGGTGTTCTCTTGTTTTTCCTTATTCTGGGAAGCTTCCCTGAGGAGCTGTTTCCGGTTTATCAAGGTCACGCAACAGATCTTATGTAAATTACTTCCTCTTTTCAGATCTCACTGCTAAAACAAATTCACAGCAATGGCTTCTGTTTCGCTTTGTGAGTTTTGCTGGTTCAAAATTGTTCTTCTTCTATGCGTGTTTACACATGGAAGGGTTCCAATGGCGTCTTGTGAGCTTGTTCCTGCAATGTTTGATCCTGAAACGAAGCAAGTTATCTACAATCCAGGACAAACTCGTACACAGAAAAAAGATTTGGTCGTGACAATAGAGCAAGATGTGAAGACGGAAAAAAGCAGTCGAACAAGCAAATCAGAAAGCTCTGGATTTAATCTAGGGTTTCAAAACAGCGGCATCCCTTCGTTTGGAGTGAATTATCAAAAGGTTAAAATTAACGAGCAGCGAAAGGAAAGCCATCATCAGGTGAACATTGCCATTAACATACCAAGTGATTGTGACGAAGGCTGCAAGAAACACGCTGATAAAGTTTTTCAGTTGGCAAATAACGCTCTTTACAGTGATGCAAAGCAAAAACGTCTCAACTGACGAAACTTGCAACTTTTGGTCAAGGTGGAGACTAAGGCAATACAGTCGCGTCGGTAGATAAAGATGCATGACATTTTCAAAGAGTTTTGTTCACCGAAATTTCGCTTTTACAATAATGAAAACCCCTGCGGTATAACAGAGACAAACTTTTGAAATATCACGTAAACGATTCAAACAACACGGTTCGGATGAATGGTAGTCAGGTCAGACTTTTGTCCCACAATTTTACAGATTCAAGGATGTAATGATACAGTACTAATTCCGGTTGGTCTTGTGTTGCTGATCACGTGAAGTCGGATTGCATGTGCATTCGCATAAACATGTTGAAAACGGCTTTGGTATCAAGTGTCGTTTACAACGTCAAAAGTCATTCTCACTTGTAACAGGTTTCATTTGAACAATAAAATAATGCAGCCCTGTTTTTTCTTCTTAGCATTTGAGTTGGTAAAGACCCGACGAAATACACGGCTTCGTTAAAATTATCTCGACTACAGAGCGAAATTAATGACAAAAACTAAAACTTTATGTCCGGGTAACATGTGCTTTTATTTATGATATAAGAAATTAAAATGTAACCGATGACAATTAAAACGAATGGTCCAGTGACCCATTCAACAAAATCTGTATTTGATAACAGAATATTATGATTGAATTTCTGGCCCCTTGTTCGATATGTAGCTGGGCTCAGCTTCCTTATTGTAACTAGTCCTACAATGAGGTAAAAAAATTAACTAGCTTTTATTCAAGGTACCGGAAACTCCAATCTGACTAATTACAATAAAAACAGAATGGTCGAGTGACCTGTTGAACAAAATAAGTATTTGATAATTGAATTGTCCAGTTGTATCGCTGGCCCCATGATTCATATGTAGATGGGGTTAACTTCTAAAGTATTCTAAAATTCTACAATGACTAGCTAAACTAACGAACCATGCGTTTTTTGGACGAATCGATTCCAAAGTTCGTTCCAGCCTTAAAAAGTATAATATTTCAAGGCATCTCGCTTACAGAATGAAAAAACGTATACTGGAAAACCTCTGGAAAAAATATTTCATCCTAAATTTTTAGATATCGGTTATTTTTCTTTGTGAGAAGGCTGAAGAACTATTCTGGTTCATAAATCACAATGATAACCTTTTCGTTAGATTATTCAAAAGTTACTGACTCGTCCCAGTTGTAAAAACTTATTGTTCAGGCTGAGTAGACAATAGAGGGCCTCACGAAAATTAGTCCTAACATCTAAGTGACAAACATGCCTGACTGCTAAAGAGAAATCCTTAATACTATTAACTGCTTTGCTAAAAAAAAAGAAAAAAATCGGTTTTATCCAACGAAACGTTCTGTTTCATACGGTAGAGGCAAAGATGATGGTCTTCAAAGAAGTCAGCTTCACTCAGGGTACAGGATTTGCGGATCAGTTTTGAACCTTGCAGATTATGTCTTCTTTCCTGTAAGATAAGATGTACAATATGAGAAAGGAGTCATAAAATCTTGAATTGATTCGTCGGTAAAGTAATTGTTGGGTCAATTCATATATTCATATTCAAACTCATATAATTTCTTCCAAGAATTTCTGCTGTTATGACAGGTTTAGTCCCTGTGAACTTCAGATACTGCGAGGCCTTTGGCAAGGAACTTTGACGCGGAATTTGAGAGAATTTAATTTACTCGCAGCAGCTCGCTTTGGAATTAAGACCCTCTACGTCTGTCAGTAACTTATCGCCTGCCGTCATTTAAGATACTCTTCCATTTGTCTCGTTCGTCTTTCCAACAATAGCAAAAATACATCAGGGAACTATATGAGATACAACACGAATCCTTCCTTTACTATAACCAGCTTATATACTTTCTTTACTCCATAACATGAAATAAATGAGGGGGGGGGGCGTGTGAGTCTTTAAAGTTACTTTTCTAAATCGTCCGAATTTGAGAAAATGCGCTAATATGTCTTCCTTTACACTCTAAGATAATATCAATAAACAGGCTCAACCAAAACCCGAGAGTGTCCCCGACTTGTTACAAAGTTGTTGATTTTAAACTTAAATCCTGGTTCCTTCTGACATGTCATAAAAAGTAGATTTAGGCCTCAGTAGATTCCCATCCCGAGCGTGATTTTTACTGCGGTTTTTTTTAAAATACAAACCTTTCCCCTTTTCCTTAACACCTACCTCAATGTGACATTATCTCCAATCAACATGAACGTAGCCCATTTCTTCACTTCAGAATACTTGGAGTTATCTCTCATCCACTTTCTGACCTCGTGAAGAGATTCACTGGCACTCTCACCACGGAACAAGTGTTCGTAGAAACATTTCATGAACTGCTCCGTTGATTCGTCGTCCAAGGCCCACCGCGTCACTAACACCGACCGAGCACCGGATCCTAGGAACGCTCGAGCGATTCCAATTACTCCTTCGACTTTAATCTCTCCGCACCCACTGTGACAACAGCTTAGAACTACCAGTTTAGCTCGAAGTTTAACTTTTGATACGTCAGCCATCGTCAAAAGGTATTCTTCTTCTTGTGGAGTATTGTTAGTAGTACTGACGGGGGAAAGTGCTATTTCTCCTCGATCGGGATTTCCGTGAGCCGCAAAATGTATCAACGCAACTGACTTCATCTGTTCAAGAACCGCCTCCTTTGTTGCATCTTTCCCTAACAATGGGATGACGCCAAGCATTTTTCCAATCATTTCAGCTTCTTTTCTTGCACCTGGTAATGGATCAAGGATCATTTGCTTTCCCTTGTAAATCACTTCTCTCACTTCAGGTTCACCCACTATCAGTGCCCCAGTGTTACTGTGATAGTTTGAAGGACTATCCTGAATGACCTTGAGGACCGTCAAGGAAGGAACGATGCGGATCCTGAATTTTTCAGACAAATATCTTTCTCCCTCGTCAAGTAAGGCTGCAAATGGCACTTGATACATGCAGCTGTCAGGGACAATGATAATTTCAGGCTCTTTCAAAATATCGGCCACGGGAGCGATAATTATTTTGTGGAACAAACGCAGACATGTTTTCATATCTTCAGTTTCATCGTGAGATGGAGGTGATCGCTTAACATCGCCAGATAACTTTAGAACAGGTTCGTCATTAAAAGAGCGATCTTCGTAATTCTCTGTGGGTGGGATGGCAAAGTGGCGGAAACTCTCCGCAAAAAGCACTTTCGGATTTGGGAGTGAGCCGGCATTTCCAAAACTGTCTGAATCCTTTCCCTTTTTGCGTCGGAAAATAATCCCTCCGCTTGTTTTGAGAACCCAAATCCGTACATCTTCATCATCAACCGAAAGGTACACAAAAGTACAATTTGCTTCTCTTTTAATGATATCATGAATGCAAAACAATGCCAATTGTGGATCACCTGAAAACTGGGGCTGTTTAGCAGAATATTGAGCCGTCATCAAGTCCGCTAGAGCTCTTGCCCGTCTGAGTTCTTCGACGTAAAGGGAATCTTCAGGATTCCCGGAAACAGAAACCAATTTACTGAGTATCTTATAGGGAAAGGCACCATGCTCCTCCAACAAAGATATTTTGAAGTAATCATTATCTTTTACGAAGTGTCGCAATTTTTCGAATTTTTCAATAGTTCTTAAAAGATACGAAAACGCTTCTTGGAAATTAGACTGCGCCAACTTCAAAACCGTTAGACCACAAAGAAATTTAAACTCATTCATATTATGTCCAATGGCTTTGCAAATTGAGAGAGCCTTGTTAAGATGTGCTTCAGCTTTGTCAAGTTCACCCAGTGAATGAAACAATGTTCCTAAGTTTCCGTAGTCAGCTGCTTCTCCCTCTCTGTCGCCAATTTCCTTTCTGATTGCAAGTGCTTTCTCGGTGTATTCTTTAGCCTTTTCGCATTCACCCAGTGAATGAAACAATGTTCCTAAGTTTCCGTAGTCAGCTGCTTCTCCCTTTCTGTCGCCAATTTCCTTTCTGATTGCAAGTGCTTTCTCGGTGTATTCTTTAGCCTTTTCGTATTCACCCAGTGAATGAAACAATGTTCCTAAGTTTCCGTAGTCAGCTGCTTCTCCCTTTCTGTCGCCAATTTCCTTTCTGATTGCAAGTGCTTTCTCGGTGTATTCTTTAGCCTTTTCGTATTCACCCAGTGAATGAAAACAATGTTCCTAAGTTTCCGTAGCCAGCTGCTTCTCCCTTTCTGTCGCCAATTTCCTTTCTGATTGCAAGTGCTTTCTCGGTGTATTCTTTAGCCTTTTCGTATTCACCCAGTGAATGAAACAATGTTCCTAAGTTTCCGTAGTCAGCTGCTTCTCCCTCTCTGTCGCCAATTTCCTTTCTGATTGCAAGTGCTTTCTCGGTGTATTCTTTAGCCCTTTCGTATTCAGCCAGTGACTGAAACAATGTTCCTAAGTTTCCGTAGTCAGCTGCTTCTCCCTCTCTGTCGCCAATTTCCTTTCTGATTGCAAGTGCTTTCTCGGTGTATTCTTTAGCCTTTTCGTATTCAGCCAGTGACTGAAACAATGTTCCTAAGTTTCCGTAGTCAGCTGCTTCTCCCTTTCTGTCGCCAATTTCCTTTCTGATTGCAAGTGCTTTCTCGGTGTATTCTTTAGCCTTTTGGTATTCACCCAGTGAATGAAACAATGTTCCTAAGTTTCCGTAGTCAGCTGCTTCTCCCCTCTGTCGCCAATTTCCTTTCTGATTGCAAGTGCTTTCTCGGTGTATTCTTTAGCCTTTTCGTATTCACCCAGTGAATGAAACAATGTTCCTAAGTTTCCGTAGTCAGCTGCTTCTCCCTTTCTGTCGCCAATTTCCTTTCTGATTGCAAGTGCTTTCTCGGTGTATTCTTTAGCCACCCAGTGAATGAAACAATGTTCCTTTTCCGTATTCACTCCAGTGAATGATTGCAAGTGCTTTCAATGTTCCTAAGTTTCCGTTTCCGTCAGCTGCTTCTCCCTTTCTGTCGCCAATTTCCTTTCTGATTGCAAGTGCTTTCTCGGTGTATTCTTTAGCCTTTTCGTATTCACCCAGTGAATGAAACAATGCTCCTAAGTTTCCGTAGTCAGCTGCTTCTCCCTTTCTGTCGCCAATTTCCTTTCGTATTGCAAGTGCTTTCTCGGTGTATTCTTTAGCCTTTTCGTATTCACCCAGTGAATGAAACAATGTTCCTAAGTTTCCGTAGTCAGCTGCTTCTCCCTTTCTGTCGCCAATTTCCTTTCTGATTGCAAGTGCTTTCTCGGTGTATTCTTTAGCCCTTTCGTATTCAGCCAGTGAATGAAACAATGTTCCTAAGTTTCCGTAGTCAGCTGCTTCTCCCTTTCTGTCGCCAATTTCCTTTCTGATTGCAAGTGCTTTCTCGGTGCATTCTTTAGCCTTTTCGTATTCAGCCAGTGAATGAAACAATGTTCCTAAGTTTCCGTAGCCAGCTGCTTCTCCCTCTCTGTCGCCAATTTCCTTTCTGATTGCAAGTGCTTTCTCGGTGTATTCTTTAGCCTTTTCGTATTCACCCAGTGAATGAAACAATGTTCCTAAGTTTCCGTAGTCAGCTGCTTCTCCCTCTCTGTCGCCAATTTCCTTTCTGATTGCAAGTGCTTTCTCGGTGTATTCTTTAGCCTTTTCGTATTCACCCAGTGACTGAAACAATGTTCCTAAGTTTCCGTAGTCAGCTGCTTCTCCCTTTCTGTCGCCAATTTCCTTTCTGATTGCAAGTGCTTTCTCGGTGTATTCTTTAGCCTTTTCGTATTCACCCAGTGAATGAAACAATGTTCCTAAGTTTCCGTAGTCAGCTGCTTCTCCCTTTCTGTCGCCAATTTCCTTTCTGATTGCAAGTGCTTTCTCGGTGTATTCTTTAGCCTTTTCAGCCTTTTCCGTATTATTTCTCCTTTCTGTCGCTAATTTCCTTTCTGATTGCAAGTGCTTTCTCAGTGTAAGTGAATGAAACAATGTTCCTAAGTTTCCGTAGTCAGCTGCTTCTCCCTTTCTGTCGCCAATTTCCTTTCTGATTGCAAGTGCTTTCTCGGTGTATTCTTTAGCCTTTCCGTATTCACCCAGTGAATGAAACAATGTTCCTAAGTTTCCGTAGTCAGCTGCTTCTCCCTTTCTGTCGCCAATTTCCTTTCTGATTGCAAGTGCTTTCTCGGTGTATTCTTTAGCCTTTTCGTATTCACCCAGTGAGTGAAACAATGTTCCTAAGTTTCCGTAGTCAGCTGCTTCTCCCTTTCTGTCGCCAATTTCCTTTCTGATTGCAAGTGCTTTCTCGGTGTATTCTTTAGCCTTTTCGTATTCACCCAGTGAATGAAACAATGTTCCTAAGTTTCCGTAGTCAGCTGCTTCTCCCTTTCTGTCGCCAATTTCCTTTCTGATTGCAAGTGCTTTCTCGGTGTATTCTTTAGCCTTTTCGTATTCACCCAGTGACTGAAACAATGTTCCTAAGTTTCCGTAGTCAGCTGCTTCTCCCTTTCTGTCGCCAATTTCCTTTCTGATTGCAAGTGCTTTCTCGGTGTATTCTTTAGCCTTTTCGTATTCACCCAGTGAATGAAACAATGTTCCTAAGTTTCCGTAGTCAGCTGCTTCTCCCTTTCTGTCGCCAATTTCCTTTCTGATTGCAAGTGCTTTCTCGGTGTATTCTTTAGCCTTTTCGTATTCACCCAGTGAATGAAACAATGTTCCTAAGTTTCCGTAGTCAGCTGCTTCTCCCCTTTCTGTCGCCAATTTCCTTTCTGATTGCAAGTGCTTTCTTGGTGTATTCTTTAGCCTTTTCGTATTCACCCAGTGAATGAAACAATGTTCCTAAGTTTCCGTAGTCAGCTGCTTCTCCCTTTCTGTCGCCAATTTCCTTTCTGATTGCAAGTGCTTTCTCGGTGTATTCTTTAGCCTTTTCGTATTCAGCCAGTGACTGAAACAATGTTCCTAAGTTTCCGTAGTCAGCTGCTTCACCCTCTCTGTCGCCAATTTCCTTTCTGATTGTAAGTGCTTTCTCGGTGTATTCTTTAGCCTTTTCGCATTCACCCAGTGAATGAAACAATGTTCCTAAGTTTCCGTAGTCAGCTGCTTCTCCCTTTCTGTCGCCAATTTCCTTTCTGATTGCAAGTGCTTTCTCGGTGTATTCTTTAGCCTTTTCGTATTCAGCCAGTGAATGACACAATGCTCCTAAGTTTCCGTAGTCAGCTGCTTCTCCCTTTCTGTCGCCAATTTCCTTTCTGATTGCAAGTGCTTTCTCGGTGTATTCTTTAGCCTTTTCGTATTCACCCAGTGAATGAAACAATGTTCCTAAGTTTCCGTAGTCAGCTGCTTCTCCCTCTCTGTCGCCAATTTCCTTTCTGATTGCAAGTGCTTTCTCGGTGTATTCTTTAGCCTTTTCGTATTCACCCAGTGAATGAAACAATGTTCCTAAGTTTCCGTAGTCAGCTGCTTCTCCCTTTCTGTCGCCAATTTCCTTTCTGATTGCAAGTGCTTTCTCGGTGTATTCTTTAGCCTTTTCGCATTCACCCAGTGAATGAAACAATGTTCCTAAGTTTCCGTAGTCAGCTGCTTCTCCCTTTCTGTCGCCAATTTCCTTTCTGATTGCAAGTGCTTTCTCGGTGTATTCTTTAGCCTTTTCGTATTCAGCCAGTGAATGAAACAATGTTCCTAAGTTTCCGTAGTCAGCTGCTTCTCCCTCTCTGTCGCCAGTTTTTTTCCTGATTTCAAGTGCTTTCTTGTAATATTTCTCAGCTTTGTCGTATTCCCCAAGTGACTGAACGACTGTACCTAGGTTTCCGTAAATGGTAGCTTCCCTGGTTCTGTCACCATAGGACACCGTGATTGCCAGTGCGTTCTCGAAATACTTCTTAGCTTTGTGATATTCACTACGCGAATAAGATAAATGTCCCATCGCAAGGTAACATTTTGCTTCCGTTTGTTTGTCAGCCGTACATTCTGTCACATCAATTGCCTTCTGATAATATTGTTTTGCCTTTTCAAACTCATTTTGGCTCTGATATATCTTTCCCAGTGTTAAAGTTATTTTTCCTTCTTCAATTGTGTCACCAGAGGCATGGTACAGATCAAGAAGTTCCTTAGCATATCTTTCTGCAGATGTGTAACTGGAAGCCATGCAAGCCGCCTTGAACATTAACTTATTGATTACCATGGTAAATTGGAAACAGGTCTTCTTTTTCAGCTCGTTAGATTTTAGAAAGATTAAACATTCTTCGCCTAACATTACGGCTTGTAAGCCACGACCAGTGTTCAGGAGGAAGGTGGCAACCACTAATCCTATAAACATCGGGAAGGTTGCTATAAGTTCTTCTACGTTGTCCATTTTCGACCTTTTGCCGATTGTTCGAATGAAATGAATGAGACAGCGTAAGGATTTAATTTAACTTTGTTAGATCCGTTTGCAGCCGCTTGATTCAATACTTGTTACTTTTCATAGGAAAGTACCAACTGTTAAAAGTATAGCCAGAGTCAAGGCCACAGAGAAGTTTGCCAAAAGTTATCCTGAGTTATCCATTACGAACTTCTCCCGATTGTTCGAGTGAAATGAATGACACAACTTTAATCTGAGGATTTAATTCAACTGTGTTAGATCCGTTTGCAACCACTCGATTTAATAGTTTCTTACTAAAGAAGTGCGGTTGATTCTGAAGACAGGAAGCTCACCAAAATTTCCTTCTGTCCTCATGGGTTATTTGCCTGGTGTATTTGGTTTCGCCTGACTTACTCAGTCTTATATATCATAATTATTCATGTTTTAGAAAGTTTTTGTAATTAGCGAGAAATTAGGGATCATAATCAGCTGATGAATTCTGGTATTTGTTTTAAGATCAAAAGAAGCTGTTAACACGATAAACTTACAGTTTCACAACAATAAACTTACTTACAAGAACTGTCTCCGGCAAATTTCTTGGCCTTGTGATTGAAATCCAGTTAAAAGCGATGCTGAGGCACGACTTACCCTTCGAAAAAAATGTAGGTTGTTTCATTGACAAGTTACAACAGAAAACACCTATCATGAATTCGAAGAGAGAGAAATTCTTCAGCGTAATCAAGGTCTTAAACACATAAACATGAAACTCGAGGCTCAACTCCGACGTAAATCTCTATTTAGCCTCTATCAGCCACCTGGATGACAAGACGGAAATCGACCTTCTTTTATCTTTTCCTGTGGATTTTTATGCAAAGAGCACCTTAAGGAACAAACTGAGCAACGTACAGACCGCATGTCTATGCTTCTCAAGCAAAATTTTACCTGCAAACGCAAGCAAGATACTTCCAGCTTGAAGTTTGCTCGATAGCAGCCCAGTTGGAGACATCAGATTTATTCAGAGAAATAAAGTTCACGTGGGTGATTATTTTAGTGCGAGATTTTAAGGCAGTTTAGAAGCATTACGTAGATATCACTAAGATATATCAGATTCTCTGACATTTGTCTTTTGATTCGCTTGATGCCACTGTTTTCCTTCCACCGTAATTATTTAGGCGACCACAACGTCGATGTTGGAGATTCATCAAGGAAATAGCTCACTGTTCTAACAGATTACGCTTACGTCATTTTAAATGAATTAGAACTAACGCACAAGCTGTAAAACTACTATAATATCGAACAAAGTGAACAGAAATTACTTACCGTGTTCGTCGCCTTCGAAAGGGAAAGTTAAGAAGTTTGCCGAAGGAGAATGCGTCAGGTGACTATGATGCTTTTCAACCACGCTCATAGTCACGTCATCATAGAACATTTATCGACTGGAAAGAGAATTCATCCCAATTTTTTTCTGATTGTTTTCCGAAGTTTTCAAAGTTAGCTTTTGCCTCACTTTGAGAGAAGCGAACGACCTTAGCCACTGATATCAGAAACATAGATTTACCTTACCATCCCCTCCCCCCATTTCTTCTTGACTCGCCTTAGTTCTCCACGTCTTGTGATCCTCTCTTTAGAAAGCTGAGGCACTTCAAGATTTTTGGACATTTTTGTGATAAGTTCCAGAGATTCCAACCCCATGTGATGGAAAATAGGGAGTAATTATTAGTGCCAAAGGCGCGAGCTTCTAGGGGGGTCAGGGGGCATGCCCCCGGGAAATTTTGCAAATTTAGGTTCTCTCAAGTGCCATTTCCTGAATTTTGACATCATTCCGGCCTGAGTTATAACATACCATAATGCTCTTCGCGAAGAAAGTAAGTATAATATGAGTGTTTCACAGTGACAGATCGCCAAAAATTCTAAAGATTAGCAATTTTCCCCTAGTTTTCAGAATTTTATGATAAATCGGGAGAATTTGGTAAAAATCGGGAGAGCGGGAGGCAAGACATCAAATCGGGAGACTCCCGATCAAATCGGGAGGGTTGGAATCTCTGAAGTTCAAGGTACTCGATTCATTACCTAGATATTAAAATGCCTTTCAGAGTGATATTCGGTTTAATTCAAGTGATTTAGGTTAATAACGAGGTATTGCAATAGTTCAGTTCGGTCAAACACTCTGGCCTGCTAGCAGAACATAGTTTGCATGGAAACAAGGAGGCAGTAGGGTTCGACAGACAGTGAGTAAATCACAACTGTTTGGTAAGTGAGTAAGATGAAACGCTCACAAGTTTAACTTAACTTGTTAAACCTTGTATTCTACGGTTTATTTACTACAAAAAGGATTGTTCTCGTGCTTGCAGTGATCTTAAAATTAGCAGGGATATTAAGAAACGTCCAATTGTCAGTATGTTATTATTGCCTTTCTGGTCCTATGACTTCGTGCCTTTAGTATGGCTGTAATACATTAACAGATTTCGATCCTTAAATTTCCCCATCTATGTGCTCTGCAGTAGTATTCCCACATCAAGATCACTAGAAAATCGTTAAAACGAAATGTCACTGTGGTTTCCAAAGACACAAAGAAAAAAACTCTTACAGGCCTTTCCTTTTTATTGTGTATTTTACTGAAGCTGTCTATCTAAAAAAAATTATATATATATATATATATATATATTGTTAAATAATATGATCTCTAGCCAGCTCACAGCTCATACTCACCAGCTCTTATTTGGAACAAAAACCTTCCACAATTACAGTCTTGCATCAACTGACACCTTTCTAAAAATACATTGATAAGAAAATCCTGCACCAGTCAAGAAGAGAGAAGTCTATGATCATGCTCTCTCTTGAGATGAGATTGTGTCAGAACTCTTTGGGATGTCTTTGGTAATTTTCTGAATGTCTTTAGAACTAGTGAAGAGTTGTAAGATTTTCCTTGAGAACTCTCCAAAAAACCTTTTGATCTGCAGGCTAGTGTGCTTCTCACTGAATGTTTCAAACATGGATGAGGAAAAGAATGAGTGGCTGGCACAGCATTATTCTCCAAGCATGTGGAATAGGCGAATGGACCCAGGAGAAGTAGTAGATTCCCACATGAACATCTGTACTAGCTATAGTGAAATTACTTGCAAAAATTCTCACTGCGAACTGAGTGTCTGTTATGGTGAAAAGAAAGCTAAGATGGATATATTTTATCCTATGCAAGAGACTGATGAGACAGCTGTATCTGTAAAAAAAATTGGTGGTAGTTCTGCACCAGTAGTACTGTTTGTTCATGGCGGGTACTGGCAAGTAGGGAGCAGGAAGATTTACAGCTTTGTTAGTAAATCATGGACTAAAGCTGGTTGTGTTGCAGCAGTGGTGGGTTATAACCTTGCACCAGAAGCGAGCTTGAATCAGTTGATGAGTGAAATAAAGTCAGCAGTGAAATATATCAATACCAGGTTTCCAAAGTCCAAACTGTTCTTGTGTGGCCATTCAGCTGGGGCACATTTGTGTGCTATGATGATGGTGTCAGACTGGAGCAAAGATCCTTCAATTCCACAAGCCATTCATGGTATGTTCTTGTTATCAGGAGTTTTTGATTTGGTACCTATTGTAAATACCTATGTTAATGATGTATTAAAACTGACAGAAGAATCTGCTGCACAAATCAGTCCTCAACAAATTCTGATAAAGATGTCACCAACATTTATGTGCCCTATTTTGGTTGTGAAGGAAGAGCATAGTTCCCCAGAGATTAATCGACAGGCTAAAGAATTTGTTGAAATCTTAAAAGTTCATAATGTTCAGTGTTCTTTGCTTGAGCTACCAGGAGTAGATCACTTCAGCATGAATGAAAACATGGTGAATAGTGATGATCTCCTCTGCCAGGAGATTTTAAAAGTTGTCGGAAATATCAACTCAGCAAGGAGTGAAATAGGAGTCAAAGGTTCAAACTCAAGTCTTTAATTTCACTTTGTGAATGGCTTATGCATTTACCCTGAGTTTATAAAAATTGTAGTGCATAGTTATGCTTCTATTTAGAGGTTTTGCTCAGTATTTGAACTTGAACATTGCCTTGATGGATTGAATTTACTAATGATTCTGATAGTATGATCTCCCAGGGAAAATGTACATTTTTGCTGCTATTTTTTTTTTCACAAGTTACTTGATATCATAATTTTGGAAAATATATGGAAAACTGGCTTTGTCCAGAACATTTTTAAGGTCTTCCTTTAAGTAATTATTACTAAATGCAGATACATAGTTTTTTTATTACCTACAAAACAAAGATGCAGTATGTGTAATTATCATTTAAATTTTAAATAATTAAACATTTGCAATTTACTTTCTCATTAACTGGTTTACAAGAGTGATCAATTATTTATAAACACTTTACACCCTAACATCAGTATCCATATTCTCTGTACTGTTCTCTATGCATCCCTAAGGTGCTGACAAGGAGAATTTGTTTAACAATCAAGAGCATCTTAAGTTGGTGATCATATCGTTTATTCTTGTGACCTTGCTGTGTGATTCAAGGGAGATATTGAAGGGAGAAATTAGATGCTAATCACTCTTAGGGGTCAGAAGGCTAAGGTTGCCATATTTGGTCACCAGAACAAACAGATGACAGCCATGATGATACTCAAGTTAGTCTTGAGTGATTTAAGTTCTTTTGTAGTGTAAAAAGTTTCTTTTGCTTCATGAATTTACCTAGCTGCTTGCCACCTGATTGAAAACAACCTGTTCCAAAAGATTTTGGATGGACATGCACTGATCAGAAATTGTCATCCCTTGAAAATTATAGACTCTCTGATGCAGTAATTCACCTCTCATCATGCTCCTCTTGCATACACTAACAATATGGAAATAACTTTTTTTACAATACTGTCATGTCATCAAATTATTTTGTAGGGTTGTGGTCTGTTAAATTAAACTTTCTTCATGTTGAAGTTTATCAAAATTTAGAAAGAGATACTTTGATTTTGTTACATGAATTATTCCACACAGCTTTAATTAAGAGTTTGCTTAAATTAATTTCCATGCATGTGTTTCTGTTGGATCCTTTTTGTTGTAGTGTTGTTAGAGTTGCTGTTGATGCCTTATCTGTGGTCTGATCTCTGTGCTGCATGTGTTGGGCCATAAGGCAGGAGAGCGTCAATGATTGTAATTATTGCACCCTAGTGACATGCTTTTGATTTGCTGAAAATGTTATTTATCATACAATACAAGTCCAAAGTTGTAACACAAGTGCAAATTACAAATCAAGTGCATACTCAACATTTTGTCTGTCCTGACTTTCTGTAATGCTTTTTTGGTGTTAATTATTACCAAGTAGCAACATGATTTCTCATGTAGTTTGGTGTAAATAAGCACTTGTAAATTTTTCAGACTTCAAATTTTGGTTGTCTTTGAAAAATGTACTCATCCTGATTTTAAATGGTAATAGGACCGAGTAAAATACAATTTGGTCTGTAATCATACAAGCAATTAACAAAATCGGACGAATGCCAAGCTAGAGTGCGATTTGTTAAATACGAGTATGATTACAGACAGAATTGGATGGCATGAAGTCCTGTTACCAATTAATCAAAACTATAACATGATTTGATAAAGAAATAAGACATTGATTATACAGTTTAGAAAATTTAAGAAAAAGAATTAAGAAAAAACCAGTTAACTTGGCAAAATGGGAGACAACAGTGCCTGCACATGAGGCATCCTGTCCACTTACACAAGCATGATGTGTTAACTGTCCTTTCAACTGTCCTATTATGCCATCTAATAACAAGCATGACATGCACACAGTCATATTAGTGCTCAAATTGGGCGGGTGATAACCAAACACATTTGAGAAATTTGTTATTAGTTTTGATTAACAGTGAATTGCACTTGAAATCATATTATTACCTATGCTAAAAGAATTCAAGTAGTTTTTGTTGTTTTTTGGTCCTATAGAGGCAAATTTTAGAGATTCTTTTGTATCTGTTTCAGCCTCTTTGTTTCAGGCTTTCGTTACCTGTCATCCAGTGGTTGATTGTGTTTAACCACTTACAATATTTATTGCTTGACTGTATAATATTAATAATAAAGCTTATACATGCATGTATTCAGTTACATATGCTCACTTTAGATATTGCTGTTGATAGCTCTGTTTTGGAGAATTAGCCAGGGGTTTGAAAGCAAGCTGGCTACTGCCAGAGTTCTGCTGGCCACTTGGTAACATGTTGCCTGCTGCTCTGCTCAAAATAATAACCTTTAATGCCTTTAACCCTTGAACTCCCAGAAGTGTTTAACATGTAACTTCTCCCTACAATATCCATACCTTATCCAGAAAAGAGATAATGAGAATACTCAAACTTATCACTGAGGTGGAGGTTGTTGTCTCAATCTAACACCAAATTCTCATAGCTAAGTTGTAGGGAAATTTGTAGCAGCTACAGGGGAGAATTAACAATCAGATCTTGGGAGTTAAAGGGTTAATGAACTTTTCTCAGTCACCTACTTTTTCAAAGATCTGATGTCTACTTCAAAACATTAGGAAACCCCTGATTAGGAGGGTTGTTAAATTACTACAGATAATCATAACCATTACAATTTCCTGAAATGTGATTGGTGCATTAGCTGCTTCATCATTCATCATCATTAATCAGACAGTTGGCTGTCATTGGACATCTGCAATCAGACAGCTAAAGCAGCCAATCATACCAGGTCCACTCAGCTAAATCCTCCAATCAGAATTGATTACAATAACCATAGCAACAACCACTTAATTGGCCTACAAACCTGGGGAATTTCAAAAAATAGAACAATTTTTCTCTTTAGAAAATGTCTCTACCAGAGATATCTTCTCAGATAAATGTTACTGTTTTAATTGTGATGGTTATGATCAATTGGTAACAGGATCTTGTGTTATTGAGGTTGGTCTATAATCATATACTTGTGATTGACAAATTAAACTCCATTGAAATTCCACTTGCTGCCTTTACTATTATTTATTGCAGTCCATTTGTTGGCAGAAGAGCCTGATACTGTAGCTTCTCAGTCTATTGTTGTATCATACAAGATAAATTCCCTTGCACTTCCCCCCACAGCCCTAGCTGAAATGTTTAGCAAGCCATTTTACCACTGCCAGTAATATTTTCTGTACGTCTTCATTTCTCCGTGGTTATTTCATTTTTGCACTTTTAGCAAGGAAGGCACTGCCTTGTACTGCTCTTTTCTTTCAATGCATGTAGCCTTATTGGCAGGTGGTACTCAATTGCAATCAGTATCATCAAGCACATAGGTAAAATTTTTAAATATGGTAGTAGTATACCTCTCTACTCAGGGAGAGGAGGCTGGGAGCATAGGTACAGACTTCGGATTGTCTGAGATTAAGTCTCTTAACCCTTGTTACTCCCATAAGTGATGAACATGAAACTTCTCCCTGTAACATCCACACATTATCCAGCCAACATGTAATGAGAATACTCAAACTTATCAGCTAGAAAGTAGTAGTCTTGATCTAACACCAAATTCTCCTGATTCATTTACAAGGAATTGTGTAGCAGCTAGAGGGAAGAATTAATATCAATCAATAAGGATCAATATCAGTATCTGGGCAACTGCCCACCTACCCTTCCCCTAACCCAACAACAGTCTATTGATAACAAGTTAGGGTTAACATCGGGTTAGGGGAGGGGTAGGTGGGCAGTTGCCCAGATACTGATATTGATCCGAATTAAAAATCAGATCTTGAGACTTTAAGGGTTAAGTTACCTTAAATTTTCTGAGTGTCAAGTGTCAAGTGTCATTGACATTGATATTCAACAAATAGATACTTATATGTTCCCATGCATGGGCCATCTACGAGAAACACATTAGTTGCTTCCAGCTCAAAGGTAAAATTTCTTTTGCAAATTTGCTGCACTTGAGCAAGAGGACTCCCTGAGCAGCAGTCATCCAGTGAGGAAATGTGCAAAAATCTAGCCTGCCATAGTTTGCAGACAGAATATTTATCTTTCCCTCTTTTTTGCATCTCATTTGGCCAGATTCACCCTCGAAGATTAAAAAGTGACCTGTTGAAAAAGTTGTTGGCATCTATATCCATTCAAAAATTTTGATGGCTCAGCATGGCTCAATTCATCATGAAGGAATTTAGTTTTATTTTTCATATTCCATCTTTTTAATTTGAGTTATTTTCTTATTTAGTTTTTTCTTATTTAGTTTATTGAGTTTGTTTTTGTGTGCCTCTGACTACACTCGGTAATGGTTTTATCTAGAGAATATCAGTTCGTATTCTCTTGGTTTTATTTGAAGTTGAACAATACGTGCTGTTGATGAGAAGGCTCGAATTGAATTCGAGCCTTCTGATCAATGAAACTAAAAAATTGATCATCATATTGATGCAAGACGCATGTCCTTGGTACAAAACATATGTACTTGTTAGAGGCGAAACAAATAAATGATTTGCAGATATCTCTATTGTTTCACTGTATCAGAATTAATTTTAAAAATCCAAGAGAGTGTCGAGTCGACAGCTTCAACGAAGCCAAGATTGGAGATGCCAGTTTAGAGAAAGGATTTTTAACAAAGTTTGCGAAACTAAATGTAGAATCCTGACGAATAAAATTTTCCTCTTCGCATTGAAAACTTATCGTTAGAATTAAGATGACGAACTTCGAACTTAGCTCATTTATTTGCGAGCTGGATGTAATGCGTTGATCATTATCGACAAAAAAAAGTTGTCAATTGGGTTTCTGTCGGCCGTGTAGCAAAATTATTACCAAAGGTTTTCAGTAAAGTAGTACTTGGAAATTAAGCGTGGATCATGCCGAACTAAAATGATTCGAACAAAGTTAAGCATAACATTATCGTCATTTGCCAGGACTTTCCGAAAAAAAAGGGACGTCTAAATCGTGATTGGTTTTAACATTTTTTAAATAAAAATGGTGGTCACATTCGACTATTAATAATGAATAACA